CGGACATGTTGGTGGCACTGGATTCAGTGCGTATCAATGGGTTTTCGGCCATGGAGGTGGAACACTGGATGATGAGCAAGTACTTCCTGGAATTTCACCTCACAAAGCTTTCGATGGATTGGCCAAAGCTCGTGAAAGAGCCAAGTTAGCTTTTGAGAAGGAGCGAGCCAGTGAACGCTTCAGCAAGCTTTCAAATGCAGTTGGACGACCTGTGAATCACCGATATCACTCAGGTCAATTGGTGATGTTGTGGCGGCAACGTGTACGCCCTGGCAAGGTGAAGGGAATGTGGACTGGACCCTTGCGGCTGATCGTCCAAGAAGGTTCAACTTTGTGGCTTGCCTCTGGAGCTACGCTCATCCGGGCGAAAGTCAACCAAGTCAGGCCAACGACACAGCCTGAGCAATTGAAAGCCCAACTTGAAGGAACAGCCATCTACAGAACACCTGTCTCTGTGGAGTCCCTCATGAAGATGTTCCAAGGCCGATACTACCAAGATGTATCAGGTGATGTTCCTAGTGAGAGGCAGCAAGCTGATGACGTCTCTCCAACAACTGTTCTTCAACAACCAACTTCTCAGGCAGACTCTTGGTCTATTGTTGAACGAGATGGCAAACGAATCCTCATTCGACATCATGGCCTTCCACGACTTGCACTTTTCAATCCTTTGAAGGTCACTACATGCCCTGTGTCAGTTGACGAGCTCAAGGGGACAAGAACTACGTTCCTCAAGGTGATTGCGACTGGCGAGAAGGTGACCATCAAGGACACTGTGGAGGAGAACAAAACCTTGCAAGATCGATGGACTGGTGAAACCCACTTCGAGCTGAAGGAGACGATCAACAGACCAGCCAAGGTCAGACGAAGTGTTCCAAAGACCAAGAGAAAAGCTGAAGAAGAGCCCCCTCGCGATGTTGGACCAGATGAACATCAACCTGGACAAGATCAACAAGTTCCCAATGATGGAGGTGGTGCAGCATCACTACATCAAGCCCTACAACATGGAGGTCCTGATCGACTGGATGGATTGCCTGCAAGATCATCGGCGAGTGCTGGATCAAATCTATGCTCTGCCCCTGAATGTGTCCTACCTGGAGGTCATCGAGGACATCACCAAGATTCAGGGGGGACCCAGTTCATGTATGACAACTACGATGGTCGAAGCTCCCCTGTGGAGAATGCTGACAACAAGATCGACGATGGTGAATCTTCATCGACATCGAGCGCTTCAAGTTCCCATGGCGACTCTGTTGAGTCAGAAGAGCTGATCCAAGATGGCGATCTGCCAGAAGCTGACGCTCACTACGCTGAGACCAAGCCGAAGGACACCTTTGTGGCCATCGAGCTGGACATTGGAGAGGAGGACTTTGCATGGTTGTCCAAGTACCACTCCAAAAAGCGTGGCACAGTATGGCTGTCCAAGAAAATGGCAGAACGTGGACGTGAACTTAGTTGGAATCAGCTGACGCTGGATCAAAAGAAGCAATTCGACTTGGCGCAGGCCAAGGAAATCTCCAACGTCATCGTGTCCAAAGCGCTGCGGAATTTGACGCCCAAGGAGCTGGAGAAGCTCAACCCGGGTGCAGTGATGTCAATGCGATGGGTGCTTACAAGGAAGGCATCTGGCGATGCCAAGGCAAGACTTGTCGTTCTTGGTTTCCAAGCACACAACCTGACGGAGGTCGAGACGACAGCCCCCACAATGGGCAAAGGTGCCAAGAATGCCCTCTTAGCATTGACAGCAGCTTTGAAGTTCACTTTGAAGTCAGGAGATGTAACATCAGCCTTCTTGCAGACGGACACGTCACTTGAAGATGAAGGTCTTACAGTTTGGGCACCGCCCGAGTTAGCAAGAGCTTTTGGAGCAGAACCTGGAGATCCTCGAGCATTACGAGTGGTTCAAGCATTTTATGGCTTGGCACATGCTCCGAGGAAATGGTTCGAGAGATGCCAAAGGACTTTGCTGGAACATGGATGGCGACAGATGAAGGCCGACCGATGCCTCTATGCTCTCTTTGTCGAGCGCAATGGCGTCACAACCCTGATCGGCCTGGCAGGTATCCATGTGGATGACTTTTTGCTGTCAGGAGATGGCTCACCGGAATTTCTTGAAGCTGAGTCCAAGCTTCAGTCAGCATTCCGTTGGGGCAAGTGGGACCAGGATGAATTTGACTTCGCTGGCACCCACATCGTGCAGCACTCCGACAAGTCCATCACCATGAACCAGAAAGACTACACCGAGCGGTGGATCGAAGAAGTTTCCATTGACCCAAACAGATCTCGGAAGTCACCTTTGACTCCCTCTGAAGTTACTGCTCTACGAGGAGTTCTTGGGACTATCAGCTGGAGATCGACACAGACCGCTCCAGAGTATTTGGCTGAAACATCTTTACTCCTTTCTGAGATTGGAAAAGCTACCATTGAGACCCTGCACAAGGCGAACAAGCTTGTCCGCGAGATGAGACGCCGAGCTGCTCAAGGTCTACTTTTTCCAACCTGGGATACAAAAGATTTTGCAGTCGTTACCTGGACCGATGCCAGTCAAGGAAACAGACCTGATCGGTCATCAACTGTTGGAATCCTCTCAGCCCTTGCACCTGCGGATGTTTTGTGGGGAGAGGAAAGGCAATTTTCAGTTTTGCAGTGGAAGTCTGGAAAAGCTCCGAGACAAAGTCTTGGATCAAATGGATCGGAAGTCCAAGGACTTACCCTTGGAGAAGACATGAACTTCCAACTTCGTGCCCTGATCGCTGAGATGCTTGGAGCTGTACCCGAACGAGGACACCTCAACGAGCATGCCAAGAAGGTGAAAGGCGCGCTGGTGCTTGATAGCCGGGGTATCTATGACACTGCTACGAGAAACCTCAGTGGTCTACATGGCCCGAGAGATAGCCGGTGCGGCTATGAGTTGACGCTGGCAGTGAATAGAGCCTATCAAATTGGCACGCAGTTTCGATGGGTGAACGGCCTGGCACAGCTTGCGGACGCCCTCACCAAGGTCAACGCGATCAAGGTGATGCTGCAATTCTACCAACAGAGACAGATGTGGAGACTCATCCATGATGAGAAGTTTGAGTCCGGAAGAAAGGTTCACAAGCGCATGATGCTGAAACAGCTGGAGGAACACCACATAACCTTCCTGAACCTTGTGAAGAAGCTGGCCAAGGACAACGGATATCCTTGGGATGAGAAGGAAAACTATGAGGAGTTCCACCCCTTGTCCTGACACGTTGGTCAGGGGGGATGCAAGCACAGGTGGTGAATGTGACCAAACATGTCACGACTGACCGCTGCCCAGGGTGGGCTCAAGAGCCAACATAGAAAAAGGGCAGCTGTGCGCTTGCCTGTTGGACATAGGTTGTCCTGTTGTGTTTCCCTTTGCGGTAGGGACCGTGTGAGCGATTGCAATAATGGTATTTTATACATATATATATATACATGTAGCCTATGTAGAAAACTCTTGTATATATAAATGATATTCATATAGTTTAAATATGCATATATATTACATACATTATGTATATATATATAATTATATGCATATCCACTGGCGATTTATGGAAAGATCACCCTTAGCTGGGTGTGGGAATAGGGCGGTAGGAGCCTATGGAGCCTATCACCAATATTCATGATCTCAACACATGGCCAGATATGATACAGATTTGGGTATGACTATACAACCTACCCAAAAAAGGGCGAGATTGATTCAAGGTGGAGACTGATGATGTGACTCCAGCGCAAAAAAATAAGAGGTGAAGGCATGATCCAGATCGTATTCACCAAAGGGTTGTCATGGAACCAACAAACACATGTACCCTCTGGTAATGACTAACATAACTATGGACAAAAATCACCATAGAAATAGTGGATTTTCCCATGAACAATGGTGGATCTTTCCATCGTTTTTGGTATGTTTACCACAGGGTCAACTTCCTGGAGGATCCATATCATTTTGCTGGAGGTTTGGCAAAAACCATGACCCGCTGGGGTTTTCGGGGAAGCGGCTTGTGTGGTCGCCATTTCCGTCGTGGTGGAATTTCGCCTGACTATATGGTGGAACATCCAATACTGATTGGTGGTGACTGGAACATGGTGATTAGTGATGGTTAACGATGGTTAATCATGGATAATAATGGTTAATGATGTTGGTTAATGGTGATTAATGACTGGTTGGTTTTTTGGAACATGGCTGGATTATGACTTTCCCATCATATTGGGAATGTCATCATCCCAACTCACGAACTCTTATTTTTCAGAGGGGCTCAAACCACCAACCAGCAATAAGTATAGAACATCTTTACCCAAGATAAGCCACGTGACTAACACAAACTCATCCCTGGCATCCATGACTCACGCTATCACTGGAACCCTTTTTTAGACTTCAAAAAACTGTACTTTTGGGATGCAAAGCCACCATCGTATTCTTCTTTTGAAGCATTCCAATGTTTTTACCATCTGGTTATGACTAACATAGCCATGGAAAATCACAATTTTTAATAGGTAAACCTCTATTTCAATGTCTATAAACGGGCCATTTCCCATGGCTATGTTAGTCATAACCAGAGGGTAAATACCTCAACATCTGCCATTTCGTGACATTCCAATCTTTGCAAATCCGTCAGAATCAAAATCAACCATTTTATATTCACCCATATTCACCCCATCACAGCTGGATAGATTATAACAACCCATAACAACCCTACTACGACATCACTCTGAATTGCAAGTAGTGCGGATTATACCCACATGGTCGAAGTTTCAGGTTTGTGAATTACAACATCATAGACCTGAATCTCCATTTGTTGTTTTTACTCCCATTCGATCCCAACTGTATCCCTTTTTCAATCTCCACTCCCCTTTTTCAATCCCGATGAATCCATTGTATCCCCACTATCGCTATAGATTTTCGATCATATCCCCAAAAGGTCACGAATCAAACTCCATCATATCCCCCATTGAATCTCTGACTCATGGCCTTTCCGCCTCACGCCTCACCGCAGGTAACGTCTCCAGCCGCCCAACGGCGGCCACGGAAGGCTTCGCGTGGCAGGGACATGCCCTGTTCGCCAGCAGCGAGACCTGCGACTGGGCAGTCAACGAACCGTTTGCGAACTGGAACATCTCAGGTATGGCTGGGTAGCCCCAAGTACCCAAGACATGACCAGTTCGGTATAAACATATGGGTATGGATCAATACCTATTAATACCATTTTTAGTGGGATGAACATCCATTTACCAGCTATTTTGATGTTCACCAGGGGTACAAGGTTTTGACACACTGCCATACAAAAACATATGGGGGGTTCCTGATATGAATGGTATACTAATGGTTAACAAATATCAATGGTATATGAATGGGATATATAGTCATTAATGAATAATGTGGGTAAAAAAATCCATAATACCACCTATGATTGGGAATGGTAATCATACCAGCCTACCAGCTATAAAAATGGTGATGACTGGGGGATGGTAAACCTGACAGCCAGTTTTACCCACATTAATTAACATCACAATCTTTAAGTTCGGTAAATCAACTAACTAACTATGATACAATGTGAGGCCCCCAAGATAGCTAAGTTGGTTTATAACTCCAATTTCACTCTGGTTTATGGTACTTATAACGAACTAGTTACTGGGGCTTTTGTTAACCAACACACATCACTGGGGGGCCTCACATTGTAGGTAAATCAACGAAGTATCGTATCACCATCTTTTAATAGGTATCTACATGGATGCTGTGATGCTGGGATACAATCTTGAAGAGCTAATGCTATCAATATGATCAATCAATAAAGTAAATCACCCATTTTCAATAGCTATGTGTTAAGAATCTTACATGGGTAGTTTAATCCTTTAGTCTTTTGGTATCAATGGGAATATCTACTAACCAGCAAATAATTTAATTTTATGCAGGGTATCTAAGATTGGCAATGTTACCAGGGGTATAATGGTGTAAATAATACATATGAATGGTATCCCAGCATGAAAAATAGCTGATGGATGCTAATGGTATGAATTTATTGGGATTTAGTGATTACAATTATGACATTGTACCATGATTATAATTTGGGTTTTTTATATAATGGTTAAATAAATGTAATCATTGATAATGGGATATTAAAAAAGGGATATACCCGCTGGATTCCCGTTGGTAATCTAACATGGATTCCCGTTGGGAAATCTTCGATCAAAATGGAGGTTTCAATGGGAGCATCATCATATGGATCTACACATGTATATGACCATTATCGTTTCTGAATTGCAGCTGATTTTCTCGTTCTTCCCTGGCCACTGCTGGTGTCCGCCGCGATAGACTTTGATCCATGACTTGTCATTTGCTGATGGGATTTGAATGGTAGCATAGATTATGAAAACACTCAGCAATCTTGATACAATCCCTTTATACTGGTAGCGATTCCCATAATGGATAATGAGAATCCCCAATAGGGAACAACTTTTCATATTTTTTGTGGTTTAAAATGTATCAAAATGTACTATTCCATTAACATGGCCAATAAATTTCCATCCGGGGTATCCACATGTTTTTATCAAAATGTATCAGACACAACCACATATTTCCTTTGATTTTCCATGTGTATGTCACCAGCAACGTTGGTATAACTAAGGCGCGGTGGCCGCAGTGGTCGCACCCCTCCCAAATTGGTGGATTTTGACCACTCCAACTCTAGCCTCAGCCAGAAAAAACTGTTATGTAGCCTAATATTTGTAGGTCAACTGAATTACATATCTTAGGCCCTGCAGAGTAGCCATGTTTTTCGGACCTGCATTCCCCCAATGACTGAGGCAATCTATCCCTGGCAGGCTGGTTTGCTGGAGAGGATCCAACAAGTCCGGGATATGTAATAATATGTTACCCTCTGGTTATGACTAACAGTTAGCCATGGTATAGATGGCCCTAATCGAAATAGATGGTTTGCCTGGGTTTACCGTTCTTAAAAATTGGTGGATCTTTCCATGGCTATGTTAGTCATAACCAGATGTTAGATAATGTTTCACTGAAGCGGATTTTTGGATTTCGTATTCAACAAAAATTGAAACATACACAACGCAGTTCATATTTACCAAGACTTGATTTTTTGGATACAGTATTGGAGCATTCCTTGTCCTTAGATGTGCACTTTTCCGGTTTCTTTGATACAATCACCCAAATGATGTGCTAGGCCAACGGCCTGAACTTAGAGGTCAATGTTGAGGTAGAACAACATACCAAACTGGTTGGTGGTTTGGATCATGGCTTTTATTTTACCCAATAGTTGGGATGATGATCCAATCTGACGAACTCATATTTTTCAGGGGGGTTGGTGGCTCAACCACCAATTAGCAAAAGTAAACTAACCATGGAATATTAGGGAAATCCACACCATGAATGTAGATCATTTTACCGGTTTTCACCATGGATTTTCCGCATCTGTATGTTTGGCCCTGGTAGTACCATCGCTATCCATCGCTCGACATCGGTCGACTTTTCCCATGGATTTTTCGGCCCTCGCCATCTTCGCAGATCTCCCTTGGGCGGTTGCCAGGCTCGGAGAGGTCGAAGTCGAAAAAGGGCAACAGCAGTGCTTCGCCAGTCGAAACGCCCAGCTTTTGCCGAAACTTTGATCAGGAGCGAGTCGCGAGTGATGCGGAGATGTCTGACGGGTGAAATGGGAAGACATGTGCATGATAAATATTATATATATATTATAATTATTATAAATTACTATATGTATCATATCTGTAATGTGACCATTATACAACATGGTTCATTGATTTGATGAAAGCAGCAATTTGACTTGGTATGTATCTACCTCGGTCAAGGGTACAGCCCAAAATATCACCGTTTTTTTTTTCAGAAACATAGGAAACACAGGAAAAAACAACGCAGTCAGAGGGGCAAACTTAGCAGGGCTATTAGCCAAATACTAGTGTTAGGATGAATTGGGATGAACATCGAAGCAGGTGTACGTCTATATGTGTTATGTGTGTCTTAGCACTAGGAAACCCCTAAATGTTCAATTTAACGCAAGGAAAACAATGATATATATACATAATATACATACATATATATATAATTATGTATGTATTATGTATATGTATATATTATATATATATATATATGTTGTAAAGCAGATGTACTAAGTGGGTCTTGCACATTCAAGTACGTGCCTTGTTGATGGCTTAATCTAGGGCCTTGTGAACGATGCCGAATGGCGATTTTTTTAGGACAACTACGGCAACGAGAAGTGCAAGTGTATTGGGATCGAACACCTCACTGGCAATGTCTCCGTGGGAGAGCCTAGTGTGAGATGCAATGGATTTGTTGGATTTGTTTCACAAGAATGCAGCTGAATGCCTTTTTCCTGCAAGTTATGGGAGCCCCATCCAAGTCATGGATGACCATAAAATAGTATTGAAACCGTGACTTGGAGATCCCTCAGTTTAAGAAACCTCCAGATTGTTGTGCCAACCCAACAAATCCAAATGGGCTACCTCCTGTTTTTGGACAAGCGCTGATGATGATATCCTGCCACTCAAACGTCCTGCCACTATGTACCTGCTGGCTGCACTCGGTTGCTTCCCGTGCGCTGGTGAACATGTTTTTTTTTTGGTGGGACATGTCCAGGCAACATTGTATACATATCTATGTCTACGTACGTTGATTTATATTTACATGTAATCATTCATGTCAACCCCGGATTAATAAACCACGGTTTATGAATTAGGGGGGTATTCCCCCCCAATAGTCATGATTTGATACTTTTTTATGGTACCTTCCCAATTAAACAGCCGGGCTAGGGGTTTATTAATCCAGGGTTGACATTATTTAGATGGTCCATCATCTCTCGATCACTTCGTCATCATTTCGGTCATGTCTTACCACTTTTATGACCTTCAGTCGATGAATATCCCCAAACATGTCCATTATATACTTAATGTCCAACATGCCTGTTGACTTCATTGATTGCTCAGAGTATCCCCGCTTAGTCAGCATTGCCTTTATTGTTGGTTTGACAATTTGACAATATGTGTAGAAAAAAAACAATTGCATGTTGGTTGCAGTAGTTCTTCATTGCTAACCACAAGATTGTTATATTATATATACACTAACAGCCCAGCCTTCCTTAGTCATGTTTGGGAAATCATATTTGGGAAATAGACTCACCCTCTCTCAACGACCTCACTACACATGACGTTTGGAAATGGTAACTTGGTAAGCCAGGAAATGGCTCACACGTCAAAGTTGGTACATGACATATTTCCCAAAGTCAGTAAAAGAGCACATATCGCTTGATAATTAAATTATATGGGGCTATACCATGGAAGATGTCTAGCTTTGTGCATAATCTGTGAAGGTGTCTCAGCTATGGCGGTCAAGTTACCTATGAAATTACCATATGACCGGAATGTTACCATCCATTTTCATTCACCAGCTACGACTAGTCGGGTACCATTTGGGTACCGCAAACGGGGGCCGTTTTCCGCAGGCTGAGGTCGATGGTGAGACACGTGGTGGCACAAACTGTTTGGCCCCGGATGGTACCCGAAGTCATGGCCTGGTTAATTAATGTGGTTACGGGTCAAAAACCATTCATTAACCATCCCCATAGGATCCACGTATGGTATATATGGTAACATTTACCATCAATATACCCCAAATGTCAGCATATATACCCTACATGGATCCTATGGGATCTATTTAACAATCAATTTAACAATCTATTTAACCATGCACTAACCCTCATTAACCATCAGTAGTTAATGGGAATAACCATTAATTAACCATATATTTTGTGGTTATGGATGGTTATGGAAAAAAAACAACTTGGTACCTAAACTGTACTGTACACAAAGTCATAGCTGGTTAAAGGATGTTTTTATTCCCGCCATATGACAAAAACTCATGGTAACGAGAAACCCATCCCCATGGTCTGGTAAATAAATGGGTCGTTTTTTCACCATCCCCAAATGATAGGTTTATTACCCTCTGGTTATTTAACAGTGATTTAATGGGATTTAATGGTGATTTATGGTGATTTAATGGGATTTAATTATGGGGATTTATAAGGGATATAATGGGATTTACCCTCTGGTTATGACATTCACAGTTCGCCATGGAAAGATCCAGCCATTTCTAAGAACGGTATGGCCCATCTATTTCGATAAATGGGCCATCGAAAAACCATGGCGAACTGTAACAGTCATAACCAGGTTGGGTAACTTATGGCAGCCAGGGTTTTCCACATGAAAGATATTGGAAGGATGGGATTTTCGTAGATATTACCAGCCTTACCAGATCTTACCAGCCATTGGTTCGTCATATGCAACTGGCTCACCACAGTGGTGAACTCCGTGCTTTCCAGCCATTGATGCAGCATGGTTCAGCTACCTATGGGGAAGTGTGAAGAAAATCATATGGGGATGGATCAGTTGTTACCGTAACTATCCTATTACCATATGATCCATATGACTGGAATGTTACCATCCATTTGAAAATTCACCAGCTATGACTAGTCGGGTACCATTTGGGTACGCTTTTGACTCATCATTAAGTCATAACTCATAACCATATGTTTCGCTTGGTTTTGCGGCAAAAATCACTAGAGGGTTGATGGAGTTGCCTTGCCGAAGCGGGCATGGAAAGTTCCAACAAGTTCCGCTGGATGTTCCTCTCAACAAAATGTGTTTTAGAACATGTATTTCAAAGAACTTTCCGTTTGTACCTACTCGACTTTCATGTAACATCTAGGTCACTCTTACATGGGTACTTTAATCCTTTAGTCTTTTGGTATCAATGGGAATATCTACTAACCAGCAAAGAATTTAATTTTATGCAGGGTATCTAAGATTGGCAATGACATATGTAACATATATTTTCTTTTGTGCGGTGGCTCAACCTTCTGAATTCGTGTCACGTCCGCCTCAGTGGAATCCGAAGTAGGTACAACTCTAATCTTTCCTGCAAGACTTGGAATATCATAACGGTATAACGGTATAACTAATATATTCCAATGGTATTGGTATAACAGTGGTTAATAGTGGTTATAATAGTGGAAGAACTATAGTGGTATAATCTATATATTGGTATAATATATTCCAATGGTATTGGTATAACAGTGGTTAATATTGGTTATAATAGTGGAAGAACTATAGTGGTATAATCTATATATTGGTATAATATATTCCAATGGTATTGGTATAACAGTGGTTAATAGTGGTTATAATAGTGGAAGAACTATAGTGGTATAATCTATATATTGGTATAATATATTCCAATGGTATTGGTATAACAGTGGTTAATAGTGGTTATAATAGTGGAAGAACTTTAGTGGTATAATCTATATATTGGTATAATATATTCCAATGGTATTGGTATAACAGTGGTTAATAGTGGTTATAATAGTGGAAGAACTTTAGTGGTATAATCTATATATTGGTATAATATATTCCAATGGTATTGGTATAACAGTGGTTAATAGTGGTTATAATAGTGGAAGAACTATAGTGGTATAATCTATATATTGGTATAATATATTCCAGAGTGGTATTGGTATTGGTATAACCACTATTATAACCACTATTATAACCACACACTTAACCACTATACCAATGATATACTAAGATTATGATTGTTATACCAAGATTTAAACAAGTTGTCCCTGAAATATGATTTTTCAATTATACCATTATTATGATTATACCAATGATATACCAATACTATGAATAAATTTATTGGTATAATCTTAATAAATATGGTATATTATGAGTTTGAATCTTAATATGATTATACCATTAATCTTAAGATTCGAACTCTTCAGTTTTCGTCAAAACTGAGCAGTGGTCGAGACATGTCGAGACCATCAAGAAAAATCTATCCCTGCTGATCATTCAGAAACCAACTGGGAGTGGCCCTTGCTGAACCCAAGCAGTAATGATAAGGGAATAGCAGGGGAATAACCAATGATAGTATAAAACCACTACTATTTACCAGTGGAATTCATTTTTTCTGATGTTTTGATAAAATGATATAAAATGTAATAAAGTAATGATTATACCAAAAATTACCCAGATATGGTTTTCACTGCGACGAAGAGTTTCCTCAGGAAGGTCCCTTACCCCATGGATGTGGGAAGTCATTGTAGTCGTTGGGACGATCAGCCGGTTGGAATTTGCAGCAAGGAGGACCGACCCAGCTGGTGCCTTAAGCGCGGAATAGCCTGGTGTCCTGGTTGGTTCTGAATCAATTCTACAATGTGAGGCCCCCCAGTGATGTTTGTTGGTTTATAAGCCCCAGGAACTAGTTCGTTATAAGTACCATAAACCATAGTGAAATTGGAGTTATGTTCACCAACTTAGCTATCGAACGGGGGCCTCACATTGTATGGAAACCAAGAATTGAGCAGTGTTCAAAACCTCCGTTGGTTGATTTTAGGGGATGATACTAACCATATAGAAATGTATATATATATGGGATTATCACACTTTATGTTTTTTTTTGGGGGGAGATTATACTAACCAGTAGGAGATTATCACCCTTCATTAGGAGAATCCCCAAAAAAACAACCAGTATAATGGAATGACAGAAGGATTTTGAATACTGCTTACTTTAATTTGGTCAGTAACTTATAATTAATCTCATTTTTTGGGTATGGTGATGAAGAATATCATTGTTGATTGGTTATCATGGAAATTATCCTACTTGGGTTATTGGGGTTCTTAGAGAACACCTCGTAGTAGGGAAACATAGTAGGGAAACATAGTAGGGAAACATAGTAGGGAAACATACGGAAACCGGAAACCTGTCAATGAAGTAGTCTTCCATCACCCATAGGATCCATGTATGGTATATATGCTAACATTGGGGGTATATTCATGGTAAATGTTACCATATATACTATACATGGATCCTATGGGTCAGATGGATGGGGGTATGTTTAATGGCTCACATGATTTGTACTCCCATAAAAGGGGATGGGAAGGATCAGTCCATTTGAAAACAAAGAAAACGGTTCTGACCATGGATTTAATGGTGCGCATGGAGTGTAACCAACCTGATATAAACGGTACACACGTGTATATTAAATTAGTAGATTAGTATATAATATGATGATGATGATGATGATGATGATGATGATGATGATTGTTTATCAGAATTCACATAGCTTAATGTTTCCACTCAGCATTTTGCGGGGTGAGAGTTGGAATATGTTCTGATAGTTTATTGGATTTTTAGGGAACTTGATATGATTTCTCCATTGGTAAGATAGGGGCTAGTTACCACCAAACTGTAATTTTATATTATTTAGTATAGAGATGTATAGATGTATAGAGTATATCACCAAATAATGAATGATGGTTTTATGGGGATATACATGGGATTTTCTTACCAACTTGATTAACTTGATATGATTGTGGGTCTGTTTGAAAATGACATATACCACCAAAATGAATCAAACTGGCATTTTTAATAGGTTTTTTTTTTCATCAGAGGATGGAATGGGGGGGGCTCCCTTTATTTCCTGGATGAGGATTGAAGATCCTGCTGTTTTGGGTTCCCATTTGTTAATCCACCAGAAGTGCGTGTTTTTCGTGGGAATGTTACCCTCTGGTAATGACTAACAGTTAGCTATTGAAAATCATCATATTTAATGGTTATATCATATATAAATGACAATTTTCCATAGCTTTTTGTATGTTTACCAGAGGGTTGTTGACCATGCGTCTATGAAATCTCACTGGGAAAGCTCAGCCTATCAGTGCATGACGGTGTATTCATGCTGAGCAACGCAGAGGGGAACGCTGACGGTGTGGAAGAAAGGTTTTCTCTTTCCAAATGGGGCCATAAGCCATGCACATGCCATGGTCATGGTGGTCATGAAGCACGCTATTTTCGGGGCTTCTTGTGGAGATGTTCAAGGCCTTCATTGAGCACAAATTCCACAGATTAATGATATTAATGGCTCCCCGTTGGAAAAGGCATGGGTGTACTCCTGAGGTTTTGATTTTCTGGGTTTAGCCCCAAACATTAAGGGATAAGACATGATGCAACCCATGGTTTCCTCTAGATGTTCCCTGAAACGCATCTATGTCAAACAAACTCAACAACAAATAATAAATTATGTTTTTAATAAGACAACAAAAAACTCAAATACCATCTGGTTATTTAACATAGCCATGGTATAGATGGCCCATAGAAATAGACGGTTTACCTATTAAAAGCATGATGATTTTCCATGGCTATGTTAGTCATAATCAGAGGGTATATGTTTAATTTCCATGTATTTAATGGTTTCAAGATGTTTCCATGAGTTTCACAGATGAGTTCCCGAAGATTTCCCCGGAGGTGTGGAAAGAACTGGTGCTATGTGGATCCCTGTGCCTGCGCCATCTCTGAGCCGCCCAAGGCACCGGAGTCGCCATCTCGAATTTGAGGGTTGTAATACCAATCTGGTTGGTTATAATACTAGCAATAATGGTGATTAATGATGGTTAATCATGGTTAATCATGGACAATAATGGTTAATGATGTTGGTTAATGGTGATTAATGACTGGTAGCAATACTAGCTATAATGAATGATCATTGATGTGCGTATTGATTAACAAATCTGTGATATTGAAGATATTGAATCACTTTATTTCAAAGGCTTTGAAACACAGAACTAGTTGGTGGTTTGGAACATGGCTTTTCTTTTTCCATATATTGGGAAGAATCATCCCAACTGACGAGCATATTTTTCAGAGGGGTAGGTATACCACCAACCAGTTGGACCAGTTATAATACTACTGTGGATGGGCCAGCGAAATCCAGCACCACCAAAAGGATGGTTGAAACCCTATAAAGAATGGGAGAAACCATCTCAGTGGCGCAGGATTTCGCAACCATCCACAGTAGCAATAGACTCAAACATCTGTGGTTCCTTCTGGGGCTTAAATTTTGATAGCCATTTAACTAGAATTTCTAGGATGGATGGGTTTAGGATTCAGGATGGAATTTTCGGACATTGTGATGTATTCTTTTGCGCCGCAAATCCAACGATCTCCATTTTGGGTGCCATTTGAAGGCCAATACCATGGTTCTCAGGTGGGTCGGCACATCGCTTGTGCCTCGGGTTTTTCCTCGCTTGTGCCTCGGGTTATTCCTCGCTTGTGCCTCGGATGTAGTTCCTAATGGCTTCTATGTACCTAGGATTGTTGCCTTCCAGGTGCGAGGGTGCGAAAGTTCACTCACTCTGTGGCTTCCATGCGTGGCTTCTAAGTGTCTTCTAATGTGGCTTCTAATTGTGGTTTCTAAATGGTGTCTAGCCCTGCGGCTGCCAATGTAGCTTCTAAGGATGGTTTCTATGTAGGTTTTCACTCTGCGCCGTCTAATATGGCTTTCCATAGTGGCTTCTCATTGTAACGGGTAAATGGCTTCTATAAATATGCGGCTTGCAATGTGGCTTCTATTAGTGGTTGCTCAATACGCGGCTACTAACCTGGCCTGCTATAGTGAACTCTAACAGCGCTGCCGAAGTGTCTTCTAAACCTGTGGCTTCTCCTTGTGGCTTCTAAGTGGCTTCTAAATCTGCGGCTTCCAATATGGCTTCGGAGTGTGGCTTCTAAGTGTCTTCTAAATGTGGCTTCTAAGTGCGGCTTCTAACGCTGCGGCTTCTACTGAGCCCTCAGATCATGGCTTCTAAGTGGCTTCTAAATCTGCGGCTCTGGAGGGTGGCTTCTTAGTGGCGGCTTCCAAGGTAGCTTCTAATTATGGTTTCCATGTAGGTTCTAAGTCTGCGGCCTTCAACATCGCCTTCTACAGTGGCTTCTAGTGGCTTTGAATTGTGGCGTCGAAGTGGCTTCTAAATCTGTGGCTTCTAAGCGTGGCTTCTAAGTGAAAGCTGCGGCTCCCGATGTGCCCTCCGACTGTGGCTTCTAAGTGGCTTCTAAATCTGCGGCGTCTGCGGCGTCTCATATGCCTCCGGAGTGTGGCTACCAATTTCTAATTGTTGCTTCTAAGCGCGGCTTCTAAAGCTGCGTCTCCCAAGGAGCCCTGCGATCGTGGCTTAAGTGGCTTCTAAAACTGCGGCTTCTAATAGGTCGGACACTCGCTCCCGACGCCGAAAATCAACTCGCTTTCAGCGCCGGAAACATACTCGCTCCCGACGCCTCTTTACTTACATCGACAACATGCACAACAGACAACAAGAACAAAATCAACAGCAGTCTCAACATCGACAACACAAACACATTAACAACCACGACAACATCATCAACATTCACATCAACATCAACGCCAGCATGAACAAGAACAAGAACAACAACAACAACAACAACAACAACCACAACCACAACCACAACGACAACGACAACGACAACTAGATGATGGCAGTGTGGAAGGCAAGGGGGGGAAGTTTAAATGAAGAGTTATTAGATTTTTAGATCATGGCATTGTGGAAGGCAAGGGGTGGGAAAGTTTAAATAACGAGTTAGATTTTAGATGATGGCAGTGTGGAAGGCAAGGGGGGGAAGTTTAAATAACGAGTTAGATTTTAGATGATGGCATTGTGGAAGGAAAGGGGGGGGAAAGTTTAAATAACGAGTTAGATTTTAGATGATGGCAGTGTGGAAGGCAAAGGGGGGGAAGTTTAAATGAAGAGTTAGATTTTTAGATGATGGCATGGTGGAAGGCAGGGGGGAAAGTTTAAATAAAGAGTTAGATTTTTAGATCATGGCATTGTGGAAGGCAGGGGGGGAAAGTTTAAATAAAGAGGTCGATTTTAGATGATGCCATTGTGGAAGGCAAGGGTGGGGTAAAGTTTAAATAACGAGTTAGATTTTAGATGATGGCATTGTGGAAGGAAAGGGGGGGGAAAGTTTAAATAACGAGCTAGATTTTAGATGATGTCATTGTGGAAGGCAAGGGGGGGTAAGTTTAAATAACGAGTTAGATTTTAGATGATGGCAGTGTGGAAATGTAAATAAAGAGTTAGATTTTTAGATCATGGTATTGTGGAAGGCAGGGGGGGAAGTTGAAATAAAGAGGTAGATTTTAGATGATGGTATTGTGGAAGGCAAGGGGGGGAAGTTGAAATAAAGAGGTAGATTTTAGATGATGGTATTGTGGAAGGCAAGGGGGGGTAAAGTTTAAATAACGAGTTAGATTTTAAAGGGTTGAATCCCCTTGAGGGGTTTCTCAGTGTTGATCATTTTCCCTGTAATGTTTGTTTTTGATGGGGTTCCAGAAGTGACGCCTCAGTACCAATGGGGAAACGGAAAACCGACTCGCCCTCGACGCCGAAAAGTGCTTTTTGTGTTGGAAGTGAGTCAATGTTTGGTGTCGGGAGTGAGTTCTTGGTGTTGGGAGTGAGTCGGTGTTGGAAGTGAGTGGTTAACCGTCGTATGGCTCCGGAGTGTGGCTTTAAAGTGTCTTCGAAATTTACGGCTTCCAATGTGACCTTTTGGCTGTGGCTGCTAAGTGCCTCCCAAATCTGCGGCTCTCAACATGGCCTCTAACTGTGGCGTCCCAGTGGGTTCCAAATCTGCGGTTCCTAATGTGGCTTCAAATCGTGGCTTCTAAGTCGCTTTCAAAATCTGCGGCGTCTCGGTGGCCTCCAAGTATGGCTTTGATGCGTCTTCTAATTCTTTGGCTTCTATTGTTTTTCTTAACGGCTCATGAGCGACAACTTTGATCTATGCTTGCAGCGCGACTTCCATGTTTGGTGTTTCAGATGCATCGTTAATGTGGGTTCATCTTATCTTTGTTGATATCTATCGATACTTGTGCCTATGCGCTTCTTTCTTGGTACGCATTGCGGGGGGAGGCGCTGCGCCCTCCCCCCTGCACCCCCCCACCCGCTTTTCTTTTTAACCGGCTCCCCTTGCTACCTACTATATATTCTTTTGTTTTTTAATGAGCATCATCGTTTATTTGGGTTTATGTGTCTTTGAGCATGCTCTGGTTTGGCAAGAAAGAAGACTCCTCTCAGATGTCATGGGAAGGAGGTCATTGGAGGCGCAGGTGATTAGCTCTTGAGGCGTAAGTGATTAGTTCTTGAGGCGTAAGTGATGCACGGAGGCGTAAGTGATGTGGAGGCGCAAGTGATGTAAAAGTGGAGGCGCAAGTGATGTGTTAGCCCCCTCTCAGGTGTGATTGGAAGCCTCAATCATAGTGACTAGTGTCAGATTGGATACCTTGCGATACCGCCCTCATGAACCCCCCAGAGAATAATATGATGTTTGCTAAAATGAGACTACCCCAAAAATCATGCAAGTCATGGATGACCATAAAATAGTATTGAAACCTATGGTGATTTGGGGATCCCTCATTTTGACAAACCCCACATTATAGATGTTTGCTCACAAGAAAATCGTCTTTTTTGGGTATATGAGGTTCACATAGGTTTACCATAATCATAAAAACAATTAACCACATAGTTCATAGGTTAACCATAAACATAAAGTTTATATATCACAATTATCACAATATCTCCATGTGATCTCCATGATTTCCAGCATGGGTTTCTCCATTTTTCTGCGATGACAAACGGCTGGCGGCTGTCAGGTCTCCAGCTATTTTCCCAAGGTGACCTATGGCAAGAAACCTCTCTACTACTCCTATGTGTCATGGCAAAAAAGTAGTGGCGAAGATTCTGGAAAAGTTCAAAAACAGAATTTGTCAGAGTTGTTTCGAACTTGTTTGGTGTTTTTACTGGCCATTGTTGATCATAATTATATGTAATATAATGTAATATATTGAATATATATATATATAAGGAACTCATGGTGGTTACATTCCAACATAGTTCGATTCTTGTCAGTCCATACACAATGACATTCAGCACAGAATTTGGAGAAGCAGCTTCCAGGGCAGATTTGCTGTTCGGGTTTTGACCTTTTTGCGCGGTCCTCTCAGTTGCGATTGGTTCAGTGATAGCATTTGCCCATGTCTTGTTGTCAGTTTGAACCTGAGCCTGTTCAGTATTTGTTTGCTGGTGATGCATATTAATTATCACATAAATATATAGAATCTGGTTGGTGGTTTGGAACATTCTATTTTTTTTCTTATAATGGAAATAATCATCCAAACTGACTTTCATATTTTTCAGAGGGTTGAAACCACCAACCAGCAATCCATTCGCTAGTCGATCGTATTTTATACTCCCCTACATTCTGGCGAATGCATCTTTTTGTTTGGCCACATACCGCTAAATAAATCATAACGACCTTGTGTCGCGACGGCACTGCGCGGCACTGCTTATAATCGTAATTATACAGCCAAATATACAGCCAAACGGCCATTTATGGTTTTATTTTGGGTGCATCATTTTCCACTTTTTCATAATGTTCCAAAATCTCCGTTTGTTGGCTATAGCATCAACATTCTCATATTGTCAGAAATCCCAATCTCCATGAGTGTCATGATAGAGACCTCCTGTGGCCATGCTTGGGTCCTGGAGAAAATCTTACCCCAGCTAAGAGATGTTTCGCAGGCTGATCCAACATGTTTTACATTATTTGTGTTTGATAGTCGGATGTCCACAGTTTCTTTCTTATCGATTGTACTGCCAAGTATAGGTTTAATAGGGCCTATAGTGATATAGTAAAAGTACAAGCAGTTTTTATTTTAGATCAATAAGTCACTAAAATACTTAAATAGTATATATAGTTCAATCTGAAACCAACACATTTATTATTGACAATCAGTGAATATAGTTTAATCACTTTTATTCCATGGTTTATTCAGCTTTTCTGCAGCACACAAAACCGATGGAGTTGTTGACAGGATGACTATCCATCTAGCAGCTAAGGAACTTGGTGGACAAACATCTAGTTTTGTCAGTTTTGTTTTTTGGGGTGGGTTTTGACCTATATCTGGCAGACACAGGCTGAAATAACTGGGGGCTTACCCTTGATTGTAGATAAACCACCAGCACAGATCTTCCAAGTTTGCTCGCATCGGTCATTGTCATCAACCAATATGAACCCGCTACTTATTAAGTACCCTCTGGTAAACTAACATAGCTATGGAAAATGGCCCATTTATACTTGATTTACCCATGAAAAATGGTGATTTTCCATAGTTATGTTAGTTTACCAGAGGGTATTAAGTAAATATGAATCACTACTTAAGTCAATAAATCAATACGCACTTTTTTATGATAATTAATGTATGCATGATGAGATCTATTTACCTATTTAATCTTCATTCCAATCCTATCCAACCCAGCTATCATCCTGTCTACATGCACCCAGGAGACCTGCGGTTCTTTCGACACCTTCACCTTTGATTCTCGCAGCGCCTGCGTGAATCAGGAGCGCTTAAGCGAAAAGGGAAAGCGACCAACGGCCGTTGAGAAACATGCCCAAATAGTCATCCCCAAATAGCAGGGACAAGTAAATCATGAAATTAGTAGGGATTTAAAGATCTATTTGGGGACAACTGTAGTGAATGATTGATTTGACACAAGTCATCATGAAGCGGTCATTAATTTGTGGTAATGACTGAAATCAACTAATGATACATAATCATATATAATATATGATGCTGATTGGTGGTTTGGAACATTTGGATTATTTTTCCCATCATATTGGGAATGTCATCATCCCAACTGACGAGCTCATATTTTTCAGAGGGGTAGGCTCAACCACCAATCAGTGATGTGTATAGAGAACCATACAGTGTGGATCATGTGGCCAAATCCAACGTTGTTGCAACGTGACTTAAATCAACTATATCATGACTCACTCATGTTGACATCTGCTGAACACATTATTTCATCTTTTTATATAAATATTGACATTATTGACTTCCAAATAAAGTTCAAACAATGCTTTTTCTGTAGCTTTGGGGCTGTTTGTGGACTACCCGCATTTGCGAAGTTGTTTTGGGATGACTTGGAGCTAAGTTGGAGTTATTCTGATGGAGCTCCAGGAGTTGGGAGTTGGCCCCATAAAATTATGACCAAATATCTACTAAATCTGGTTGGTGGTTTGGAACATTTGGATTATTGTTCCATATATGTATATATTGTATGTATATATATATATATGGGAATAATCATCCCAACTGACGAGCTCATATTTTTCAGAGGGGTAGGTCAACCACCAACCAGAAATGGAACTGCAGGCCCAAATACATCAGAATCCACATTTTGACCATTCGCATGCTCATAAAATTCCATATTGTGTTTACTGGTGAAATGATATCCCAATATCTGGCAAATTAACATATCATAGTTGCTGGTCATGAATTCTGTATGGTGTGTACATTTTTTTTGCTGGAAAAAGAGGTCTAAGACCTTCGCTTTCAAAACAAATTGAATATTCATGTTTGAATAGAAACCATCCCCCTAATATTTAACATCCCCTCTATCGTCCCAATTATGTGGAACTTCCCTAGTAAACCATGGTTTCCTGTGGGGGTGTTTAAGATTAAGGGGATGGGAGTGTTCAATATTTTTTCAACTATCTGTACCATCCGCCGAGTTCCTTTTTTATTGATCTTACTGGTGCGTTTTACGTAGGGTTGCTGGATGGGTTGCTGGGGGTTGCTGGGATGATGACATTACTAGTGATGAAATGGATCATTCCCGAAAATTCCCCGCGTAAAACGCACCAGTAAGAAAAGAACGCATTTCATCATTAATCACCATCAACCAGCATTAACCACCATTAACCATCAACAATTACTAGTGGAGGTTTATTGTGATTTTCCAATCCACCTCCAATCCACTAACCATCATTATTAACCAGCATTAACCACCATTAACCAGCATTATCCACCGATTTCTGCAGGAGACTGAGGCCAAGTGTTTAGGGATCGGTGCAGATCCAGATGACCCCGAACTTCGGAAATGCGCCTGGGGAGGTCCTGAGTGCCTCGACATTGTTCGACATGGGCCGTTGGAGATCACGTGGGTTTTCATCTTGGGGAAAATGAACGAAGATGATGACTACCCTCTGGTAAACTGCCACAGTTTAAGCGAAGTGGAAAATCACCATTTTACTAGCACAAGTTAACGATTTCTATGGTCATTTTTAATAGCTATGTTAGTTTACCAGAGTGTATAAAGCGTGAAATCTTGGGGAGTGATCTATTGAAAATGGCCATAGAAATAGTTGATTTACGGGGGAATAGATAATGGCATCTTCACTGCGCCAGATAAGATGGCATTTCGAGCGAATGTTTTTTTTTTTTTTATGATGGCATTCTATTTTCAAGCCCCCAAAAAAGGAATTTAGTGAATTCACCAGAAAAATGACCACTTGGATAACCTTTGGATTCCACATGTTGTTCCAATTTTTCAACCATAAACGGATATTTGATGGGATATATTTCCCCAACAATGTGGAAAACATGGAATTAACTACCTCAAATTGGGATTTATCCGGATAACAATGGGAAGTTAACCAACAAAAATAGAGAGTTTTTGCCAACAAAACTTGGGAGTTATCATACAAAACATAGAGAGTAGAAGACAACACATATTGGGAATATGCTGGGATATAAGGGGATGCATAGCCAACAATAGGAGATTTGTGTGTGTTTTTTTTTCCAGAAATCGAGTAATTATATCATTATACAGATATACATATATTATATATTATATATGATATATTATATATTATATGATATATTATATATTATATATTATATATTATATATTATATATTTTATATTATATATTATGTATGTATGTATTATATTGTGATTTTCCAGTTCACAAACTGTTAGTCATCACCAAAAGGCTAGAAGATTTCACCAAATCTCTGCGATTCCCATCCTGGACTCAGACTAAACTGCGATAAACTCCATCAGAGATTTGGTGAAATCTTCTAGCCTTTTGGTGATGACTAACAGTTTGTGAACTGGAAAATCACAATTTTTAAGTTCGGTAAATCACCTATAAATGGGCCATTTTCAATAGCTATGTAACAAATTACCAGAGGGTATCAATCAATCACACATTCAATAAAACATGTTACTGGTTGGTGGTTTGGAACCATGGAACTTTATGACTTTCCCATCATATTGGGAATGTCATCATCCCAACTGACGAACTCCATCATTTTTCAGAGGGATAGGTATACCACCAACCAGTAATAGGTGGGCCATTTCTGCAAACTGTTCGTTTTTATCAGAGGGTATGAAGATTAAAAGGGTTCGATTGATGTACCCAATTTTCAGCCTCCATATCAACGTGGGGGATTTAATGATCAAACATATGGAGAAACATGCATCATCTACATGAAATGTTGGCATTGCATCTGTCAGCATGAAATTTGGGATATAGCAAATGATAAAGTGTGCGATGTGCAAAGTGGCAAATGCTAGGTGAATGTATTTTTCCTTGCCATGCTACAAGGTGAGGAGGATGTTTTTGGGGGATGACCTGGTATTCATGGGGTAAACCTCATATCTATCTCGGAAGGATAGTCAGGTATGGCCGTGGCATCAAACTTAGGTGGAAATATTGGAAATGCTGGGTACCTATAAACCTAGAGCCACTGTGTATACATATATACAGTACTATGTTTATCTGTAATATATATATATATATAATGTAATATATATAATGTAATATATAATGTAATATATAATGTAATATACAAATATATATATATATATGTATATATATATATTATGCGGGTATGGGTTAAACTATGTTAAAATCATTAAATTCATCAGAATTGTGGAAGGTTTTTAGTACGAAAGGTATTCTGTGGCTCCATTGTCGCACCAATTTTGACCTAGGCATATGATGCGTACAAATACACCGGAAACTTATTTAATTCGATTGAGTGGTGACAATTTCAAAATTCCTTGCGGTCTTGCAAGAAAAATAAGTTGATGGTTGGTACAGGGCCATCAAACAAGGGCATCAGCTTTGTGCTTTAGTGTATCCAGATGGACATGTTGACGAAGTCGAAGGTGGCCCGGTGGCCCCTTGGGTCCTTGGGTCATGATTTGAACAAAATCCAGGTTGCACTGCTCTAAGGATCAAATGCCTGGGAAAAGAACTGCTGCACTTCTGCCAAGTGAACGGTTTCTGGGCGATGCGAAATCAATGAAGTGGCGACATATGGTGAGTCCTGAACTTTGGCGACAAACAAAATATATGTATATTTGTGTATATATATACACACATATATACACATATATACAATATATATATACATATGGTATCTTTGATGGAATTGTGCAACACTTCTTGAATGGCTGCACGTCTATCGTTTAAACTCTCTTCCAGCTCACCAACAAAAATCCTGGAATCCTCGCAAGCCATTGCCCTTTCTCGTCCGTGTAGGGGATTATTGACCCTTTAAATAAGATCAATATGCAGGTAAATACCCTCTGGTAAACTAACATAACTATGGAAAATGACCATTTAAAATGGGTATATCAACTATTTCCATGGCCATTGTTCAAAAGCTTTTTGTATGTTTACCAGAGGGTAGATATGGCATCGATTTCGTCGGACAGCATGGTCAAGATGTCAGAGCCACTTCAAGTGGCATGATATGTCCATGGTTTACCCTCTGGTAAACTAACATAGCTATTGACAATGGCCATTTATAGTGAGTTTTCCCATTAGAAATGGTGCTTTCCCATAGTTATGTTAGTTTACCAGAGGGTATTTGTTCCTCAATGGAGGACGAGTTGATGCCACACACAACAATTCTCAGTCCTCTCACAAGTCCATTCTTAAGCCATGATAGATTGGATGCCAAGCGTATTTTTTTGGGGAAAGTACCAATACCTTTTTGTTGGTGTGCCATATATAGTTGAAGTTGTTAGTCAATATTCCCGTTCTTGTGTATGTATGTTATCTACCTGGAAGCCAGGTGGCCTCTAATTATTTGGATTGGTTAACTCTCCATTTTGTCCAAATTTCGAGAAGGTCATTTTGGGGTTCCAGGTAGACGAATATAAATGTACAAATGATGTTTGTTTTGTATAAGTATTATATTCCTAAGAATTCTATATACATATGATATATATATATATAAATATATACATATGATATATATATATATATAAATATACATATGTGACATGTTTATAGATGTGATATATATATACAATATATATATATGCAATATATATATATATACAATATATATTGTATATATATATATATATACAATATATATATATATATACAATATATATATACAATATATATATATACATATACAATATATATATATATATATACAATATATATATACCATACCAATGTAGCCCACTGAAAGAATTCATTGGTCCTCAAAGTTCAGCAGCCCCTTGGGCCCAGATCAGACCATTCAAGATTGGACTTGGTGGTCCTTTAGCCGTGGCGATGTGCAAAGGTGTGGAGCTTTTTACAGTGTGGGGATGGCTGGAGTTCCGGAGTTCCGCAGGGTTTGCACTACTTTTTTCGTTGGAAAAAAAATGCCCCAGTCAATTGTAGTTGTAGACTGGTTTAGATCTAGTTTTACTATGATATGACTATGTGTTATCCATTGTTGTCCCATTTTTTTCCGAGCCAATTAATATAGCTTTCAGAGCCTGCAGCAGAGCTGGGTATGGTAAACTAACACATTCTCCATGGCTATCCCATTTTTCAGAGCCTGAATTTTTCGCTGGCAAAACTCAATACTTGGATGATCCCTGGTGATCCAAATGTTGTCTAAGCCAGGTGTCTGATTTTCCAGTTGCCTCCCAGTGATGGGAATAACTATGGAATAACTATGGAATAACTATGGTTACCCTCTGGTTATGACTAACAGTTCGCCATGGTTTTTCGATGGCCCTAATCGAAATAGATGGTTTACCGAACTTAAAAATGGTGAATTTCCAAGATATGTTTCATTACCAGAGGGTACAGATCTTGACTATCATCCAACAAAATCTCCCAACTCTTGTGGTTGATTTTTTTGGTGGAAAATGGTAGTTACTGATCAAAAGAGAGAGTTCTTGGCGGAATCTAAGTTGGTTGGTGACGTCATTTGGGTGTATGTGAAAATGGGGCATACCCCCAGAATGGCAGTTTTAGAATTAGACTGGTTGGTGGTTTGGAAAATTAACTTTATGACTTTCCCATCATATGGGGGTTATGAAATTCCCATCAGATTGGGAATTTCATCATCCCAACTGACTATATCATATTTTTCAGAGGGGTTGGTTGAAACCACCAACCAGAATTAATGGGTTTGTCTGAAAACTCGGTCCCTTCGGTCCCCCTAAATCCCAGGGTTTTCCGGGGAAATTTCCGGCAGCATGTTCAAACACCATATGGGCCATGGGTCAAGTTGTCCTATGAAATTACCTGACTGGAGGAATAGACCATCCATTCTATAACCAACTATTTTACCATCCATTGACCAGCTCGTTGCTGGCTTGGACCCATAGTATCATAGTGTCCAGCAATGTAGTTATAACGCGTTATTGTTTGATGATTTCTTGATTATGGAAATGTTGTCTGGTTGGTGGTTTGGAACATGGCTTTTATTTTTCCATATATTGGGAATTTCATCATCCCAACTAATATGTATATCTATATATAATACATATAAGAGATTGTACCTGCACATAATATAGCATATATATATATATATAGACACACTATAACACCCACATATTTATATGTATATATATATACATACATTTATATATATATATGTAAAGATTTTATAACTAGTGATTTACCTGATTTGCCAAGATTGCAGAATTGTAGCTTGTTTACCTGGCCCTTTATATAGGTTGATTTGTCCCGTTGGAATCTTGGCGACCCCTTGGGAAACAGGACAAACTTCGGACAATTCATGTAGCAGCATCTACTTAAAGAAATGTTGTTTCCATTCATTATTTCCCTCTGGTAATTTATCATAGCTGTTGAACATGGCATATTTGTTCTTCGTTGATTTACCTAACTTAAAGATGGTGATTTTCCAGTTCGCTATGTGACAGTTTACCAGAGGGTATATAAATGGTTTTGCTTCAAGACTGGTGCCCGTTTTACACAGAGGAACCTCTCTCCTGCATTCATTTTGCGCAGGGGCCACATGGGTCCGGCAGTTGCAACTTGGCTCTTGGTGAAATTCAGGGGTTGTCTAACTTGAGCCTTTTTTTAGATATCCTTGTTCCATGGGTATAAGGAATTAGACTACCTAAATTAATTACTAGGGATCATGACGTATCATGACAACGTATCGGGAAACCTATCAACCAACTATAATGGACTGGGAAAAAAATGTATTTTTAATGGCTCAGGTATCCCGTTCCGTGAAGAAAGAGCATCATTATCCGTTTTTTTTAATGGCGGCCATCATCCCATGTTCAAAAGTCGGCAAGATGAGATCTCCGGAAGCGGAATACAGCCACCAATCCTGGAGGATTTTGGTGCCACCTCCAAAGCAGTGGTTGCAGTACTTTCAACGCAAAAACCGCATGGACTTTGGGTTTTGATGTATTGAATTTTAAGATCAGATTTTGTTGCTCTTGGGCTGTGGTCAGCAACAGTCAGCAACAGTCAGCAACAATGGTTTCGAATAATGTTGCGTTATAGGTGACAGGTGGTTGTCACATCAATTAACTGCCAGGTACACCATCCCACCATCCCAAATAGATGGACAGACAGATAGATTGATAGATTGATTGATGGGTGGATGGATACAGAGATAATATTTCTCTCTATATACATAACCAAAGATTGATCATGTAAACAACAAGTTCATGATCTCTATATATATATCCTATCTCTCTCTTTCCACATATATATATATACACTATATATCCTATATCAGTTCGATATATATATATAATGTTATTATTATTTGCCCATTTGTTTTTCTGGCCCCTTTGTTTCAGGTCACGGCTGGGATCTATGTGCTGATCTTATTGTTCTTTCTGATGGTCCTGCGTGGACTCTTGTGATGAAAAAGTCAAAAAGTCCGCCGCTGCTGCCGTGTCATTGGATTGGTTTACGGGAAAAAAACAACCGGAAAATCCAATAGTTCAGGGTAAAAACCATGGTTTCCGGTTCCGATTTTACATGAAGCACCCAAAATTTCATGCCATTCATCCAATTCATCCCATAATTTGCCGTGTAATCCATGTAAATCAACTACGTTTGGGTCAAATTTCATTGGATTTTCATGGTCGATTTTCATAGGTTGAACCCGTATTGGGAATCCGTGAACATATGTTCAGCAGCGACATAGCCCATGGCATGACATAGCCCATTTATAAAATATAGCCAGCTAGATTCTAAGTCAAGTGGGATTCATATCCACAACCAGGGGAAGTGTGGGACACCCCTGAGAATCCTGTGAAAAGTTGGACTAGATACTAGGAAGCCTGGCAGGTTTAACATGTTTTTTTTAGTCCAATAATTTGGTGATTCAAAAAGTGATTAACATCTACTCATGGAGTCCCCAAAAAAGACTGGATTTGCGGCCGATGATTTGGCTTATAATGAGAAATCATTTTTCAATCCACTAGAACTGGGGAATCCTGGGAAAGATTTCAATGATTTCCCAGTCAGCGTGATGATTTTTCTTCTTTGAAATCCACTAGAATTGGATCACCAAATCATCGAAATTCATGGAAAATTCTGTAGAGATCCACAGAAATCCATAGAAATCTCTGGAAATCTGTAGAAATCCATAGAAATCTCTGGAAATCTGTAGAGATCATGGAAATCCCATAGAAATCCATAGAAATCTGTAGAAATCCACAGAAATTCACTGGGGAATTGGATTTTGTTTGGCTTCTGGATCAGCACATCCCCACTGCTTCGCAAAGCTAAGGCCCGACGTCACGTCGTTTTCCCGCGCACCGGTGTCGCAGAATCTGGCGGGGCGCCCGACAGTGGAAGTTCTTGACGTGTAAATATGATGTATGTAGATAGAATCAAACATATACCATATATTATATTATATTATATTATATTATATTAAATTATATTATATTATATTATATTTTATGATATTATATTATACTATATTATTATATTATATTATATTATATCATTATACAATATTATATTATATTATACTATACTATATTATATTATATTACATTACATTATATTATATTATATTTTATTTTATTTTATTTTATGATATTATATGTTTTTATATGTTATCATATTATATAATAATATATTATATTTTATTTCATTATATTATATGTTATCATATTATATTATATTTTACTATACTATATTATATTATATTTTACTATATTATATTATACTCTATTATATTATATTATAATATATTATAATATATTATGTTATATTATATTGTATTATATTGTATTATGTTATATTATATTATTATATTATTATATTATTATATTATTATATTATATTATATTATATTATATTATATTATATTATATTATATGTTATCATATTACATTATATTATACATTATCATATTCTATATTATCATATTATATATTATCATATTATATTATATTATAATATATTATACTATATTATATTATTGTACTATAGTACAATATGTTATCATATTATATATTTATATTATATACAATTATACAATACACATTATAGTATATATATGTATACATATGTATACATTATAATATAATTCTATATATAGCATTGTACATATATAGTAACTAGGGCCCTTTTTTCCAGGATGTGAAAAAGGTCATGATTCCCCCGTCATTTCAGGTTGCTTTTCCCTGTGGATGTTTTGGACATCGCCAGGCTCGAACTCCCTCCACGTCCAGCGATAGATGGCAGCTGGAAACTCAGGGAGCCACACAGATGTTTATCCCCAACCAACTGGAATAAATGATGGATAATAAATGGGCTAACGCCCTGGTGCCGCCGACCCCCATTTTGAGGCCATGGTTATCCGATGTTATCCTAGATGTTTCCATATTTGTCATTTGTCCCAAAGTCATTTTCTAGTGATTCTGTGCTGTTTCAACACGAATAGAAGATGGGGCTCTTTAGTTATAAGTCGGTATATAATCACGTTATAGACAGTTATACCTACCATAAACCACACGAAGCGAGTGATGAACCAATGCGGCTATCATGTGAGGGCCCTATGCTATAGCATGTATATGCCTGTATGGGGGCGCTTGGCAGTGGAAAGAAAGGAGCACAGCGACCGAGTACCAAAGTAAGTTGAATGTATGTATGCACCTGCAGCCCCTTGGTACTGTAAGTATCTTTATATTACAGGCTGAGGATTAATTATTAATGATAACCATTCTGGGATATCGGTTACTCTCCTGAACTGCTTTTTTACGTGCACGAAGGGTTTTTACACCTCTACGAGGTCGCTCAAATAAGATCTCCAAAAGCGGAATGACAGGGTTGTGGGATGTTTTGGGCACTGTTCGAATGTGGTTGGGACATGCTTTGGAATGCTGCTAGTCTAGTTCTGAGTCTTTTGAGTTCAGAATTGAAGAGGTATACGTGCTCGGTCGTAAAGCTGAATGGCAAAGCAGGCACGGAGCCGCTTCGGAAGCTGCTGCGGATGTTTTGAAGCTTTTAAGGCCTGCCCAAGGGGCCCAAAACGTGCCACATAGCAGTTTCGAAGCCCAATAGAAACAGCTTGTGGGGCCTAGGGAGGTACCATGTCCAAGCAAGCGGGACGCCTTCGAAAGCTGCTGCGGAGGGTTGTGAGGTTCCAAGGCCTTCGAAAGCTGCTGCGGAGGTTTTGAGGCTTTTAAGGCCTGCCCAAGGGGCCCAAAACGTGCCACATAGCAGTTTCGAAGCCTAATAGAAACAGCTTGTGAGGCTTAGGGAGGTACCATGGCCAAGCAAGCGGCACGCCTTCGAAAGGTGCTGCGGAGGGTTGTGAGGTTCTAAGGTCTTCGGAAGCTGCTGCGGAGGTTTTGAGGGAGGTACCATGGCCAAGCAAGCGGCACGCCTTCGAAAGCTGCGGTTGTGAGGTTATAAGGCCTTCGAAAGCTGCTGCGGAGGTTTTGAGGCTTTCATGGCCTGCCCAAAACGTGCCACATTCTAGCAGTTTCGAAGCCCAATAGAAACAGCTTGTGGGGCCTAGGGAGGCACCATGGCCAAGCAAGCGGCACGCTTTCGAAAGCTGCTGCGGAGGGTTGTGAGGTTATAAGGCCTTGGAAAGCTGCTGCGGAGGTTTTGAGGCTTTTAAGGCCTGCCCAAAACGTGCCACATAGCAGTTTCGAAGCCCAATAGAAACAGCTTGTGGGGCCTAGGGAGGTACCATGGCCAAGCAAGCGGCACGCCTTCGAAAGCTGCTGCGGAGGGTTGTGAGGTTATAAGGCCTTCGAAAGCTGCTGCGGAGGTTTTGAAGCTTTTAAGGCCTGCCCAAAACGTGCCACATAGCAGTTTCGAAGCCCAATAGAAACAGCTTGTGGGGCCTAGGGAGGTACCATGGCCAAGCAAGCGGCACGCCTTCGAAAGCTGCTGCGGAGGGTTGTGAGGTTCTAAGGCCTTCGAAAGCTGCTGCGGAGGTTTTGAGGCTTTTGAGGCCTGCCCAAAACGTGCCACATAGCAGTTTCGAAGCCCAATAGAAACAGCTTGTGGGGCCTAGGGAGGTACCATGGCCAAGCAAGCGGCACGCCTTCGAAAGCTGCTGCGGAGGTTTTGAGGCTTTTGAGGCCTGCCCAAAACGTGCCACATAGCAGTTTCGAAGCCCAATAGAAACAGCTTGTGGGGCCTAGGGAGGTACCATGGCCAAGCAAGCGGCACGCCTTCGAAAGCTGCTGCGGAGGGTTGTGAGGTTCCAAGGCCTTCGAAAGCTGCTGCGGAGGTTTTGAGGCTTTTGAGGCCTGCCCAAAACGTGCCACATAGCAGTTTCGAAGCCCAAGAGAAACAGCTTGTGGGGCCTAGGGAGGTACCATGGCCAAGCAAGCGGCACGCCTTCGAAAGCTGCTGCGGAGGGTTGTGAGGTTATAATTATAAGGCCTTGGAAAGCTGCTGCGGAGGTTTTGAAGCTTTTAAGGCCTGCCCAAGGGGCCCAAAACGTGCCACATAGCAGTTTCGAAGCCCAAGAGAAACAGCTTGTGGGGCCTAGGGAGGTACCATGGCCAAGCAAGCGGCACGCCTTCGAAAGCTGCTGCAGAGGGTTGTGACTGTGAGGTTATAAGGCCTTGGAAAGCTGCTGCGGAGGTTTTGAGGCTTTCAAGGCCTGCCCAAAACGTGCCACATAGCAGTTTCGAAGCCCAATAGAAACAGCTTGTGGAGCCTAGGGAGGTACCATGGCCAAGCAAGCGGCACGCCTTCGAAAGCTGCTGCGGAGGGTTGTGAGGTTATAAGGCCTTCGAAAGCTGCTGCGGAGGTTTTGAGGCTTTTAAGGCCTGCCCAAAACGTGCCACATAGCAGTTTCGAAGCCCAAGAGAAACAGCTTGTGGGGCCTAGGGAGGTACCATGTCCAAGCAAGCGGCACGCCTTCGAAAGCTGCTGCGGAGGGTTGTGACGTTCTAAGGCCTTCGAAAGCTGCTGCGGAGGTTTTGAGGCTTTTAAGGCCTGCCCAAAACGTGCCACATAGCAGTTTCGAAGCCCAAGAGAAACAGCTTGTGGGGCCTAGGGAGGTACCATGGCCAAGCAAGCGGCAGGGGCTTTTGAGGCCTGCCCAAAACGTGCCACATAGCAGTTTCGAAGCCCAATAGAAACAGCTTGTGGAGCCTAGGGAGGTACCATGGCCAAGCAAGCGGCACGCCTTCGAAAGCTGCTGCGGAGGGTTGTGAGGTTATAAGGCCTTCGAAAGCTGCTGCGGAGGTTTTGAGGCTTTTAAGGCCTGCCCAAAACGTGCCACATAGCAGTTTCGAAGCCCAAGAGAAACAGCTTGTGGGGCCTAGGGAGGTACCATGGCCAATCAAGCGGCACGCCTTCGAAAGCTGCTGCGGAGGTTTTGAGGTTTTGAAGCCAAAGCCGGCACAAGGCCATGCCGCACACCTACGGTGATCCCGGGCGCCGCCCCGCCTAGGCCAAGGCTAGGCAGGGGTCGGCGGATATGAGACAATAATAATATGATATAATAATGGAATATATATATAATGGGATAATATTTAATACACTTGATATACTGAAACTATGGGATAATGATGGATGATATGAGAGAGCGCATCCCCATCGAACCTTGGAGAACTAGTTTAATGCTTTAGCTTTTTGCTGGAAAAATCACCAAGCGATTTGTTGGGGGCTACCAAGGATTCACCGTGTGAAGACGGATGGTTTTGTTGGGTCGATGGATTGGGGGATATCAGGGATACCCGGCCTGGTAAACATAGAAAAAAACGATTGAAAATTGCCCAGTCGAAATAGTTGATTCAAGCATCAAATATGGTGGATCTTTCCAGTTCGTTCTGTAAACGTTTACTACGCCGGGTAACTCCCATTAAACCACCATTAGATCCCATTAAACCACCATTAAACCACCATTAAACCACCATTAAATCCCATTTAAACCACCATTAAACCACCATTAAACCACCATTAAACCACCATTAAATCCCATTAAACCACCATTAAACCACCATTAAACCACCATTAAACCACCATTAAATCCCATTAAACCACCATTAAACCACCATTAAACCACCATTAAACCACCATTAAATCCCATTGTATCCGATTTTAAGAGAACAAAACCAGCCACTGGTTGATTTCAAAGGTGTTTCGGAAAGAATTCCTGAAATCACCAGACATTTGAGAAAGATGACATCCAACAGTTCTCAGTTACCCGGCCTGGTAAACGTTTACATAACGAACTGGGAAGATCCACCATTTTTCATGGGAAAATCCACTATTTCGACTGGGCCATGTTCAATAGTTTTTTCTATGTTTACCAGGCCGGGTATCCCATGTTATGCCATGAAAAATCCCATGTGATTTCAGACATTCACCGCCTCTCCAAGGAGTAACCAAAAAGTGTCGATGTTACAAGAACCCGTGGAGCGTCCCTTGAGTAGGCCAAGCTGAGTACTTCTGGCTGGTGAAATTGATTGAAATGCTTCGTGATGTTCGTTTCAGATTGTGCCAACCATTAAGTTCGCTAACTATTGGCTGTTTCATTATAGTATTTAATTATAGCATTCACAAATCATTTTAATCATGTCAATTTGAAACAGCAATGGGTCAGACACCCCAATGACATGGTGATGTTTGGATTTTTTTGTGGCATTGGGCTTACCACATTAGTTGTTTTATACCTGGTTCAACTATGGTCAATTGTTATTAACAGTGGAAATGAATTCGTTTCATATTTCACCAACTACCTAGTTCCTTCACCATGATACTATCCTGGGCAAATTATAACGACCTCACTGCGACCGAGCCCTGGGAATCATGGTTAATAAGGGGAATCATCCCCAAATGGCATTAATTATTATTTCAGGTTAGTGGAATAATATAATTTACCCAGACTATCGCATTCTCAGTTGTTTCCTGTGCCCATCTTTTATTGGTGCATTGGTGCGGGGATGTTGGAGATGCTTTGTTTGGGAGTGGGAGGAGCTGGCCTTGGCAGAATAAAAAGGCCGCCCTTAGCAATCCATTGACATCCGGGATCCCACAACCATGGGTTTCAGTGCTATCCTCTGGTAAACATACAAAAAACTATGGAAAATCACCATGTTTAATGGATAAATATGGATAATATGGATAAATCAACTATTTCTATGGCCATTTTCAATAGCTATGTTAGTTTACCAGAGGGTAAACATATGCTAATTTATAGTCTAATGACTTGGATGATTTGTGGTAACAGCATTTTAGGAAACCTCCATATATTTGTGAGAATCATTGGCATAATCATCTATGAGATTCTATAAGTTCCTGATTGTGATAATATTTTTTGGTTCATGCGCTTACCAAAACTCAATTATATAGTGTTGGAAAACTTGGGAACCCAGAACGTAAACGCCACATCATCTCTTGTTTGCTCCGGGAAACCAAGGGTAAGGGCTCTTCAGGGCAAACCTTGGTTATTCTTTGGATACAAACAGGTTTGTTTGAACATGGGCTAAGCTCCAATCCAAGGTTTGTTACATGGTTTATCATCATTTCCCTACTTTTCAGCCCATGGCTTAGGACACACCCGGCATTTTCAACTGTTCAACAGGTGATGTTCTAATCCCCGACATCGCCAGATACCTGCACAAGAGAGACGGCTACTACAACCGCCGCTTGGGAACAAGTGGAACCCTTCGCTTGAAGATCAACCAAAGGGAGCCCTTCAATGAGAGAACAAAGCCAAAACAAACCGGTGGTTGTTGGTAGTTTGGATCATAGTTTGTAGATGTTTCTACTCCCTGAATAAACCCCAGCATTGTTGGAAAGAAGAGTATTTTTTTGTTGGGTTGGATCCTTATGATGATGAGAGTTGGCAACTCAAAACCTGTGATTTGTCTGATGGCCAGCTGGCAAGATCATAACTTTCCTAATTCGGGAAAATTCAATTTTACCCAGAAAAGTGACTGAACAAATCCAGAATCCAACATGATGATTATTATTGAATTCATTATTACTGTGTATTGTTATTAGTTATCAGTTATTACTATCTATTACTATCTATTACTATCTATTACTATCTATTACTATCTATTACTATCTATTACTATCTATTACTATCTATTACTATCTATTACTATCATTATTATCGATGATGATGTTCCGGAGTGTTCCGGAGCCCGATGTGTCCCTTCTTTTTCATTGCCTTCACCAATGTTTCAACCGGACCCGAGGCATCGTTCCTGACTGGAACCTGCAAATCAAGACCCTGGAGCAACAGTGCGCATGGGCCAACAGGGAACGGTAAAGATAGTTGGGTCTACCATCAAAAATGCGTGTACTATGGGATATAAGTCAGAAGGTTGTGAATATATGAGTAACCGACAAAATTATTGTAATGCTAGTTTAGTTTTGCTTCGCCTTGGCCTTTCTGAGGGTGTACAAAAGCTTCATAACCGATAGGGGACGACCCTGTACCGATATCCCATTTGTGATGCCTCCGGGAGTACTGAAATCCTCACAACCGATAGGGAACGACCCTATTTTGTGCATGGCATTAAATTTAGCAAATAAATTTGTCCGCTACTCATATATATATATATGGTTGGGGGTTTGGAACATGGCTTTTATTTTTCCCATCATAATGTCATCATCCCAACCGACTTTCATATTTTTCAGAGGGGTAGGTCAACCACCAAGCAGTATATATATATATACAAAGTGGTGAATCAAGAAATTCCCATCTGAGATTATATGCAAAATTCGATTCAAAGTGACGGGGCTGCACAGCAGGTGGTGTGGTGTTTGAACATGGACAAATATAGAGAGGCACCCTGCATTGCCCACAGCCAACAGCTATAGGAACAAGCAACTGGGTGTGTCTGAAAATGGGGTATAGCCCCCATACATGTCTATTTCTTGTGGAAATTGATGATGGACCATAACCATGATGAAGCACGATCTGATGAACCCATGTATTTTTGGTTTATACATGTCTATACCTTCGTTTCAGACACACCCAGGTACCAATAACCCAGATACCACACCGAGCCTTCTATTGTTCAGCCTGAGTAAACCTCCTGAAACAAAAGGGACTTAAGGACTTGACTCATGAAAAACGGGAAGTGCAGTTACCCTCTGGTAAACTGCCACATAACTATGGAAAGATCCACCCATTTTTAATGGGTACAGTAAATCCACTATAAATGGCCATGTTCAATAGCTTTTTGTATGTTTAGCAGAGGGTACCATCCAATGGTTCCAACATGTTCCAACCTAAGATTCATAGCTCCAGCATGTGAGCGTGGCTTTCTGCGTCAGCCAGAGACAAACAAACAGGCCACGTTCGGATGGCCGGCCTGGAGATCAAGTGGACACAGCAATTTTGCGGCAGATGACGCAGGAATTCTCGAAGAGATCTGGTCGAAAATCGCCATGCCTTGAGGAGCCTCAAAGCAACCTCTCATACCAAAGCCGAGAGGTTTCATTCAGCAAAGAACAGGACGGCGAAAAAAAAGCCGCCTGGTGTGCTGCTAGGTCTGACCTACAGCCCCATCCTTATCTAGGCCTGAAAAATGAGGAGAACAACCCGAAACATTTCATGGTTGATCCGGCATAAGGCCACAACGTCATTCCCGGTATTCCCCCATCGTGGACAAAGTCCATCGAGAAGTGGAGACACCCATTTAATATCATTTAATCATGTAAGGATGATGGGTCAAAGTGGTTGATTAAGAGCTGGATTCCCAGTTCTTGGATGATGATTCCATAGAATCATCAACCAACAGGGTTTTTGAACATGAATCTACAAAGAGATATATATATTATATATATATATTGAAAGGCTATGGCCCAAAACCAATGAAAAGACCGAATCTTTTGGGTAGGATGAACATCAATTTACATCACTTACCACTTATTTTACTGGATGATTTTTGGCCTCCCCACGACGTTACTGGAATAATGTTCAGGAAGGAGAGTTGTCCCCAAATGGGCGTATGATGAGAGCTATTTTCAAGTTACTTATATAATCATTAATTGTAATTCAGCCAGAATTGTCTAGATCATTGTAGAATTCACCAGGATCTTAACAAGCTTTACCCTTTGGTAAACTAAAAAATTGCCATGGAAAATGGCCATATGTGTAACAAGTTAGTCCATTATTGTGGCCTATTCAAAATGGTGATGTCCGTTATGTTTGCCACAGTTATGCCAGAGTTTGCCGGAGGCTATGCCATAGCAAGGGGGATTGTGTTCACGGCCAGGTATTTGTATCAAGGTGACCGATCCGGGCCGGGATGGCGGGAAGATCGGGAAGTTTCGGAAGACGTGGGACGATGAAATACGATGAAATACGATGAACGCGTTTTCGACCAAGGGGAATTTCTATGGGACACCCTCGGAAATATATGGACACCATGGATTCCATAGGATTTCATGAGATTTCTTGGGACTTTTTTTTGGAACATATGGAAGAGGAAATGTCTATGGGGGCTTCATGGGATTTCATGATAATTTTATTGGCTAAATACAATGTGAGGCCCCCGTTCGATAGCTAAGTTGGTTTATAACTCCAATAACTATAGTTTATGGTACTTATAACTATAGTTACTGGGGCTTATAAACCAACTTATAACTGGGGGGCCTCATATTGTATGGATATAATGGGATATGAATGGAATAAATTGATGGGGATAAAATTCCATGCCCCCTTCATCGCAAGAATATAAACGCAAAAAACAAACACTATAATTAAATGGAATTAATATAGAAAATCGCAATCCTATAATTCTATACTAATCTGGTTGGCGGTTTGGAACATGGCTTTTATTTTTCCATATATTGGGAATTTTATCATCCCAACTGTCTTTCATATTTTTCAGAGGGGTAGGTCAACCACCAACCAGTAATGGTCATTTGCCTTGAGGTTACTATAATCATGGAGTATTTAATCAAGCAATAATTCCGGGCTGAGCTCCGGCAACAGCACCCGACGTACTGGAATAGTCGTAGATTCTACTAGATGTTATGGTTATAGTTGATTAAGAGAAGATTAAGATAGATGATATAGTTGATAGTTATAAATTATAGTTGGTAACATCTGGTAACTATGTGATATATGATTATAAGATAACTATGATACTATGATAAATGGAATCATAATGTATGGAAATAGATTAAGATCACCCTGCAGAGAGGAAGCCCTGTGGCGAGGTGACTTTGCTTTGCTCATCAAGGAAGTGACCGACGAGGGAGCGATAGTCCAGGAGGGTCATTGGTTGGGATTTCTCGGAGGTTGACTGATGAAGGCTAGGTGAAAGTGGATCAGCGGAGAAACAGACAACACAAAATGCAGGGAATGTTATGGTATGTTGTAAGTTTAGGCATGATCTCAGGTGATACTGTACAGATCAGATCATTTGGCAAGCTTGGCAATTGAAGCAATACCAACAGCAACCTCAAGGAAGGTCATTGTGGGGGGATTCCTGCCAGTCGACTCTAGGCCATTTTTAGGGCCAACATCACCCAGCCAAATTTCGAGAGGTTTTTATGTCACATGTTTGATGATTTTATGATTTTGTACCCCTATTCGTGCTTACGAATACTTAGATGTTTGCATTGCCGAGACACAATCAAAGCAGCATTCAATGCTGATACCATCACACACACACATACAGGATGTATTATTTGTGACCCTTCCCAACAGATGGGGATGGATTTATACCTACACTACCATATTTGGGGGAATCCGGATATAGCCGTTGCCGGAGGACCGTTTATTCCATTTATGTGTATCTCATTAATGGCCTGATATGGCATGTATCCCGCTGGTTTCCTGAAATGGGGCTACCCCAAACTCATGGTTTTCAGAATGTTCCATATATTATAAACATCCATTTTAGGGCTACCATGACTATGGAAACCCCCAAAAACCTCATCCCATGTGGCGCGGAAAATGGGCACCATGAATCTAAACGACCATTTCATCAATGGATTTTTTTGATTAAACTTGTTAAATCAATATAATCCATGGATTTAATCAATAGTTAATCATTAGATTGTTTAGATTAAATCCCATTTTTCATAGTTAAATCAATATCATCAATGGATTTAGATGTTACCATGAGGAATTTGTTTGTTCATGTCGGTAAAACAATGTTGTAAACCATCCATGACTGGGAATGGTAACCATACCACCCATTTATGTTGATTTGGGGATGGTTTATGCTTGTTTTACCCACATTAGGCTTATGATAAAAAGTAGGGATTTTAACACTTAAGCTGATAAACCTGGATATAAGAATTATAAGATATGAGTGGATTTATCCACATTACCCTCTGGTAAACTAACATAACTATGGAAAATCACCATTTTTAATAGGTAAATCCACTATAAATGGCCATTTTCAATAGCTATTTTGACATAACCAGAGGGTAACATGATTTTTCCACATGGAAAATTCCATGGATTTCAGCACGGTAAGTTTAAAAAACGGTGCCGAAATTATCCATCCAGGACGTGACGACGGGAGTTTATGGTTTCATCCCGGAGGCCTGGAGAAGTTTTTGTTGAGAAACATGATGGATTAATACGATGTGAGGCCCCCCAGTGATGTTTGTTGGTTAACAAAAGCCCCAGTAACTAGTTCGTTATAAGTACCATAAACCAGTTCGTGAAATTGGAGTTATGTGAACCCCAACTTAGCTATCGTGGCCGGGAGCCTCACATTGTATGGATTCATGTTAGATCTAACCGGAGAAAATAGGAAAATATCTATATAAGTTTCTAATCTGGTATATGATTTTTGGTTGTTGATAGTTTAAGCATAGAAATATATGAATGATGGATGAATAGAAAAGTCCGAGCTGTTGAAGGGGGAATATCATGGACAATATATCACCAGTCAAGAGAGTTAGAGTTGGTGAGCTTTATAGCTGGATTTTCCATCACGCCATGTTTGATTACTGGAGGGAAATGGGATGTATATAGCCTTGTAGCAACTTGATATATGAGTCTGAGAATGGAGATCACCCATTGGCCACATAGGCCATTGGTCGATCTCGCTTTTCCTTCGAAAAAATGCGGACGGGATTCTGCTTGGGATCGCCCATGAGAATTATACATCGAAGACTGCGGATGCGATGATGGTGGGATGGCATGGCGGTCTCTCTGCCAGGTTTAGGTGGAGAAGGAACTGTAAAATCCTGAAATAACAAAGTTGTGAGTTTGTAATTCGAACAAGGTGGGGGTAAAGTGAACATACTGTGGAAGATATCCTGCACCACCAAAAGGATGGTTGAAACCCTGTAAAGAATGGGACAAACCACCTATCAACTGGTGTAGGATTTCTTCCATTCACAGTATGTTGTAGCTTCATGTTGCACATGGAAGCTGTCGATTTAGGTTACTGAAACATGGGGTTTAGTCATCAAACTTCACTACGACAAAATATGATCTAATTTTAAGTCGTCAGTCAAGAACATTGGTGAATGACATTGAAAATCAGAACATTAGATATTAGTTCAACATGACATATGAAAGTCAGAACATTTGAAAACCTGAACAATTGAATGACATTAGATATTAGTTCAAGTCATTCAAAATACATTGAACACTTAAAGAGTTTCGATAAATTCTCCCGCCAGGAAAACCTTGGCAATTTGGAGCTACTTCCAGGGGACACCGTGCAGGGAGGGAGGCCCCTTCGATACTCCGAGTTTCTCTTGGAACAAGTTTGTTCTCTCCCTAATGGAGGTTTCCATATTATTTTTCCCATCATATTGGGAATGTCATCATCCCAACTGACGAACTCATATTTTTCAGAGGGGTAGGTCAACCACCAACCAGTAATGGTCATTTGCCTTGAGGTTACTATATAATCTGGGTAAATTTCATCACGACCTCACTGCGACCGAGCCCTGGAATCATGGTCAATAAGAGGAATCATCCCAACATTGCCTTATTTCAGGTTAGTGAAATATTATAATTTACCCAGATGAATGGTGGTACCCCCAAATCATCCAAGTCATGGATGTCAATTTTAGCATTGAATCTCATGGTTAAAATGGGATCCCCCATTTTAGAAAACCCCCAAATCATATGAGAGATGAGCCACGAAAACATTTTAGGGACTTGAGTCACTCAAGAATGATAAGACATGACATGACCTATGAAATGATATAACATGATAAAATAACTACAAAATGAGTACCCTCTGGTAAACTAACAGTTTGCTCTGGACAATGGCCCATAGAAATAGATGATTTACAGTTCTTAAACATGGGTGGATCTTTCCATGGCAAACTGTTAGTCACAACCAGAGGGTAAATCCCATTATATCCCCATGGAAAATGACAACCACTGGAAAATGGCCATAGAAATCGTTGATTTACCCATAAAGAAAATGAGATTTTTCCCATCATATTGGGAATGTCATCATCCCAACTGACGAACTCCATCATTTTTCAGAGGGGTTGGTGGCTCAACCACCAACCAGTGGTGATTTTCTATAGCTATGTTAGTCATTACCAGAGGGTCACAGCACCAATTTCTAATCCAACATGTTGGTTGGTCCATTTTTGATTGGTGATCCATTGCAGTGATCCCATTGATCCATTTTTTTAGACCCATGGATTGATTGATCAGAACTTATGCGGTTCTAACTTTTTGATATTATATACGTAATACAGTTGTTTCATATTATATATATATATGTATGTATACATAGTCAGATACGTCCATCAGTCTTAATTTGATATATATATATTTCTCAAATATATACATATACAGTCACATATAAACATATTTAATCATATATATATATATATATAATCTATGTGCCATAGTAAAAGGATGGATTATCGACCCATAAAAAAGGCTGGGAATACTCAGTCCATTAAATGAGAGGGATTCATATGCTGATAATGTGTGGATTCCCATCATGGGATTAATGACTATAAAAACCGATAAACCTTTTACCATGTTTGACCATTGCATATATATATATACTATTATATACAAGTATATATGATCAAATACATATATATTATTTTATAATAATATATTTATAATTATATGTACAACTATGTACAATAATGTTTATGTTTTTTAATATATATGCACAATAATATTACATTATATGAATACATATAAACATGTGCATCCAATGTGAATTATAAATGTCTAATCAAGTGTGTGACATGGGCCCTAGTCACAGCATATCACCCAGCGACCCAAAAAATCAGGTGTACCTACGTGGACACCACGGTGATCCAAAGTGGGGGCGCATAATGGAATTGATGGAACAAATCACTGTTTAGAAAACACAATCAGACACAAAATAGCAACATGGTGATCTATAGTTGATTTTCTTGTGATATATTCTGGCCATATTTATATGATGTGATAGGTGGATTATAAAATTCTGTACATATGTGGTGATTTATCAACAATATATGCAGATCGGGATTTAGCGACCCTGAATTCATGGATGGATGTTTCTGGGTAAATGTCAACAACCCCACAGATCTGGGTCACTGGAAATTCTCCAGGTAACTGTCCCGAAATGGCCTTATGTTTCAGGTGTTTTCTTGCGCTGGCCGGGCCAATGCAAAAGATGGGAGGCCTTATTCCAGGTTAGTATGATTTTGTTTCCAAATAGCCTATGACCTATCAAAATCATCGCGGCAACGGAAAATCCACCATGGAGATAAAATCTCTCTGGTAATTTTGTATAGCGATGTTTCAGCCATGGCCCATAGAAAGTTCGTGGATTTACCTATTGAAAAATGGTGATGTTCCATCGTTTTGTTGTATGTTTACCGGAGATTCATAGGGATTTCTGTGTGTGTGGGTCCAAGAACTCGATAGGGGATTCAACGATTCCACCTTATATAAAGATGTGAGAAAAGTTAGGAGGACCAAAGATAGGGATATGAGCCAGCAATGCGTTTTTAGACATATTGGGATATCACATTGCTGGAATATAGGGATATAACATGATATTCGAATATATAGGGATAATAGGGATAATAGGGATGTTTAATCACATGAATAGACAAGTAGAAGGCGGGTAACTTGAACTTTGCCTTCGTGAAAGTTTTACAACCAATAGTGACGACCCAGTTTTGCTTGTGGCATTTAGCAATTATCCGTCACTCATATATTGATAATGTCGGCCCCATTCACAAAGATGGTGTTGAGCATTGTTTGTGGGGCGACCTTTTTGGAGCGATACCTTTGAATTTCCATGACGTTTAAGTCTGCATCAGTCTAGCAATTTTCTTTTGGCAAAGTCGGGCCAAGTAATAACTGCTTGGTGGTTTGGATTTTTTGGATTTGTTTTTTTTCCAGAAACAGTTGGGAATTTCAGAATCCCAACTGACTTTCACTCCATCATTTTTCAGAGGGGTTGGTGGCTCAACCACCAACCAGTCCAGATTCTCCGGATTTTTGCAATCCGGTGCTATGAAGAGCATGAAAATGTGCCTAATGTGTCTCACATGTCCATGACATGAATGATATAATAGTGTTTATAATAGTGTTTAATAGTGTTTAATAGTGTTCAGTAGCATTCCTAATCCCCACCAATAAACACGTATGAAACAAGTAAACAGTCCAGATTGTCCTGACATTGGCAAAGCCAACAAGCAAGACCCCATCCCTCGTGATCTCATGACTTGCCAAGCCAGAAAAATGGACTGGTGAACCGGGGAACCCACCATTCCACGATTTTTTTTGAAAGCTGATTAGCCCTAATCGGCCAGAGAATTGGCATCATGATATATTCCATTTTCAAAGGCACTCAAGATCTATCATTCATTTCTTGAAGCCCTATGTTTGATGGTTAAATCTCTACTATAGCTGGTTAAATCACCATTTTTGGTGGATAACATCGGCAGTGGAGTACACAAACCATCCGACCTCACTTTTACAGCTTCGGAACTTAGGTCCAGATCCTACCATGTTGCGCATGCAGAGTGGCATCGTCTTCGAATGGGACGAGGAGTTTGATATAATTTGTGGCCAGATGTCCTTGTTCACCAGTGCCCTTTAGCAGTTTTACCAGTTCTAAAATGTTACAAATGGTTTTATATATTTTTATATCAAGGGATTTTTATCGGGGGCTATCATTCCATGGGGTTTTCTCACTGACTCAAAAAATGCTAGTTTTGGCCACATCTGTTGAGGTTTTTTCTCCGATCCATAGATATCCATAGCTGCTGCCTGGAGCCACAGGCCAACCATAGATGCCATCCAGGTCATGATCCATACAAGGCCGTGGTTCCCCAGTGAAAAAAATGGCTTAGAATATGTTAGAATCCCAGTTTTATAAACATATGAAAACTAGTTCGATATATCAGCAACAAAAACCATAGTGAACTTGGAGTTATTTGCACCAACTTAGCGATTCCGAACTGGGGCACCACCCTGTACCCTTGATCCACACCCCAATGACAAGTTGTACTTGTGCCAGACCACTTGCAGGTACACCTTTGCAGGTGCAGATCAAATCTCTAACTGACCTAACTCACTGGTTCCATACGTTCGGATCACCGCTGAAGGATCCATAGCCTTTTTGTTGCCATCTGGGTAAATTTCATCACGACCTCACGTCGTTCTCCCGAGCCCTGGAAATCATGGTTTATTTGAGGGGAATCATCCCCAAATGGCCGCAAGATTCAGGTTGGTGAAATAGTATTTCATTTATACATATGGGATATTATATAATGAACATAAACATGTGATATTATTTCATTTACCCAGATCTCTGTTGGGACTATGTTTCTATTTTTGTGGATCTATGGCCGCAAATATCACTTGATAAATTGGGGTTAAGCCTCTGGTAAATTGTCACATTTTCGACTGGGCCATGGCTTCAAGTTCGCAATGTCTGTAAACGTTTACCAGGCCGGGTATATCATCATATATCCCATTAAATCCCATTAAATGCCATTGAATCACAATTAAATCCCATTAAAACACCATATGTTAGTTTACCAAAGGGTATCCCTTTGAGCACTATACCAGACTGCTCCTCTATTTCCCTAACAGGACAATTGTTGCTGAATTTGGTTCAATCTGTTTGCTGGGGAAGCGCTGGTCAGGGGTATGTATACATACGTATATTCATGTATGTACATTATATATACGTATATACACATTGTATGCGTGCTCATGCAATATGATATAATATAATTGATGTATATATAATGTGGTATAATATGATATAATATAATATGATATGATATGATATAATATAATATAATATGATACATATAATATTATATTACATTGTAATATATATATATATAATTTAATATATATATAATTTAATATATATATATGCAATTTGTTATTTATTATACTACATTATTCTTTGTATTCATATATGTGTTTACAGTTATATCATTTTATATCATATGAGACATGTTTCCAATATATTATAATGTGTATATATATATATACGCATGCCACATGTAGATTGTACATCACGTCATTTTGGACATATGTGCAGAATAAAATTAAGACCAACAGAACTTCTCTTTAGAACAGCTTTACCTATCATGGTGTAGCGGGTTCACAGTTTCACCATCTTGGGGGATTGTCAAAAGCTCTTGGGGGATTTTAATCGAACGCTTCCTGGATTTTTCTGTGGGATGACAACCAATGGAAAATGGCCATTTATTGTTGATTTACCCATAAAACATGGTGATTTTCTATAGTTATGTTAGTTTACCAGAGGGTAATCCCAATGGTGAAATTCCATAGATTTGTAGGATTCCATTCAAGCCAATGGATGTAGCAGTGGAAGCAGTGGGATTCCAGGAATCATTCCAGGATCCCATGGATCCCATGGTTTGGGTCCGGTGGAATGTACGTCGCGAAAGGTCAGGGTAAGCTTCAAACAGGCTCAACCATACAGGCTAGAGCTAGGGGGTTTGTGGATTGGGACGATTCTCAACTAAAACCTGTCAGCTCAAGTAAAAATCGCTGGGTATAGCAAGTGTTTTCGTATGTTTTCGTTCATCCTCAGGGGCAAGTATATGATATTCTGTGGCTATCTTATAGGGATGTGGTAGGATTAATTAATTATATATATATATGGATGTGGTAGGACCTTCAACAAGTCCAAGTGCCCCTTGCCTGTGAACTGAGGAAAGCCTGGTTGGGAAACGTTTGGAGAACTGTACGACTTTCATTTTTTGCCTGAAATGTGAAAGATGTCACGCCCAATTCTTCTTGTGTACAATGTATGCAAGATTAGCATTTCGATTAGCCACTTAAATACAGCCATGCAATTTGTTGAGTCTTGTTGCAGGCATCCTTCATGATGTCCTTACGTTGGAAATTCTTCACTAATACCCCCTAATAAACACACCCATAGTCCCAAGTATGTAAACCCCCTATTAAACCCATGGTTTCTTGGGCCCCGCTGCTGGCTGGAGTGTTTGTAGCAACCCTGATTTATATCCAGATATACCTGGGTTTCCAGCTTCCATCACTTGCGAAGGGTCAGAACTCAGTTCTGTGTTCTCACTTTCATTGGTGGATCCCAACTAGTAATTGGATGTAATTGGACCATAACCAATACCCCGGTTACATCTGGGATATCACCGGTTTTATGATATATTATATATAATACCAGTAGTACCCGCACGAGGCGGGGCGGAAGTTGCCTTAGGGTTATACTATAAGACCTTTCTCATCTATAGAACTTGCATGTGCCGTGCGCCAGCCAGGCCCGTGTGTGCCTGCTTTGTGCGAAGCTGTTGCCGTGTTGTTGTCCAAGAACATGACCTGCGTGATCACGTTGCAATGCAACGCCAAGCGAACCTTTTCTTCAGACTTCACACTGCACTCTTCTCACCCCGCACTTCACACTTCGCACTTCACACTTCATGCACTTTACCCTTCACGTTGCATTCTTCATGTTCTACACCTCACTTCATCACAACTCATCTCATCTCAGCTCTTCCTATACCTTTGTGGCGACCTCGTTTACACACAACAAACTTCTACACACAGCAAGCTTTTACACAGAGAAGCTTTTACACACAGAAAGCTTTTACACACAGCAAGCTTTTACACAGAGAAGCTTTTGCACACAGCAAGCTTTTACACAGCAAGCTTTTACACACAGAAAGCTTTTTACACACAGCAAGCCTTTACACACAGCAAGCTTTTACGCAGAGAGGCTTTCTTTTACACACAGAAATTGCAAAGCGAAAAAAGAACGTTTTTGAAGCACTTTTTGAAAGGAATTTTGAAAAGAAACTCACCGGCGCCAAAATTGAGAAAATCTGCTGCCAGATCACTAGCGCAACCTTGATGCAGTCACTTCAATACAATTCACGACTCTCAGCTGCAAAAGACAATAGTATGACGCAAACAACTAAGGCGCCAAGCAACCAAACAACCAGCACCCGCCTCACACAGGAGCTGCCCTTCATCGCCGGCATGCAGCCAATTTACACGGAAAAACACAAGGTTTCGTGCTCCGGCTTCCTCCCCAAAACACAGCCCATGCAACATTCATGCAGCTATTACAATGCGTTTTGCAGCACCACGCGCACATCCATGCAGCCATTACAATGCGATTGGCATCCACACGTTGCAGAACACCAACAGCCTGACCAAGGGAGAACCGATTACGCGTTGAAACGATCCACGCCGCACCCGCCGCACACAGGAGACTTCACACGGAAAAACACCAGGTTTCGTGCTCCGGCTTCCTCCCCAAGACAAGCCCCGGGCAACAGTCATGCAGCCATTACAATGCGTTTTGCAGCAACACGTGGCAAACACGCATCTCTGTACGCACATGGCAAAACAAGACATGACAAGAATCTCGCACCACCCTAAATGAATGTATTGTGATGTAAAGTCTCACACCGCCCTTCATGAGTGCATTGTTGTGTGATGTAAAGTCTCACGCCACCCTTCATGCATGTAAAGTTTCACATCACCCTTATGAGTAAAAGTCATCCGTAACTCGGAAGATTGCTTCCCAACTTCCTTTGATTATATACATATATTATATATATATGTATGGGTTAGAACTGATTTATTCGGATGAGCATCCAAGTAGTGGGCGGCTATGGTCACCAACGCCAGTGAAGGTACTGGTGCGCCTTGAGACTTTTGTATTGTATGAAAAGATCATCTATGCAAGACGGTTGCTGTACAATGTGTAAAAGCATGTGGTTCTCGACGTTTGTTGCGGCTTGCATCTTTGTCACGTGGCTCTTACGTTTTCCTTGCTCTTATGCCTCGCCACGCTTGTGTGCACAACTTCGATGAATTCATAAAGTTATTTAAGTTGTTTGTTTGGGTTCCGGCACCGTGTGTTGTTGTTTCTTGTTTCGGAAACGAAGAAACGCAAGTCTGGCTGGCGGAATTCCGGGTCTTCGATTTCTGCGGTCTTTTGTGCTGTTTGTTTTCTGTTAAACTTTGGCAGGCAATGCAATCCTTTTTGACCTACTCGGGCAAGTCGAGTGCAAGAATTCAGATGTTAATGTGTTTCTCCGTCCCTCGTGACGTGTTTGTGTTTTGCTTTGTACATTAAGGACCGTGCTGTAGCATTGCGGCCACATTCCGAGGAAAAAAAAACCCGCAATTGAATTTCATTTTGAGGGCGCTGGTTTTGGGGCTGTTTTCCGGACCCAAAAATTGGGTCGTAAGTTTCATTTTTTTGAACAGGTTTGGCGATTTTTTATCGCAAAACAACGACTTTAAAAACGTGTGCTTGTGTTAGTTCCGCCCCGAAATGTTGGGTAAACCGAGTTGGGTGTTTTTTTTTTACGTTATTTTGTCATAGCATGAGAAGGCACCGCAATTCAAAGCCCCATGCGAAGACAAGCGACCAGGGGCCGGGCTAAGCCAGGAGAACGGGGAGGGCTTCATCATTCCGTCCGAGGACCAGGCAAGGCGTTCAAGAGGTAGACGGCTGCAGCTTTGCTTGGCTTCTTTTGGGCAGGGGGGCGAGTTTGGGAAGACCTGGGCAAATTTTATTGTAAATCTCACGGAGGCAGGGCCCAAAGTAGAAACAAACATATCCAAAGTAGAGATTGGAACGTTTGGTTTTGCATGGTTTTGGGCTAGGATGGGCCCAGTGGAACAGCCTATCGTGGCTGCAAGACATTGCCCGCAAGGATGCTTTTCGCATGATTCGAGTGCTGCGGCGCGACATCAAATGGCACGACAGCCGCCGTGACTCGGTGTGACCGGTGAAAAGCAGATCCATGGTCTGAACGCAGCCGCCAAAGAGGAAAACATAGCGCCCACACTGCAGCCATCTCATCAGAGATATGTTGAAAATTTGAACATGAGAATCAACGTGGGACAGTGTGCCTTTTCACTGTTGCCATGTTTTTGTCGGTGTAATATTGAACTGCATTCACATCGGGGCCGCGCTGGGTCATATTGTTTCTTTCATCCCCCATGTATAGACCACCAGCATCCGTTACCAAATCATTTTTTAAGGTTCGTTCACGTGGAAACTTCAGGGGATGCAAAAGATTGAGTTTGGGATCATGTGAATCATGAATGTCAACTTGCAATGATTTCAGAAGCGCGTGAAACATTGAAACATTTATTTTCAGTGTATACTGTATACATCTCACCTGGGTGTAGCATGCGACATTCCCGTTGTGATTACCATCCCATCCCTTCCCCCTTGTATGAAAACCTTAAACTTTTTAAGGTTACCCAAATGTATAGATCCAGAAGTAAACCGTAGTTTCTAATCGGGGTGTATCTAGGACTGAAGAACGGGAATATACCAAATAGCTTTCCCCGTCATTGTTCATCAAAAACACTAAAGTTTTTTTAAAATTGTTTGTGAATGTTCCCATTTGTCATCTAAGCAGATGAATAGGCATTATTAGGGGAAATGGCTTTTTTGGAATGGAACCCTCACCTCAGATCATTCCGATTCATTGGTGGGTGCCATGTCGCAGCCAAGGACTCTTTCCGGGTCAGTTTGTCCAATTCGATACAGCTCTGCCGCACGAGGCACGAACGATTCGTTTGGGTAATCCCGATCCAACTTGGGGTTAACCATTAGTTAACCATAGAATTCAAAAGGTTATATAATAACTATAGAAAAACATGGAAATTAACATAAATTAACCAGCTAACCATGGATTAACTAACTAACCGTTTTCAGTGTTTGACAATGGGGAATTAGCCGTGGAATCTTTAATTAGATTAACCAGCTAATGGATATATCACCTCTTTCTGGTGTGTGTGTGTGAATGGGGAATGAACCCCTACTTCATGGTCATGCACGAAGTGAGGATAATGCTGATTAACCACAGGATTTAAGCGTCTATGGGTCAAATCTAGGTGTGTAGTCGGTCCATGCCAGCTCGTAGATCTTGCGGGCGTTGAGCAACTGAGTTGGGGACAAAAAACTAGACGACGGATGGCCCGAGAGGGTAGAGGAGAAAGTTACTCAGGTGTAAGTAAAAAGACAGTGTAATGAGTATGTAAGAAGTATGTGGTGTAAGTAGAAGTAAGGACACTGATAGCGGGATATAGTGATTCTATGATGAAAGCTGAAGAGAGGTATTGAAACATGTGATACAGAACGACAGCAAGAAGATAAAAAGTGCTGCAAGACCAAGGCTGTATGAAGGAGACTGGGTAGAAGGAAGAGAGTGATTGACGAAAAGAAAAAGTGGAGAAGATGTAAGCTGTGAAGATGTAACACAGACACTTTCACACACAGACGCTCTTACACAGGCATGTTTTTACACAGACGCCTGTACATACAAAGACGCCTTTACACACAGACACCTTCTACACATACACAGACGTTTTTATGCATACATTTCACAAAGGCCGTTTTACAAACAGACGCTTTTACACACAGACACTTTTCCACAGAGCCGCTTTTACACACAGACGTTTTTACACACAGACGCTTTTACACACAGACGCTTTTACACACAGACGCTATTACACACAGACGCTTTTGCACACAGACGCTTTTACACACAGACGCTTTACACGCAGAAGCTTTGCCCACAGACACTTTTACACACAGGCCCCTTTTACACACAGAAGCTTTTACACACAGACACTTTTACACAAAGACACTTTTACACACAGACGCTGTTACATACAGACGCTTTTACACACAGACGCTTTTACACACAGACACTTTACACACAGACACTTTTACACACAGACGCTTTTACACACAGACGCTTTTACACACAGAACCTTTTACACACAAAAGCTTTGACACACAGACACTTTTACACACAGACATTTTTACACACAGACTCTTTTGCACACAGAAGCTTTTAGACACAAGCTTTTGCACACAGAAGCTTTTACACACAGACACTTTTACACACAGACCCTTTCACACACAGAAGCTTTTACACACAGACGCTTTTACACACAGACACTTTTACACAGATGCTTTTACACACAGACGCTTTTACACACAAATGTCTTTACACACAGGCCCCTTCACACACAGAAGCTTTTACACACAGACGCTTTTACACACAGACGCTTTTACACACAGACACCTTTACACAGACGCTGTTACACACAGACGCTTTTACACACAGACGCTGTTACACACAGAACCTTTGACACACAGACACTTTTACACACAGACACTTTTACACACAGAAGCTTTTACCCACAGACACTTTTACACACAGACGCTGTTACTCACAGATGCTTTTACACACAGAAGCTTTTACCCACAGACACTTTCACACACAGACACTTTTACACACAAACGCTTTTACACACAAATTCTTTTTTTTTACACACAGACGCTTTTACACACAGGCACTTTCACGCACAGACGCTTTTACACACAGACGCTTTTACACACAGAACCTTTTACACACAGAACCTTTTACACACAGAACCTTTTACACACAGACGCTTTCACACACGCAGACTTTTACACACAGAAGCTTTTACACACAGACACTTTTACACACAGACGCTTTCACACACAGACCCTTTTACACACAGAATCTTTTACGCACGGAAGCTTTTACACACAAAAGCTTTTACACACAGACACTTTTACACACAGACGCTTTTACACACAGAACCTTTTACACACAGAAGCTTTTACACACAGACGCTTTTACACACAGACGCTTTTACACACAGATGCTCTTACACAGAGACTCTGTTACACACAGACACTTTTACACACAGACGCTTTTACACACACACACACGCACACGCACTTTTCCACACAGAGGCTTCTACACACAGACACTTTTACACGCAGAACCTTGTCAGGACCAACCAAATTCTTCCAACAAATCCAGTTTTTTACACTCGAACTTTCGTGCGAAAGGGCTGCCGCCGACAATGTGAAATCGCAATTTTGATCAATTTTGCATCAGTTTTTGATGATCGACCCTCATTTTGTGCGAAAGGGTTGCCGCCGACAATGTTTAATCACAATTTTACTTCAGTTTTTGGCGATCGAACCTCATTTCGTGCGAAAGGGTGGCCATTTTGTGGCGCCTTGTCGGCACCGCCCGCGGCCTTAAGAGAGAAGAGACAAAAGAAGGAGAGAGACCCTGACAGAGGGGAGAAAGAGAGAGAGAGAGGGAGAGAGAGAGAGAGGGAGGAAGGGAGAGAGGGAGAAAGAGAGAGAGGGGGAGAGAGAGAGAAGATGTGAAGATGTGAAGATGATATGTGTAGATGTGAAGATGCGAAGATGATATGTGAGGACAAGATGTGTAATTAGATGTGAAGATGTGAAGATGATATGTGGAGATGTGAAGATGAGAAGATGTGAAGAGGCGAAGGTGATATGTGAAGATGTGAAGATGTGAAGATGGAATGTGTAGATGTGGACATGAGAAGATGATATGTGCAGATGTGAAGATGTATAACAGACCCCCACTATTAGAAGAATCCTTCGGTCAGACCCTCTCGGGAAAAAACATTTTGGGAGCGACCTACCTAGTAAACCTTGATTAGGTAGTTCAATAGCTCAATCATCTCTAATATAGTGCCATACAAGGAGATATAAAGTAGTTCAACCAACTAAAGACAGCATGACATCTTGCTTGCAGAGAACTCAAGCGTAGCCGCAGAAAAAAAAAACTATCCCAGACTTGGATGAAGCAAAACCGAAAGGATCCGGTTGCTTTTCCCGAAAATATCCAGTTTGATCAATCGAAGACAACGTCTGCATATATATATATATATATATGTTAATTCTCTCATGGAACATGATAGATTTTTACATACAACGAAACGTGAAGAATGTAATGTTTCATTACATGTCTGTGGTGACTTTAACTAACGTTTGAAATGACAAGAAACCTGTCAAAACCAAACAGTACAGATTCAGTGAGGACATGCAGAAATCTGTTTCAGTGAACATTGACTCATCAATTCTGCAGTTCCATTTTAGCCGATGATTGTTCATAATGTTCACTTATGTTGCAATTTTGGATTCAAGCTTCAAAAGAAGCGCAGTGGCAAGTGCCACAACACGACATGGCAAGTGCCACAACAGAACATGGCATTCAACTTAGTTTCATACTTGACATGTCGTCTAACCAGTGAAAGTAAACATGAACAATTTCACAATCATCCACATCATGTTCACTTTCAGATTTTTCGTTTTGGTTTCAAACTTTTCTGACTGGGTTCATCACCGGAGTTGTCGCTGTGCTTTACTATTTGATTCACTATGGCTGAAGACCTTCCACAGAATCAGTTTACAGTGCAAATCATGTTCAGTACAGCTCCAGAGCATCACGAGCCAATCATCAAGGACATCCTGAACATCTTTGACAACTTTGATGGGATGGACTGTGACATTAATGACTATGTCTTTCCAATGCTCACTCCGTTGAACCATATGTTGGCCCCCTCTGTGGAATCTATGAATTCCCATTGGGCGGCGTGGGATGACACGCTCTCTGAGGACAAGAGGATCCACTTAGCAGTGCTCCATGTGCCCTTGTTTGCCGCCATGCTGCGAGCCGGCCGTGCATATCAATCGAAGACAACGTCTGGCATATATATATATATATATACATAGTTTATCTATCTTAATCAATATTGCATATGATATTACAACATATACAATATTGATTAAGATATACTATATAAATATACTGTATATTTTATTTATATTACTATGTTATACATACATGCAATGTATAATATATATATATATATATATATGTGGAATATGTATATATACGGAATATATACATTATGGTATATATATATGGGTACTAAATATATATATATATATACTTTTTATATATATGTAATATATATATATATACACTAGATATCAATGATTTCCATGAATGTATAGATATGAATCATATCTATCCATTCGATGATTTTCACATCTCTGCCCCAGGTGCCTGTGACGTCGCCCTTGGACCCTGAGGCACCTCTGGCCTTGCGCGTGCGTGGCTTGGAGGTGCCTGACCGGTGGAGACCGGTGGAGAACCATGGGATCTGGGGGATTTTCAGTGATTTCCAGGGGAAACTCATGGAAAAATATGGGAAAAACATGGAAAATGTGGGAAAATCATGGGAAAATCATGGGAAAATCATGGGAAAAATCCTCTATAACTGGAGGTTGATTAGCTATAAGTGTATAGCTAGTAAAATTATTGAACTAAATGGAGCGTAATGAGATTGAATGGGAAATGTGTGGGAAATAGGTGGAATATTGTGTGAATATTGGATGTTCATGAAACCCATTTCAGCATGGCTAATCATCAATAGCTACATGGTTAATATATTAGTACCTGTCAATACCTATTCAAGTAGTAATGATTCTGATAGTCATGATGAATCAAAACCATTTTTGTTTACATTATATTGATTTCAAATTAATCCATGAATGACTATTATAATGAATCTGCATGAATTAAATGGATTATAATTCGAATTCGTTTACTTGTATTGTATAATCATATTCATATTTTGAATGATGTGTATATATATAGTATAATATATGAGGAGAATTCCCTTCGGAAATGTAAATGGAGGCTGGCACAATCATCTTTAAATGAATAATATAGATGGATATAAACGGTGTATTGTACATTGCCACGTTTTGTTTACCAGCAGGTATTTGAATATTTTTCTGAGATCCCTGAAAATGAGTTGCAGTTTCAAGTCGAGATTTGAGAATCAAAAAAGGTGGACAAAATAAATGGGGAGTTGATGGGGACAGTTCACAAAACTGCGATGGAATCTGATCATGGTGAGTTTGACCTGAGATTAGTGCATAATTTCCAGATGTTTGCCAGTCTCAAAAACGAAGTTGGCTGTTCTAAGCTCTGTGTGTGTGTTACTGTCAGCATCAGACATATCGGGAAACAATTTGATAAATATAGATGTAGATCATGAAGAAGAAGAAGAAAAATGATGATGATGATGATGATGGTGGTGGGTGGATGGATGGATGGATGGATGGATGGAGGGATGGATGGAGGGATGGACGGACGGACGGATGAATGGATGGATGATGATACTGATGATACTGATGATCTGATGATACTGATGATACTGATGATACTGATGATTGATTTATCATTAATTACTGTTAATCTTGCAGGGACAGAGTGGGACACGACTGGATATATGATCAATAATATGAAATGCATTTATGGGCGGATGATGTTTGTTGTTTTTTTTTCATAACGAGGTAATACTACCCTACCAAAATAAAAAGGTGATGATAACAATTGGAACTGGAATTTCCTATAGATCTTTGATGCTGTTCAGAGGTGAAGCAATGATTTGCCTTGGTTCTCTTGGATTCCTAGAGAAGCTCCCTGTTTTTTTAACCATGGACCAAACCTTAGAGTCTTAGACTTTAGAGCCATAAAGCATTGAAAAATGGGAATGCTGGGATTGCAAACCGCTGAAAAACGAGAATTTTAGCACTGGTTGAAGATGGGGGTATGCCTTCCAATAGAGGTTTCCATGAATGGTGGTACCCCAAAATGGATGGCTTGTAATGCAAAATACCATTCAAATTGATGATTAATTGGGGTTCCCCCCATGACTTAGGAAACCTCCAAATAACACCCCTTTAATAGGGAAAGTGCTGATCAACCAATGGATGGAACATACTTCACATGTGGATTTTGAGCCGTTCGGGGAAACAGATTAGCCGTTCGTATCGTCCGGATGATGCAAGCATCATTAAAGCCCTTGACAGGTCCCCCAAACGAGAAATCGGAGAAGTCAACGCCCCAGCGAACTGTAAGGGCTCCTTATGTTTAAATCGCTCAAAGTTAGCTGTTATGTAAGAAATATGTACCCTCTGGATATTTAACATAGCCATGGAAAATGGCCCATTTATATATGGTTTATCTATAAAAAATGGTGATTTTCCATAGCTATGTTGGTCATAACCAGATGGTAAGATGTATTTTGATACGTTGCTTTAAACTTCGTCGTGTGGACGGTGGCTTCACAGACTTTCCACAGACTTTCCAGATCAGTCCAAGAAACAATTACATGACGTACCTAGTCAATCCATATATAATTTCATTGTATAATTCTATTCTACTACTTTTCCATAATACATATGATCTGGGTAAATTTCATCACGACCTCCCTCTCACCGAGCCCTGGAATCATGGTTAATAAGGGAAATCATCCCCAAATGGCCGCAAGATTCAGGTTGGTGAAATATTATAATTTACCCAGATATGGTATAATTATAGAATATTATAGACATTCCACGAGGATCCCAATTGATTTTCCAGCAGCAACGCAGATTCGCTTTTCGCTGGAAGAAGCCTACGAGATGATACCCCAAGGCGTGAAATCTGCTGCGGATGCAGGCTGTGATGGGATTGATGTGGGACTGAGATTGATGCTTGAACTATGATATAGGGGCTTCCAGAAATGGGGGTACCCAAAATGAATGATTTATAAGGGACAATCCATCTATAAATGGATGATAACTGTGGGGGACCCCTATTTTAGGAAACCCCCATCTGTATATAATTCATCAGTCTATTGACTGCAAGTCAATCATTACTAGTTGATGGCATTTATGATAGTTATATACATAGGTGGTGGGTTATAGTTGGGTATCCTGGTATCTTCCAAGTGTTTTGGGCTTTAAGCAGCCAATAAGTGTTGGGGTTTGCTACAAATTGGGCTATAATGGGATATATGGATATATATGGAACTTATAACCACAATTTGATGCTTGATTTATAGGTGATTCATTGGTTAGGTGAATTTAGGTGATTTATGTCATTTAGAGTTTCTGTGGGTACTGATGAGGGTCCCAAAAAGGGCTTAGTTCATCTTATGTCCAGTTTAGGACTAGTTGACGTGGTGTCTAGATGCGTGATTATGATATTTGGTGACTCAATCACCAATGTTTCAATGATGAAATCATGCTCCCCGTTCTCAAAAAAAAACATTCCGGAATTGGACGGGAACATGTTGAGAAAAAAAAAGTCCCCCCAAACAAAAAACGGCTGTCAAAACAACTGCTTCCTGATTCCGGACGCAATTGGGTGTGCCTTTTTTGTCGTGCTGACAGTGTCAGGTTCCCGCGAAGCGATGCTGTTGGAAGCCCCTCCCCAGGCACGGTTTTTGCCTGGGAAATCCCGGATCCAAATGGGGAAAAGATGGAAAAATCATCCAATTTATGGTGGTTTATAGCGAAAATCACCTATACATGGTGGTGGTTTGATGCCATTTATAATCCGCATAATGGGACACATGATTTATAAATTGAGGGTTTAGAGCGAACATATGCAAACATCATTGAACTAAATGGTGGTGTTTCAATGAAAATCCTATAAATGGAGATTTCGTTCCCTGGGAAAATCATTGAACTATGAGTGATTTCCCAGCCAGCCACGTTTGAGTACTGGGTATATGTCCAAGTTACCAAATCAAATTCAGCTCAGCCAAAATCACCGAGTTTTTCATCATGTTGAATCCAAAAGATCCAGCGAAATCCATTTTGAATTGGACCCAACCATGTTATAATAAATGTAGTGCCAATGGATTATTCCATTATCATTAAAAGTATGTCATTTTTCCAGATTTTCGCCATGTTAAACTCACCTTTTTTGGCTGTTGAAGTCATCATCCGTCCAGGCAGCTCTGGCCGAAGCTTCGGAGGTGGATGGCGCGGACGAGGCCCTGAAATGAGGGAAATTCAGCGTGATTTCAGCAACATTGATATTTGGTTGGTGATTAATGATGGTTAATGATGGATAAGAAAATGGTTAATGATGTTGGTTAATGGTGATGATTTATTGGTTGGTGGTTTTTAACGACTAATGATGTTGGTGAACGATTAATGATGGTTAATCATGGATAATAATGGTTAATGATGTTGGTTAAGGGCGATGAGGAAAACTGGTTGGTGGTTTGGAACATGGCTGGATTTTGACTTTCCATTTCATATATGGGATATTATGGGATAATCCTTACCATCTGACGAACTCATATTTTTCAAGATGGTTAAAACCACCAGCCAGATGAAACATTTTGATTTCACTGATAGCTAAGTTGCTATAAGATGACATCTACCCTCTGGTAAACTAACATGACTATGGATAATCACCATGTTTAATGGGAAAACTCGCTATAAATGGCCATTGCCCATAGCTATGTTAGTTTACCAGAGGGTAAGTTGCTATAAGATGACATCTATCCAATAACTGTTGGCTTTATGGATTGCTCTTTTTTTTGGGGTCTATTTCGGCAGCAAACATCACTGGGGAAACAAAAAAAACCATGGAGAGACAAAAAAAGGTCCTGGGATCAGCGGTACTACATTTTGCCCAAAGGCTTGCATTTTCACATGATCAAGTCTGATAAACCATTGGAATTATTGCTAAATAGCCAGAGGGTAAATCGCAGATGTTCCAGATATGGAGGGTTCCCTAACATATCTAGCATGCTTTGGATCTGCAAAATTCCATGTCAAGACTATAATGACTAATGTCAACCCCGGATAAGATTCAACCATGGTTTATTAATTAGGGGGGTACTCCTCCAAATAATCATAATCTGATACTTGAATGGTATCCCCCAATGAAACAACCTAGGGGTTGATTAATCCAGGGTTGACATTAAATCATTGGAATTGTTGTCTAGAACGCAGAGGTTTCACAGCCAAACAGAATGGGGATTGATGATTCATGTCATATGAATCGAAGTCAGTCAGCGTCTAGAAAGTTCCTGTACATATTGTGATTCACCAAGCCAAAATTGATTGGTTTCAACATGTTTTAACCTGTTTTAACTAGTATTATCAACTATATCAAAAAATATATGGCATATTGCACCATGCTTAAACTACAGGGCCTTTCTGCCAAGAAATCCTCTTGCCCAGGCGGACGTGGAGCCTGTCCCGGATGGAGCTTCCCTGGTTCCCACGTCGGCGTTGGAGGTGCAAGCTCCACGGTCAGCGTATCCGGTCGTTCCTGGACGACCGGAGCTGCAAACGAAGCCACTCGGCCGACTGTTCATTGGTGATTTATTGGTTGGTGGTTTGGTTGATGGTTAATCATGGATAATACTGGTTAATGATGTTGGTTAATGGCATGGTGATGAATGACTGGTTGGTGGTTTGGAACATTGCTTTTATTTTTCAGAATATATGGCATATTATGGGATAATCCTGCCCATCTGACGAACTCATATTTTTCAAGATGGTTAAAACCACCAACCAGTGATGATTGATTGGGCAATCAAGGAAGATTCAGGCCCAAGATTCAGGACCGGGTTGAAACTTTCACTGGGACTTAGTAGGATTTGACTTTTCTATCTTTTTTGGGGTGCGGGTTAGTGGGTGTTTTATGGGTTATGAACCTACCTGGTTGAATTGGATCAAATGTTGTGATGGGATGTGGAAAGCTGTGTGGCATGTGGGAAATTCAAGGAACGACCATCACTTTTGGGAAATACGCTTGCTGAAGTGGATAAGTATAGGTTTTAAGCGGTTATAGCAATCCCCAAAAAGATAGGTGTTTCCACCTGTTATCGATCTTTTTTTGGGGTTGATATACTGTAATTGGCGCTGTCCACTGCGAAAGGTTAGGAGGCCTCGTGAGGCCTTTAGGCGGGTGATCCATTGTGAAGCTTGACCTGTCATTCTGCCACGTTTGGTTATGTTGGTTGGTGGTTTTAAGCCACAATATGTTTTTGGGCGAAAAAAAAAAAACGTCGATTGAACCAGGTTATGAACCAGGTTATGAACCAGGTTATGAACCAGGTTATGAACCAGGTTATGAACCAGGTTATGAACCAGGTTGTGAACCAGGTTGTGAACTGGTGAACTGGTTGTTCGGCAGATTTTTCTGGGCAGACTGAGTCGATGTTTCGGGGAAATTCTTCGATGGCACTAGCACCATTGTGAGTTACCCCCCATACTTTGTAAGTTGGAATATAAGCCATATTTATATATACAGTATATATATATATGTATATTCACCATTTCAGGAACCGATTGATTGGAGGTACCTACCATATATAAGGCCTACCATATATTAGGATCCTGGAATTTCCATTGATATATCATATATACCAATATGAAACTATTGGATGTCGGATTTCCGAATGACCATTGGTGACCAAGATGTCTCTGGAGTTTTCCATGTTGTCCATTTGCGTCCTCACTGAGGAAGAAGGTCCATCCCTTGCTCCAACGCTTTGCCAAGCAAGCGCCGGAAGTAGCTGAGGCTGAAAGCATCTGGGCAGCAGACCTTCGCCAGTGGGTGATGGTCATCCTTTGTTAAACACACTGAAGCACCCGGTTGGTGGTTTGGAACATTTGGATTATTCCCCACCTGCCAGGTGAGGGTTGTTAGATTTTATCAGAGTTGTTCTTCTTCTCCTCCTCCTCCTTCTTTTCCTCCTCGTTCTCCTCCACCACCTCTGCCTTCACTTCCATGTCCACTTCCGCCTTGCCAACCCTTCGCCAAGCTCTTCGCCAACTTCCGCACGCAATGGCCACTGCTGGACCTCAACTGCAAGGGTCTGAGCGCACAGGGCACCGCTGGACCTCATCCTGGGACCTTCCGATCTCAGTGAGCACGGCTGGACCTCAACCTGGGACCCTCCGATCTCAGTGAGCACGGCTGGACCTCAACCTGGGACCCTCCGAGCTCAGTGGGCACCGCTGGACCTCAACCTGGGACCTTCCGAGCTCAGTGGGCACCGCTGGACCTCAATGGCCAGATAGAATGCCAGAAGATATGCCAGATAGAACGCCAGATAGCATGTCAGATAGAATGCCAGAAGATATGCCAGATAAAATGCCAGAAGATATGCCAGATAGAATGCCAGAAGATATGCCAGATAGAATGCCAGAAGGTATGCCAGATAAAGTGCCAGAATGTTTGCCAGATAGAATGCCAGAAGATTTGCCAGATAGAATGCCAGAAGGATGCCAGATAGATATGCCAGAAGATATGCCAGATAGAATGTTAGAAGATATGCCAGATAGAATGCCAGAAGGTATGCCAGATAGAATGCCAGATAAAATGTCAGATAGAATGCCAGAAGGTATATAAAGTGCCAGAATGTTTGCCAGATAGAATGCCAGAAGATTTGCCAGATATATGCCAGAAGGATGTCATATGCCAGAAGATATGCCAGATAGAATGCCAGAAGATATGCCAGATAGAATGCCAGAAGATATGCCAGATAGAATGCCAGAAAAATGATATGCCAGAACATATGCCAGAAGTAGATAGAATGCCAGAAGATATGCCAGATAGAATGCCAGATCGAATGCCAGAAGATATGTCAGATAGAATGCCAGAAGATTTGCCAGTAACAATTGATAAATGTCATGGTGGGGATGACTCGAAGTAAAGTAATTTTCCCATCATATTGGGAATGTCATCATCCCAGAGGGGTAGGTATACCACCAACCAGCTTTGTTAGACACACTAAAGCACTCTATGTGTGTCTTTTGTTATGATAAAATGTGCTAACCAGCTTTAAAAAAAAACAACAATTACTTTACTTCGAGTGATCCCCACCCTGGCATTTCAAGTCATATATTCTGACATATATTTTGACATTTTGCCTGACATTCTACCTGACATCTATTCTGATATTTTATCTGGCATATCTTCCAGCATTTTATCAGGTATAGATTTTGGCGTTCTATCTGGCATATATTCTGGCATTCTATATTCGGGCAGTCTTTATGGCATTCCATCTGGCCGCTGAGGTCCAGCGGTGCCCACTGAGCTCGGAAGGTCCCAGGTTGAGGTCCAGCGGTGCCCACTGGGCTCGGAAGGTCCGTGGTTGAGGTCCAGCGGTGCCCACTGCGCTCAGAACCTTGCGGTTGAGGTCCAGCCGTGCCCACTCAGATCGGAAGCCGGCAGTTGAGGTCCAGCAGTGCCCACTGCGCGCGGAAGTTGGCGAAGAGATTGGCGAAGAGTTGGCACGGCGGAAGTGGACGTGGAAGTGGAGGCAGAGGTGGTGGAGGAGAAGGAGGAGGACGAGAAGGACGAGGAGGAGGAGGAGCAGGAGGAGGGGGTGGAGAAGAAGGAGGCGGAACAGCTGTGATAAAATCTAACAACCCTCACCTGGCAGGTGGGGAAAGAGTAGATCTGTTGGTAGGTATCTAAGATTCACAAAACATTTACTGTTGGGATTTTCATACCCAAGTGAGTAAGATAGTGAATGGGTTGTTGTTGAGTATGCTCTTTCTGAATGGTTGTTTGTTTTGTTTGCCACCTCAGTTTATCTTTATGTTTATGTTATTGCAGTGTCAGCTATGCCAACCAAAAAAATGAAAGCTCTTCAGCATCTACCAAAGCATTAGCGCATGCGCACACACACACACACTTATCCTGTACATTAATCCTGCACATTTATCCTTTTTAAAAAAATGTTTAAAACTACTTTATCTTAGTTCCAATACTTTAATCGTTTTCACTGAAGGGAACATTTATACTTAGCAACTCGCAACAATCCTGGAAGGTTTTCAAGATGAACAATTTTCTCAACAGTGAAAGCAATGGAGAAACATAGCTGGTTGAGTCTTTGGGCCATTGACTCCATGATTCCCACCTTAAATTTGAGGCAAATTTCCACAAACATGGGGAAGTAGTAAAGATAAAACCACTATATACACGTTTGTCTATGCGACTGAGAAAATCGGATACTGGCTGCAGATGTGGCAGTTTTTTGGGTCAACAACGAAGACGTGGTTGCTGTTTTGGAACCGCTGATTTCCCACAGGAAAGTGGGAGATATTGGGGAAAAACGGCCAAAACCATTTTTTGGGTTTTCCACACCAAAAACGCATGGGCAAACATCAAACCTGGATTCACTGAAGATGATAATGTCTTAATATGTTTTTTTTCCCAATGACACATCCACCACCTGAATATGCTGAAACATTTCTTAGCTGTTTCCTTAAGCAAATCCAGAAATACAGCACGAACTTGGGATGATTAGGATAACCTTAGAATTCAGGTATCAGAAGCTTCAGTCGAAACACGTCGAAACACGAGTTTCCAGTTGACTTCGGAGCGGATGACTCTAAAGATTCGATTGAGGCTTCACAAATTGCTGATTCGATTACTATCATTTTGAGGTGCAAACATCACACCTTTTGCTTGATGGTTCAATTATGTTCAAATTTATATACTTGCAATTTTTTCATGTTCAATCCTAACTGAGATACTCCTTTGACTTGACAAATATTTTTTTTAGGGGGTTGTTTGAACATTTGGGGGAAAACAAAACCTGATAAGGCTTCCTATCATCATATATATTCATAATTCATATTTCATCATTATTCTATCATTTCATATGTCATCATATGACAAAAAATGGCAGCATAAAAAGTATATTTATATCATCATTGTCATCATATATCATCATATATATATATATACATTATATAATATAGATTCCCATTGTGGGATGGATGACCATAGACCATATAATGTAGGAAACCCCAAAATAATCAACTGCCATTCGAGGATGATTTATAGCACCCATAAACATCCGCATAAACATGGTGATGACTTGGGTGTGTTTTATGAAATTGGGTTTATTACATTAGATTATCATCTTTTGAACCCGATGATGGGAAAACATGATGAACATCGGGTGATCATGGTAGTACCAAGCCAATTATGTGGTTTATTTTGGGGGATGGTTTACTACTATTTTACAATTATAATTATATATATATATACATATGTATATATTATACATAATATATATATATATGTATTTATATTTATTTACATAGTATATATATATATAAGTGTGTATATATATATATATGGCCAAAATACTGGCAAAATCCAGTCCTCTAGACCCAAAAACATCTGTCTCTGAGGTCCATCCTGGATGTGGGAGCCTCAATTGGAGTACCTTAAGGCGCAGTCATGACTTGAACAAAATGGCTGGATGGCACAGGAAAAATCAGGAAAATATGGATTTGAGTGGTACATGATAACTAGGTCAACCTTGGATGGGTACTTTAATCCTAACTAGTCGTTTGGTATCAATGGGATTATCTCCCAATCAGCTAAGATTTTGTTTGTTTTTTTTTGCAGGGTATCTAAGATTGGCCATGATAAATGATAAGTCATGATGAATGATAATGCAAAACTATTGCAAAGTTGAATTTCCACATCATGTAGAGGCATATTTTAGCAGAATACGCAATTTACAAGCACCGATGTGAGGGTATGATGGGGGATATGTCGGTGGGATGTTGTATAATCAACCAACAAGAATATGACATGGTTTGTCCAAAGATGGTTGGCATTACCCTCTGGTAATTTAACATAGCTATAGACAATGGCTCATTTATAGTTGATTTACCTATTAAAAATGGTGATTTTCCATAGCTATGTTAGTTTACCAGAGGGTATCTCCAGTTTATCGCTATTTTGCTGGGGAACATTTAATGATCATTTATGGGATTCCAAACAGACAAGCCCATGATGCCCATGTCTGTTGTTCATCCCCACCCCCGATGACACCCAGTGATTAGATGTACCCTCTGGTAATGACAAAATAGCTGAAAATGGCCCAGTCGAAATAGTTGATTTATCCAGCTATAAAATGATTATTTTCCATAGTTATGTAAACGTTTACCAGAGGGTAGGTGACAATCTGAACATCTCAGAGCAGTTTATAGAAAACTGTTCCTACCACGACATTTTTTTTGCAAGACATGGAGTTCAACGTTCAACTCTTTGATCTCAAATATATATATATATATATATTTGATCTGGAAATTCTGTCAGATTTTTTGACCAATATTTGGGACATGATGGGACATGTATGTTTATATTGTATTACATGACCTAGGACCCTCTACAGGCATATGTTGCTCCTTTTCAGTCTCAACTATCGAGCCAAGATCAGGTGTGTCATGGTGTCTCTACACATACCTTTTTGGGATTGAGACATCACCTGATTGTCAAATCGCGGCTCACTGCGTGCTGTTTCTTCAGGACGTAAGAACTCCTGAACATGTTTACAGGTGAGTTTCAACCACAACAAAAAACAATATATTTGAAGAAAATCATTCTCCATCCCCCCAAAAATGCACGAGTTTTCCGAGTATCGACCACCTTAAAAGCACTCCATGTTTGATGTCGTCATGAACTTGAAATCCCGTTACAAGATCTTACTGGAGTGACAGGGGTGCATTGATCATTCATAAGAACCATGTTGAATGATCAATGTTCAACGACTTTTTATCACAGTTAAATCACGAATCAGTATGACATGATCATCTTATGATCACAATGCCCAAACATATGATGATATAGTCATGCATGAGTGAACTACTCTTTGGTAATGTGGCAATGGAACATCCACCATTTAGTTTGATGATTCTCTCAGCTGCAAAGCTCCACTTTTAGGGGATGTCTCATTGCCATTTTTGATGATCGAATGGTATATGATGATCATCAGATTTTTGTGTGATAGAACATGTGATTCATTCCATGTTTCTGGGTTTTGAAAGAATGTGAAATGGATAATTTTCAGGAATGAACATGATTAACATTTGGTTGGTGGTTTGGAACATTTGGATTATTTTTCCCTTCATATTGGGAAGAATAAATCCAACTGACGAACTCACATTTTTCAGAGGGGTAGGTCCTAGTAGGTATACCACCAACCAGAAATATGATGAGCTGTAAATGTTCTATCATAAGATATCGACATAGATCATATGGTACTAATAGCTATTCTGAGGAGTTTTTTTCATCGGATGTATTTATGCATTAGTATTAGCATGTCTTAGCAATTTCAATTATGATTAATAGGCAATGACTAGACTAATATTAATAGAGATTAAATGATTAACATATATTAGATATTTACATATATCAATAGATGTTAACATATATCAATAGTTCTTAATGGATATTACCCTCTGGTTATTTAACAGTTCGCCATGGAAAATCACCATTTGTAATAGGCTAAACCATCTATTTCTATGGGCCATCTATACCATGGCTATGTTAAATAACCAGAGGGTAATGCCAACCATCTTTGGACAAACCATGTCATATTCTTAATGGCTATTAATGGCTATTAATGGATATTAATGGATATTAATGGATATCAATACTTCATAATGGATACTAACATCTATCAACAACCTGCCCGGCTTCCTCAGGAGGAGGTCTATGCGCCCATTGTTCCGGTGCAGCTACGGCAGATGCCTGCGAAGGTGAAGCGGAAGCGCATCTTGGTCCATGAGGCGACGACGGTGGGGTGAGTGACGAACTACTCAACAAATCTCAACTACCAGGCCATTTGTGGATAATAATGGTGATTAATGATGGTTAATTATGGTTAATCATGGATAATAATGGGTAATGATGTTGGTTGATGGTGATTAATGACTGGTTGGTGGTTTGGAGCATGGCTTTTATTTTTCCCATCATGTTGGGAATTGTGTAAGCCCAACTGACTTTAACTCCATCATCATTTTTCAGAGGGGTAGGTAGGTATACCACCATCGCTTCCATTGACTCAGGATGCGTCACCTTCACATATCATGCGGAAAGCTCTAAGAACTGATGCAACACGCTGTCTATATATATATCATATATGTGTGTATAGGTACTGTATACAAATAATATATATATAATACTATATATATAATACACTATATATATATATACCTATACAATGTTTAACCGCAAGATCTGGGACTAGGACCTGTTTCTTGCCAAAAACTGTCTCTAGGACCTCCTTGAATTCTTTGTTCGCTGCGCCAGGTGGCGCATGAACGAGGAGACACCTGGCAAGAAGCAGCACATCGAAAGTACCTGAAACTCTGGGACAAGATGAAGCCGCCAGGTGGAGCCCTTGGTTTTAAAGCATAGGATGTTCAGCTCCAAGGAGTTACCAGCTGCAAAAAAAAATCAGCAAGGACTTAAATCAACGTTTCTAGACATGGATTTTCATATATATATATATTCACATATATATATATATATTCACATATATATATATGTATATATTCTGATGAATGGTTGATAGCACAATTTTCATTTGGGTGCTGTGATTTGGATGTCCTTTGTGATTTCGTTGATCTTCTCAATACACGTCGTGTGAAACAGGTATTAGTAATGGGGAATGTAATCCTTCCCATTGACGAACTCCATCATTTTTCAACATGGTTATTGCACCACCAACCAGATATGTTTGAATCCTCGACACAAATGCCCAATTGATGTGTTTGAAACCGCTTGAATCCTCAAAGCGCTCAATAATTCTATGAATTCTATACTGTATAAGATGTTTTTCAGTCACAATGCTGGTAGACTCCGAATGGAGTTCGAAATTTCATGTGTATTCATTTGTGCCATCGTCAAAAGTTCAATGATACTCCCGCATTGGGGGATGATCATCAATCCGTTAACATGGGGATTCATATTACGAAGATGTTGGGATTCCCATGATGGGAATGACCATAACCCACATAACCCACATATCACATTGTTGGTTATGTATCTTCCAACATAAAGTTTTCCAATGAAGTATCCCATTGTATATCCTTGTGGTTTCGATTTTCTGCAGATTTCAATTGTATGTTTAAGAAAAATAGGTACAGCATGGTACAGCTATTATTAATCTGGCTGGTGGTTTGGAACACGGCTTTTATGTTTCCCATCATATCGGGAATGTCATCATCCCAACTGATGAACTCATATTTTTCAGAGGGGTAGGTATACCACCAACCAGTTAATTATTGATGTATATCATATATATATATGTTTGCCGCCCTTTTGTGCTTTTATGTTTGTTGGTGTATTTTGAGCAATCCTAATCAATCCCTGTTAACCCATGGGAATTCACGATATGAATGCTATGTTGATTAGTTGCCATCTCCAAATCCGATGATTGATGGTTACATTCCATGTGTTGCTGATCTTCCATGAGTTTCCGATTCCCGATGATATTCCCAGAAACATATTCAACATATTCTGGTTGGTGGTGACTGGAACATGGCTGGATTATGACTTTCCCATCATATATGGGAAGAAGAATCCCAACTGACTTTAACTCCATCATTTTTTCACAGGGGTAGGTTGAAACCACCAACCAGATTTGCATGAGTTATCACAGTTGTAACATGTTATAACCACCTGATATATCCCGATGATATTCCCAGAAACATATATATATATATATATCCCATAGGATCCATGTATAGTATATATATGGTAACATTTACCATCAATATACCCCCTTTATGTTAGCATATATATATATATACCATACATGGATCCTATGGGTATATATATATAATGGGTATATATATATATTATAATATATATATATATTCAACATATTCCATGATTGGTGAAATCCCACAAGAATCCCCTGGTATCTCGACAAAAAAAACACCAGAAAAAAGAAAAAGGTCCATTGCTCCAGGTCGCAAAGAGACCGAGAAGATCTCGGTGAGGCGCCGCGGCGCCACCGAAAAATGGTGCTTTTTCATGGCTGGAAATGGTGGAAATATGCATATGAAAAATACATTATATATATATATATATTATATATATACTATGTTCAGGTGATTCTGCCATTTTACCGACCAATCATTGTTTTTTTTTTTTAATGGGGATACAATCGGATCTATAGAGGATCACCATCTTGTTGAACTGAAAACATCTGAAAAAAATTGAAAAAACATCACCAAAAAAATCCGTGGTAGCCACTCGCTCATGTTTGAATTCCCGTGAAAGTCAATGAAATGGCATCCGAAAAAATGGTCGAGTGATGTCACCCAATTTCCTCAGATGACTTGCAGGCTGTCATGGGCTACCAATTTCCTATCTTGGTTCTGGGATGTTTTTTGCATATATCCTCCGGGTTGTCAATCGTGGCAAAGTGAAATCCAGTTCGAAGGGAGCTTTGAGCGGGAAACTCATCTATAATTGCGGATTTGTTCGATTATTTTGTTTGATTACCGGAGGGTACTGAATGTGGATGCATCAAATTATATGATTGAGGACTTCTTATTGAGGATTTATTTGTTCTTATCATCAGTGATTGATGATTTGGGATGTGTCAAGAAACTGAACAAACTGAATCTCCGGTCCGAAAAAAAACGCAGAACATCGGCGCCGGGGATAGCTGGTTCCGTGGTTTAATGGAGGAGTTCGCCAACAAAAATGTCTATGTGGGTAAAACAATGCCATAAATCACCCATGACTGGGAAGGGTTTATACCTACAAATTTGGAGATTTGGATAGATTTGGGGGATGGTTTAATGGCATTGTTTTACCCACATTACGTAGATCTATCAGTATTTACCAGCTAATTTGCATGCCTAGACATGTTGCCATTGTTTTCAATAGTTTAACCCACCAATGTAGAATCCTTGGGACAGATGTATTGCCCCCGGATCGCAAGTCCAAGCAACCATTATTATATATTGCTATAGTTGTTTTCATAGATTTGGGAAACCAACTCACTGTTTCAAGCATTTTCAAACAATCTACTATCATACCTCATTTTTCTTTACTCATTTTGAAGATAAGGTCAACATATTCCAATGTTTGAAGATCATCGGTCAAAATAGTTTTCCAATCTTAGAAGATCTGACCTGACCTGATCCACAAAAATGGTCAACATCACTTTGCTATAATCAATGGATTGGTTTTCTTGGAAACATCACTGGAAACCAATGGGATTTTCCCATTTTCAGATCATGGGGCTTTCCTGGGAAATTCTCCCGTGAAAACCAATCCATTGAGATCAGAGCTGTGCAGGTACCACAGGGCAAAGAAGGCCTTTGAAGACGAGCAAGTCAGGCGGAACCTCTATGGCAGAGGTGATAAACATGATGATTTACCTATTACGATAGTAATTTATGATAAATTTCCTATATTGAAGATGGTGATTTATGATGAATTTCCTATAGCGAAGATTGTGATTTATGATGATTCCGCTAGAACAAAGGTGGATTTAACGGATATAAAGCCAACTTGAAGATCAATATGATATAACAATATGACAATGTGGAGTAGTTATAGCTAAAACATGCTAAATTAGGAATATCAGAAGACATGTGCGATGACTTCCAAGTAATCTCACAACATTTGAGTTCTGACATGTAATATTATGGCCGAAGAATATGAACAATGAACATCAGCTGTTCACTGGGTTGGTTTAAGGGAACGTTTGCGAGTTTAGTTCGACGAACCATGGAGTGGAGTGGGGTACGCCTCCATTGATTCCCCCCCCGGAAATTTGTGCCAGGCTGCCATAGCTATGGACAAGCACCATTAAAAACATCGCCAAATCATCGTTTTTTGCCATGGCCATAGCTTCCAGTTTGCAATCCTCGATGATTTCTTTCCATCGAAAGCTCCATGGAAACAGGATTGATGTTTCCGATGATTTGCCACTTCGTAAAGCCTTCGTCATTTATGCTATGCCATAACATATATATATATATGGTTGGTGGTTTCAAACATTTTTTATTTTCCATTATTTTTTGGGATAATCCTTCCCATTGACTTTCATATTTTCAAGATGGTTATTGCACCACCAACCAGATATATATATATATATCATGACATGCTCAGCAGAGTCTCTCCAACTCCTGTCCACTCGCAGGCGGCAAAAATGGACCTTGAGTGCGGAACAGAAACGGCAGCGCAGAGCCGCGAGAGCGGGGAACGGTGCCTGAGGTGCGGGCGTTGCTATGAAAAACTTGCCGGGTGGTTGATGAAAATGATGATCATGCTGGTAAAACCATGTCATAAACCACACATATATGGTTTGATTGTTGAAAAACCACCCATGAATATTTACCAACTTGTTTGGCTTATTGAAAACAGGATTTCAACAATCAAAGCATGTGGATATAAGATGATATGAGTGGATATTATTGATAGATGATGGCTGGTCAATGATGACTCTGGGGATTAATTATACTAACCGATATATAACGGGGATGATCACAATCTACGAAGGGGGAAATCCTGAAAAAAAACATGCATTTTTCCATAGAATGACCAGAAATGGGGATTGCACCAGCATATTTCTTGGATAAAGACTTACCCTCTGGTTATGACTGTTACATAGCCATGGTATAGATGGCCCATAGAAATAGATGGTTTTACCTATTAAAAAGGGTGATTTTTCATGGCTATGTTAGTCATAACCAGATGGTAAGTGTTTCACAAGTTTCACCATCGGGGGCTCAACAGGAGTTTACAGATTCCCACAATGTGAGGCCCCCCAGTGATGTTTGTTGGTTAACAAAAGCCCCAGTAACTAGTTCGTTATCAGTACCATAAACCATAGTTATTGGAGTTATGTTCACCAACTTAGAAATCTTGGGAGCCTCACATTGCAGAAGAAGAAGCTTCGACACGACTTGAACACTTTGATGGTGAAGCATGAAGCACACTGCAGGCGCTGGTGAAGTCGAAGAAGTCGCTGCGTCCAAAAAGTCGGACTGGTCGAAAACTCTGCGACTGGTGGAAATGGAAATGGGAAATTTTATGGAATTTGACCATCAAACAATGGGATTTTAGTCACTTTCAGTCATCAAAATATATATTTGAATACCATTGGTTAGTGGGGATATATATATATATACAATTATATTATATATATACATATATAATCCTTAACTATTAATGGACATGTTACACACTTCGGGATGAATTTTCACGACCTCACTGCGGCCATAGATGATGGTGAGGGATAATTCTCCCAATATCCCTTTACTGGCCTTATGTCAGTTGGGTGGAATGGAATATTATAATTTTCCCAGAACAATGGGATTTTAGTTATCAAGATATTAGGATACGCTGTATAGCCAGGTGTAAACCATGGTGTAAACCATGGTGAAATTGTAAAGAGTTGTTTAAATTTGTGCCACACATGGTGATATATACTAAATGATACTAACCCGTATTGAAAAATACAGGCTATCTATAATAGTCTATAATAGTATATATATATATTTTCATGACAGCAGTATCATATATATGATTATGTCATATGATGTCTATGATCAATCTACCGGCGAAAATTTGCTGCATGTGTAAATGGTGTTGCTCGGATGGCACTAATCTGGAAGAAACATGTCCTGGCAGCTGGTGAACCAATTCCTTGTTCAATGGCCATGACTCAGGAAGCGATTGATTGGAGCTACCTATCATATATTTTTGGCCGAAACATAAGGCTTATGTAAGGGAAGATCCGCAGAAAATGTGGCCAGAAATATGGTACTAACGTATACCTCCATTTTAGGATCCTGAAAATACCATTGACTTGTGGTGTCGGTTGTTTTTCTATATCGCCATGCTATTTCCAGGAGTGTCATCGTTGGCACCACCGATGTCGCCATTTGTGAAGATTCGAATGTCAGTTTTGCGAAAAAAGATGGGTCTCCCTTTTTTGCCCCCCTCAATTTTCAGAACTAATAGGTACATGATAATTTAATGATAATCATTACATTAATGATTCTACAGTGATGCATTTTATACCAAGCCGCAGCCGGCCCCACTCGTGACTCGTGGTGACGGTTTTTTTCCGCACATCAGCAACCAGGTAGCGTGTCTATGAATTGTTGGATTTGCATATGACTGATGTGAAGGAATTACACACACTTAATATACTGGTTGGTGGTTTGGAACGTGTTTTATTTTCCCATCCTATTGAAAAACAACAACTGATTTTTATATTTTTTCAGAGGGGTTCAAACCACCAACCAGTATATATATATATAACTCCCATCACTGGAGATGTTTTGGGGTAAATGTCCGAAAAAACCGATGTGGAGAGTTTATGTTGGAATCAATCCGTTTGTCCAAGTAGAACCCACAGCTTGCCCTATATTCAGCTTGCCTTCGACGCCATAAGTTCATCCATTTGTCGGGTTTTGTCCTGAAACAAGGGACGCTGTATCTCAAATCCAAGCAGTTTATCAACATTTTCCACTTTAAGATACTTTAACCACATAAACACATATCTAAAATCACAACACTAGGTCAATCTTACATGGATACTTTAATCCTAACTAGTCTTTTGGTATCAATGGGAATATCTACGTTCACCAGCAAAGAATTTGTCATTTGTTGCAGGGTATCTTTCAGATTGGCAATGAACACCCCCCCCAGTTATAAATGGGTTATAATCCAAGTAACTATAGTTATAAGTACCATAAACCATAGTTATTGGAGTTATAAACAAACTTAGCTAACTATGGGGCACCACCCTGTAAATCACAACATAGCACAACATTCTTGGGGGCTCCATCGGTCAATGGAGACCCCGATCTCTACAAGTCCGCCGCCCAAGCGAGTTCGCGGGGAGCGCGGTGGGCGGAGGGTTCAGCGGCAGAAGAAGCTGCGGGAGCTCACAGAACAAGGTCTCTACATCCCTCAAAGCTGGAAAACACTATCCCCAAACAGCAGCCATGGCAGCAGCCATGGAGCCAAAAAGATCCCAACAAAACAGCAAACAGGGCCTGGAGGGCCTGGATCTGGTGAAAAATCCGAAGATGTCCAGTTGGATGATGTAAGATCTGGTGAAATCCAGGAAAGACCTGAGAGGAAGGAAGATTTCGTGTGGGTTCTGGTGGACCGATCACCTTCACCGGAGTTTCCCAGTTGGGGCGAAGCCGGCGAAGCCGAAGCCGGCGAAGCTGGAAACATGGAGACTTGGCTGTGTTTTTTGATCATTTTGGCATTTTCCCATATGTTCCCAATGGGAAATCGGGAAATCCACCATGACTGGGGAAGCTCAGGGATTTATTTGTTACATAACGTTACATAGCCATGGTTTTTCGATGGCCTATTTATAGAAATAGATGGTTTACCGTTCTTAAAAATGGGTGGATCTTTCCATGGAAAACTGTGAATGTCATAACCAGATGGTAAATCCCATTATATCCCCTATAAATCCCCATAAATCACCACTAAATCACCATTAAATCACCACTAAATCCCACTAAATCCCCATAATCCCCAGTATGTTGTTTGTTTTGGACCATCTTAAGCAACTCCAAGGAGAGCGTAGCAACCGTAGCGAAGAAACTGATCCGACCTACGCGGGCACCGACGAAGCCGGAAAAGCCGGTGGAGCAAAAAAGGCTCGTTTTGGACGACAGCCCCAAGTTGTTGTGGAACCCTTAGCTGCCTTAGCTACTTGGAAAAGCAATGATAAGTATCCCATAGGATCCATGGTGCTGGTATATATTCTAACATGACTGGGGTATATTGATGATAAATGTTACCATATGTACCATACATGGATCCTATGGGTATGACTAACCCAACAATGAGCCATCCTCAACTCGGTTTATGGAGTCTGTCATTGTTGGTTTTGGACTTGTCTGCTGATGTCCGGTCATCTTTCTTCATCTAGTCGAATTTGAGTTTGATTTTTTTGGAAATATAAAAACAGTTTTTCTTAGTTTTCAAGAATTGGTACCTGATTTCAACCAGATCATTTTTGGCGACTGCAACTAGGGCATTCGTAATCCCAGATCAGCTCAACCCCGCTAGTAATACCAGGTATATTCCTATTTTGGATGTAACATGATCCCCCAAATTAATGGTTGGTTAATGGTCATGGTTTATTATTGGGTCTACAACATTTATAATAACGACAACCTTTGGAATTCCGGGAAGATACACCTCCAACAAGATCAGAGGCTACTTATTGAGCTCACTGCATGATTGCTACTGGTTCTCTCACTTCATGAATTTTGGAGCACCAGTATAGATCTGAAGAACTCCGAGAAATCACTGGGAAAGAACATTGATATATAATGTATATATATACATATATATAATATGTATGCATCACCAGAAGCTTTGGGGTCAGCAACCCTCTAAAAACAGGATGGTGTTATTTTCTTTGGCTACTTTTCTTGTAGGACATACCGGTAGGATCTCATTAGTAAGTACGTGAAATTTTGTGATACCCAATCTGAAAAACAGTGCGACATTTCGTTCAGAACCTGACAACATCTTACGTCTTATCAATGGCCATGACTCAGGAACCGATTGATTGGAGGTACCGATTCCATATATAAGGCCTATATATATTAGGCCTAAATTTCAGGGAATATACACCCAAAATATGGCCAGAAATATGGTACTAACGTACCCCCATTTTAGGATCCTGGAGATCTTCCATTGATCTTAATCTTACCATTCTAAGCCCTGCTAAGCTATTGCTGCGGCGCAGAACGAACAAAACCCTGGGACCCAAATGGTGATGGTGCCCTGGTGCCTGGTTAAGTAGCTGGTGAATGGATGGTGACTCCTCCTTAAATATATCCAAATATGGATGATAATGGTGATTAATGATGGTTAATGATGGTTAATGATGGTTAATGATGGTTCATGATGGTTAATAATGATTAATGATTGTTAATAATGGTTAATGATGGTTAATAATGATTAATGATTGTTAATAATGGTTAATGATGGTTAATAATGATTAATGATGGTTAATGATGGTTAATGATGATTAGTGACTGGTTGGTGGTTTCAAACATGGCTTTTATTTTCCATAACACATGGGATAATCCTTCCCATTGACTAATATTTTCAGAGGGGTAGGTATACCACCAAGCAGTAAATGTTGATCCCAAATCTTTAACCTGTTGTTAGCCTCAATTTTTGGAACTTTCCGTCGATACCTCGAATGGACGATTGACGACGTCGCTGGAATCCTTGTGAGTATCCCTTTATTAGATGATGGTACTCGTATCCCAATGATTCAAAGGATCCTAATGTTATTTAACAGGGATGTTACCAATATTTAAAGTGCTTTTAACCAATGTTTAAAATATATATACCATCTGGCTATGACTAACAGTTCGCCATGGAAAGATCCAGCCATGTTTAAGAACGGTAAACCATCTATTTCGATTAGGGCCATCGAAAAACCATGGCTATGTAACAGTGATAACCAGAGGGTAAATCCCATTATATCCCCTATAAATCCCCATAAATCACCATTAAATCACCATTAAATCACCATTAAATCACCATAAATCACCATTAAATCAATTATGATGTGTTTCAATTGTCCAGAATTGAAGCAGAGGGAGTCAGTAACAGCGCACCATGGCGCGACTGTGACTGACCTGGTGGCCTTTTCACTTTCTGCGCAGACTTAGCTTCAAATGTGTCAATGTGAAAATGCGGTGATTGAATCAACTTTAAAGAAATGACAAGTTGAGTAGAAGGGGCAAGGGTGCTTCACATCCAGATGGAAGACCCAACTTCACCCTGATAACCTAGACCTATGATAGGCGCAACAACTCTCTAGAAATGGAGGATGAGGCAGGCAAAGACATGCGTTCATGTATAGTAAGGATGAATATGGTCTTGGGCCTAGAAGTGCTGAGCTTTCCGGACGGTCCAAAAGGCTTTCAAACCCTTTGGAACACCTCATTCAAATGACTGACAACCTAGTTGAAATACGCTTCAGCAAAGAACATCTATACACTAGTACAGTCTATGCGTGGATCTTGGTGCACAATTCTTGATTTCATATCTTGCAGCCGGAAACCGAAGTCATCCGCACCTGCTCCGCAACTTTCGACCGATTTCGCCATGCCGGTCTCTTCTGGGGAATCGGGGTCCGCGAGCGGGTCCTTCGAAACAGAGGAGGCTCGCAGTAGCACAAGTCTGGTTGGGGGAATATACGCTGGTTGGTGGTTTAGAACATTTGTTTTTCTCCATATATTGGGAATAATACTCCCAACTGACTTTCATATTTTTCAGAGGGGTAGGTCAACCACCAACCAGTATGGGAATATATAACCAACCTTTTTATTGGGATATGGTGGATGTATCATATGGGCATCTCATGGACTACACTGGTTGTTTTTTTTCTGCAGATATTAGTGTTTTCCTGACTGCAGAAAAACGGGATATGTAGAGTGGAAAAAAGAGTGGTCATTTTTTTTTATTTGCATGAGTTACAAGCCGTTAGTGACATGTTATGTTCTTTATGTTTGGTTCGTGGTTCATTCACAACCATTCTATTGGGGATGATCATCATGATCATCACCGACGCAAATATATCTTTCACGGGCTGGGCAATGAAGCCATTCGGATAAGGGGGTTGATCATCTTAAGCTAGACCAGGTCAAGAAAAATGGAGAAAGACATTGTAAAAAATGGAAATTCAGCCACCAAACTCAAGTAGCCTCTGCTAAAACTAACAGTTTGCTTTTGAAAATGGCCATTCGGATCCATTTGCTTCGTTGATTTACCTATTAAAAATGGTGATATTATGTTTAATTAATGTCAGTTTACCAGAATCTATATAGACATGATCTTGGTCGCTTCCTGAGACATACTGAACGGGGAGTTCTATCACTTGAAATGGATAAATATAGATATGCAGAAACAAAAGTGGGTCGGTAGTCAAAACGGCAGAAACAAAAGTGGGTCGGTAGTCAAAACGACAACTTCAGTACCCAAAGCCAGGTGTTTCATGGTGTTTTTATCTGTGGGATGTCTACGAAGATCGATTTGGGGTAACTTGTCCCACAGCCACCTTGATCTGAAGACATCCATGAACTCTACATGTGGCGCATTGCGCCGCTCCGCAAGACTTGACAACTTGAGTTCATGTCCGGAGCATCTCGGAAGTATAGTCAATATTAAGATGTTAAAAGTAGCTACAGATATCCCATGGATGCAGAAAAATACTACAATGTGAGGCCCCCAAGATAGCTAAGTTGGTTCATAAGCCCCAGTAACTAGTTCGTTATTTGCGTACCATAAACCAGTTCGTGACATTGGAGTTATGTTCACCAACTTAGTTATCCAACATTGATATCATATGTCTGAATATCTCCGATATTTCCATATATTTCCTGAGGGGATGAACATCAACGCCATCTATGGTGTAAGAAATCGCCTCGATGACTGGACCTTGGGGTTTCCCAGGAACCATAGCGATTCTCCATGTTTTTTTTTTTTAAGCGCAACAAAGGCCGCAAGATATCGGAATGAATGGGTTGTTTTATGTTGTTTCCCAGTTTTTGTGTTTTTCAGCATAGCTTAGCTATAATTATATCTGAAACAATCTGAAACAAAAGAATTGGATTACCATCTGGTTATGACTAACAGTTCGCCATGGAAAGATCCACCCATTTTTAAGAACGGTAAACCATCTATTTCGATTAGGGCCATCGAAAAACCATGGCTATGTTAAATAACCAGAGGGTAATAAGTTATGTACCCACATCCATCATCCCAAAATCCCCATGACATCGCTCGGAAAATCCCATTGTTAATTTGCTGAAATCTCCATTGATTTCCATTGATAATTCTGTACTGCATATATATATATATACATACCATGTTATCCCCGTATATGATATGTATCTATATGACGGTTTGCCAAAATGTGTTTTCCTGGTTTTGTTGATAAATCGTAATTCCTTGCGTGCCACTTCTTACTTTGCCTTCGCAACCATGACTGACCTAAATAGTCTGAAACCCTGCATTTTATCTTTCATGTCTGAAGCCGTAGCTAAAACCTGCAGTAAATGCTAACGCGCGTCTATATGAAGTGGGTGCCGGTGCTAGTTGCTAGTGGTGGAACTGGAATATCTGAAGAGCTGGTCGTTGCCTTTGCTGTCACTGTTGCTTTGTCAAACAGACAGGATAAACTACAAGTTCTCTGGTGGCGACTGGGTCACGGGTCAACCAAAGCCGTTGTTTGAAACTTTTGCTAGCGCATTGCTAGCGGGGATCTAGCGGGTAAAATTACGTACAAATTCGCAAAGTTGACCCGCAACCTCAAAAATATAGGAAAAGTGTTGAGTAGCACAGAAATTCACTAAGACATCCTTAGGTTTAAGGAGCTAAGTGTTACATCTTGACTTTTCTTCATGTTGAAATAACAAGCAGACAGGAACACAAAAAAATATCCTTGAATATGGGTGTGAAAAAAACTAGCGCAAGTCTAGCGGGTTTGCTAGCGCTGCCTTGCAGAATTCCTGCATTTAGTTGCGTGCCGCCTCATAACGAAGAGGAAAAACAACTAGGTCCACACTAATTATCAACAACTAGCACAAAGCTTCTGTCAACTATTTTTGGCAAATGGTCACATATATATATATATATATGTATGTATCCAAGTACATCTAATCTAATGTAAACGAACCCTTCATCTAATGAATCTAATCAATCTAATGACATCACTGGTTGGTGGTTTGGAACATTTGGATTATTTTCCCATATATATATATATTGGGAATGTCATCATCCCAACTGACAAACTCATATTTTTCAGAGGGGTTCAAACCACCAAGCAGTATATATAACATGTTATCCCCATAATGAATCTTAATTATATACTTACATCCCCTGTATCTCTCTCCTTTTCGGTTGTGCATGTTGGTCATTTCAATCCCTTCAAAATACTGGTATGCCTGGCATGCTTCAAGCTTGATTCTTCCCCAGGTGTCCTGGATGGTGATGACCTTTTTGAACTTCACCCCTAAAGGCCAGGGCCTAAAAAGGGCCTTTAGGGCCCAGCCCCTCAGGACGAAAGCGAAGATGAGATCGACGTCACCTTGGTCAACTTGAAGCAACGCCGGGGGAAACTGGGCCGCCCCAAGATGTGGAATGGGGTGTAGGATAGTAATGCATAGAGAAAAGCCGCCGTCTCGAACTGAAGCATAAATTGGTAGGGAAACATATTATTTAAGTATAATCTGCCACTATTAAATAAATGATATAGCCAATACTTGTATAACTTAATAGTGACTCAGTGGTAGATTATAGAAATAATTTCAGCAGTTCGATGGGTGAAACATCCGCCAAGGAGGTGCCGTCCCCTATGTACGGCGGGATGTTTTTGCCACACCTGCTACGTTGCTTGGAGAAGATTCGCTGGGGAGGAGATCAGGTGCTAAACTTCTGCTGAAAAAACATGGTTTAAAAGTTTTAAGTCTAGAAATGGATACCCAAGAAATCTCAAGAATCTGTAAATATTTGTACAAATTAGATAGAATTAGCATGTAGTCTAGTTGAGATATGTAATTCAGGAACATCAACTTGGATGATTTTTTGGAGGCAAAGCTGAATGGGTGTTGGGAAATGGCATCGAAACATGGGCAGGTCAACACAGTGAACATATCTGGGAATCAAAATTGAGGTACCCTCTGGCAATTCAACGTAGCTATTGAAAATGGCAATTTATAATGGATCTACCCACTAAAAATGGTGATTTTCCATAGTTATGTTAGTTTACCAGCGGGTAGCAAAGCTCCCAATGTTTTTTTGATCATGTTGAGTATTCAAACCATCCGTTTCTTGACGATGTTACGAACAATTGACCCATACAACCCATACAAGCTCTTGGTGCAATGTGCATTTTTTTTCTGATTGCAACCAGTATGTGCCGTTGTTTTGCTGTTGAAATGATATAATGATCCCAGTTCATTCTTTGGGACGGGTTGAACCCAGCAACAAAAAAAACATGTCCATCCTTCTTGTCGGTGAGGTGGTAGTTATTTGTTTTTATTTGGTCGACTCCTTTTTGTTGTGGCCACACCACGCCATAGATGTTCTTTTCCCATTGGTTGGTTGATTAATAGAAGGGGTTGTTTACCCCTTAACAACAGGTAAATGATGATAGATGGTATACCAAACCGGCCCATGACTGCAGATTATTCAGTTCGTGATTTACCTCTTGGTTTTTCCCTTATGGGCGAAGTGGCTCGTGACCAGCCCCATGCCCACGAAGTACTGGAACCAGGAGGGCGGCAGCGGACGGCGCTGGCTGTAACGAAATGGGGGATACCCCCGAATCATCCATTTTAATATGGTGTTCAATTATAAAACTATAAACCATCCAGTGGAGAATCCCCCATTTTAGGAAAACTCCTGGCACACGGAACTACTCTCCATCTTTGAAAAGGCATTGATGGATTTCAGGAGTACATGCTGAGTCGGGAAAAATAAAGATAGTACATAATGATAGTAATATTAATATAATGTAATTAATATACCTTTAGTACTATCTTTATATAGTAATTAATATATAACAATTACAAATAATAATGGGTACATCTCCAGCAACCCCACGTTGTTGCAAACATGTTGGTTTCATGGTTTGAGTTTTCCCATGAAATCAGCCCACTGAATCCCGCACAGAAATGTTCAATGGATCCAAGAATTACATTGTAAATTTCAAGAGAAGGCTTTTGAGGCTGGTGTTCAATATTAGGGGGAAGCAAAATTCGATCAGTGATCTCGGTTTTTTCTTGATCAGAATACACCACTATTGTTGATGAATATCACCATTGTTGCTTGGAAAAATGCCTAATTTCTATACATTCCTGTTAACTAGTGAAATCCCCATCTTCGAAGTTCAGTTTTTGCCGGGTAAAGTCCTGCAGTTTTTATGGCAAACCTTTAAAAACCTTGGGTTTTTGATGGTTTCACCATGTTTCACCAATGCTGCGGAGAGGACTTCCCTGCTTGGCCTGTCATTCCCAGCGCTGCGGGCCGGGAGATTGGAGCCCAGCAGGACTTCAGGTGGAGCTTTTGGAGAGATCCACCCATTTTCCCATAGGATCCATGGTGCTGGTATATATATATATATATATATGGATAATGGATCCTATGGGAAAATGGTAATCTTGGGGTATATGGATCCTATTGATGATAATTTCCCATATATGCTAACATGACTGGGGTATATTGATGGGATCCATGTTACCATATATGGCAGCACCATGGATCCGTCATGGGTTATAGCTGGGAAAATCCACGAACTTTCGACTGGGTCATGGTTTCAATAGCTTTTTGTATGTTTACCAGAAAGTGTTGGAAAGAATATCACCATTTTGAGAGGTAAATCATCATAAATCCCTTAGAAATGGACCGTGTGCCAATGGGAGGCCCCCCAGTGATGTGAACATTGGTTAACAAAAGCCCCAGTAACTAGTTCGTTATTTGCGTACCATAAACCAGAGTGAAATTGGAGTTATGTTCACCAACTTAGCTATCGAACGGGGGCCTCACATTGTAGCTATGTTGAATATTGTTAAATAGCCAGAGGGTAAATCACAGATGTTCCATATATGGAGGGTTTCCTAACATATCTAACATGCTTGGGATCCGCAAAATTCCATGGGTTTCAAAGTTTCAAGACTATTACCCATAGGATCTATGGTGCTGCTATATATGGTAACATTTACCATCAATATACCCCCAATGTTAGCATATATATATATACCATACATGGATCCTATGGGTAATGACTATAGACTATATAATGACTATACTGACTATAATGGTCTGTAGTGACTGGATGATTTCGGGGTACAAACCTCTACAAGAGGTTAAGAATGGTAATTTCATATGCAAGGTGGTGTCCCAAACGATAGCTAAGTTGGTGAACTCCAATTATTCCAATAACTGTATGATTGTTTATATTATTATTATTATTTATTATTATTATTATTCATTATTATTATTTTTATTATTTGTTTATGTTGTTGTTTTTTTCAAATGTATGTTTATGGTAGATATTTATCGAACTAGTTCATGGGCTTTACTTTACAAACCAACGTTCACCTCCCCGGGGGGGCACCACCTTGTGGGTAATGTCGCATCAGAAATTCGTTGGCGATCTGACTAGTGCAGTACCATATAACGTTGGCTGTAAATGGGAAGATCGGTTAAACAATCATATCAGTTGTAATCAATGATGTATTTCTGGTTGGTGGTTTGGAACATGGCTCTTATTTTTTCCAGAAATATTGGGAATGTCATCATCCCAACTGACGAACTCCATCATTTTTCAGAGGGGTTGAAACTAAACCACCAACCAGTGATGTATTTGTTTAGTTGTTGAAGACATGCTACTCGTAACTTTTTTTTGTGAGACCATCTACAGGTGGCCAATGGCTCCAAGCTTGGTTGAGCACCCATGATGCCATGGGCAGTGGATCTAGGAGCCAAGATCTATCAGCCACTAATGTCAGTAAAGCAACAGATAGTAAACCATCCCAAGAAACTTGCCATGAATGGGTGGTAGAAACATGTATAAACCATGAACATACGGGATAAATCATGTGAAATCCACCTTTGGGAGTTAAAGAAAGGTCCCCTTGGTTGATTCATCAGGCTATAGGCAGATGGCAAATGGTATACGAAGCCAGCTCCCCCCCTGCTCCCTGGCTTTTCCAAGAGACGTATATGTTGATTTTGAAGACCCAGCAGTTCAACACAATCATGTAATCTTAACTTAGTATATCTTAGTCTAACACCATTATTGGATATTGGTGGGTTAGCTACGGTCTTATGTGCTATATATATATGTGCGTGTATATCCTTGGTTTGTGAGGAAACCAGTCGGCCAGCCTCTTAGAGTTGTCAATTTCTCATGGCAAAGGCCCAAGAAGACTAAGAGATTAGATGGTGCTGCTTGTTCAACAATATACATAGATGTAATTGTAATCATGTATATACACATTATATATATATACACATTATATATATATATACTTCTATGATCTTATGTATATATATATATATATTATATATATACATATGTTAAGTCAACCTTTCCTTGCCATAGCAGTCCATATAACTTGGGGATTGGGGACCCAAATGTGTTTTGGAGGTAGAAGATATCCCTATGCTTACTGCCCATTCTCACTTCTAGGTCTGCCGGTATGGGTCTAAAATTCAGACCCAGGGGACCACAGTTTTTTAGTCTATTGGTAGTATGAACAATCTAATCTGGTTGGTGGTTTGGAACATGGCTCTTATTTTTCCATATATTGGGAATGTCATCATCCCAACTGACAAACTCATATTTTTCAGGGGGTTGGTTGAAACCACCAACCAGCTAATTATTGGGGTATCCAATTTTGACCCCCATTTAAGACATTTAAGTGCTTGATTGCTGTTTGTCCCATGATTTTAAGCGTTTTGTTGATCTGATCAGTCATACCATGTCATACCCAAATCCCAGTTTTTGGTTGGTACATTCCAATAGTTTCCATCAAGGATTGGGATGGATTTTTCCGATCCATGGCTTCGTTTCCAAACCCATTGGTTTTTGGATCTTTTTGGTTTCCCACTCATGTTGAAAATCATTTTTGTCCATGTTGTTCCCTTCAGAAAAGCATGACATTTGATGAAGTTATGACATGTTGATGGTGAAGCCCATTTTTTTGTTGCTGATTTTCCGGAAAGAAAATGCCGTCCGAAAAACGGCGCGCCAGGCCCATTGAGATGACCTCCATCCCGAATTCGCCCGACAGTTGCAACTACAGCTGTGTGTCCAGCGGCTCCTTACTTGCGCATGCGGGGAATACCGAGGTGCCAGAAAAAGGGGGGCGTTGAAACATATGGGAAACATGAAATATTTTTGCCTGGGTTGATTGATGTTTTTTTTTTTTTTTTCTGGGGATGATACTGATGATACTACCTTGTTTTTTTTGGGTGATGGTTATAACATATGATATGTATACATATATATATATATACATATATATGTATAAATGTTATAAGTAATCAACCGCTACCATGGGATGGGATAGGAGTATTTTTCATGGCTCGGTTTTTTGGCATGGCGAAACTTGGAGAAACGGCTGGTGATTCGTGGGTTTTCTTTTTTTGGGGCCCAAGTTGAAATTTTGAATGAGTATAATTTAGAAACAATGTGATAATATATAATTGGTTGCTGGTTATGTGTATTTTTCTTCACGTCCAAACTTGTATTTTGTGCTTCGAAATCCTCCAGATTGGATTTCAACAAGATAAAAATGGGATTCCACCAAGACAAATAGAATAGAACGGCAGGGTTTCCTACTGGTTCCATTTATCTACTGAGGAAATCGAAGCTTAAACATTCCCATTGAGAACCCGACTTGATTTTTTCATGTTTGTGTGGCAACTTGGGCTTTCGGGGCCCAAGTTGAAACTTTTAATGTTGGTGGATTACCCCTCTGGTTATTCAACGTAGCGAACTGGAAACTCACCATGTTTAATAGGTAAATCATCATTTTGATCTATAAATAGGCCAGAAAATTCAAGGGATTTGACTGTCGCCATGAACTGGGATACAGCAGTGGGTTCGCGCCGGTGGTCAGAAGGGATAGGTTTTCGAGTTCTCGTTTACGAGAATTTTAAGTGGCACTAATCTTTCCCATTTCATATCTCTAATATATGAATTCTGAAGGCCATAAACATGACATAAATGACATCACAACATTTTCGGCACAACATGATCTACTTAAATTTTCTGCATGTGCTAAGTTTCTACGGCCCAAAAGGTTGATCTGCCTCCACATCAAAGCGAATCCTGGGGAGAGTGGCCAAAGTTGTGAAAAATCCATTACTGGTTGGTGGTTTCAAACATTTCGTGGTTAATGATGGTTAATGATGGTTAATGATGGTTAATGATGGTTAATGATGGTTAATGATGTTGGTTAATGGTGAAAATGCTGGTTGGTGGTTTCAAACATGGCTTTTCTTTTCCATTTCATATATGGGATGTCATCCTTCCCATTGACGAACTCCATAATTTTTCAAGATGGTTATTGCACCACCAACCAGATTATAAAAATAGGAAATAGGAAACTATATAACAAATCCATTATGGTGGTTTCACTTTCAATAGGATCTGGTTTCTATTGTGGTTGAAAAACAATCCATTATTTTCCATCTAGTGTCTCAAGTTGTCACCCATTTTGACAAATCTCATTTTGACAAATGAAATAACTACTATTTGTCCAACCCATCTTTTTGGCGAAATGCAATTGTTGTGTGTGTGTGATCTTTCACATGTTTGATGTATGCGTTGCTCCAAAAGGTGGGGTCAGCTTTATAATAACTTTGGCAGGTAATACGTAGGGTCTTTGCCTATAATGAGATGGGATTTGTTGAAACAAACATAACTTAGGTTCCGTGTGTTTTCGTTAAACATGTTTCCCTTTCCAAGCAGGTGGCATTTGAGGTGGGCTTGACGTTGAACGACCCCAAGTTGGTGGATAAAAATATCCACGCGGCAACCTGGACCACTGGACGCATATCGTGCACCCATCAGATCTGTTGGGATCAGAAAGGTCGTCCAAAGATTGGGAACCAAAGTTTCAATGGGTTTCTGGGTAAATTTCATCACGACCTCACTGTTCTCCCGAGCCCTGGAATCATCGTTAATAAATGAGGGAAATCATACCCTTTTATGGCCGCAAGATTCAGATTAGTGAAATATGATAATTTACCCAGATGGCTTTGAAAAAAGGCTGGAGTTTCAATACTGGGCTATTGAAGCCATGGCCCAGTCGAAATAGTGGATTTTCCCATTAAAAATGCTAGATTTTTTAATGGGTGAAGCTATGGCATCTATGGGTCTCCAGAGTTTCCCGTTTCGATTCCAATTCATCGGCGATGGCCGTTGGGAGGTGTCCCTCGAAAAAGAAACACACCCAAACTAGGTCAATCTTACATGGGATACTAACTAATCCTAACTAGTCTTTTGGTATTAATGGGAATATCTACTAACCCACCAGCAAAGAATTTGGTCCATTTTTTGCAGGGTATCTTTCAGATTGGCAATGCAAATGGCAATTTCATTGGACAAAAATGATGATATACCTCCATGATGTTGGGGAACTCGACTGAAACTCGACTAGAGAAATGGCTTGGTCCAAAGATGATTACTCCAAAATCCACTTGTTTAGGATATCATGTCCTGATGAAATTTGCAATTGGTCGGCATGTTTCATTGCATAAATGAATACACACCCAATTCAATGTGTTTGTGCCAATAGAAGAAACCGGCCAAAAAAAATGTTTCAATGAAAGAACAAATTGACAAGGGAATGCGTGCCTGTAGCCAGGAGAAGAATTCACCGAAACAATTTACATCAATTTTCTGTATATTACCTGTATTTAGGGAAACATGGAAACAAGATGAAACAAGTACCTTGCAGTTTATTAACATAAATATAGAGGCTCCATCAGTTGTAAATGAAAAAAGCACCTAAATGCTCCATGCTGTCACCTTCATGTGGGTCAACCCACGGAACGATGGTGAAGTACCTATAGCAACGACTGATGCGACTGATGGGTTTCCCAGATTAGTCATGATTTGATCCAACCCATATGCTCCATGTATGGAATATTTACCAACATTTGCCTTAAAAATCGCCCAAATGTAGGTAAATATACCATACATGGAGCATATGGGCAATGAGTTCTGAAAATTGATGGTCCAGTGGATTTTTACAAAGACCTCGGGACCTGACCTCACTGGAATGATCCGTCGGATTCCGTCGAAAAAAATGAGAATCATCCCCAAGAGGCAACTGTTCAGTTGCGGATGAGTGGATTACTATTTGCCCATCATCCCAATGTAAAGCGATGAGTAATATCTGGTTATATCTGATGGGAAATATATGTGGTTATATCTGGTTATATCATCCTGTAGAAGGAAAACTGGTTATATCTGGATACTCTTGCGACTGCGAGCCTTTGTGACCATGAATATTGGTCGCTGATGATCTTGCACCCCCCAAGAAGATGGAGCAGTCCAGGATGTTAGCGATGGCGTTTTCCCAAGAAAATTTCCAGGTTTTCCACTGTTCATGTTTAGGAGGTTGCCATAGTTTAATCATGTTTAATCCATGGTTCCAGCTGTACCAAAAAAACAGCGGCCGGCCTCAAGACGAGGTATATCCAGTCCTCTTAGCGTCGGAAGACTTCCAGGCACGAACACGCAAGGTCAAGAGGGAATTACGTGGAAATCTTGCAGGAAAAACCATGGGTTTACCATGGTTTTATCATCATGCGGGGGTTTTCTGCGGATGTTCTCTTTAACATTCTTTAACCATGTCTGGGACAGTAGAAGATTCCGCAAACATAGGCCTTTGACATGATTTGACATACAGAAATTGTATCAATTTGTGAGTTTACTCCCAAACATAAGAAAATTCAACCAAGAAAGTGTCGATTTTTGGCCGGGGATATGCATGGGGTTCAATGTGATTCAGCAAATTGAAAGATGCAGCATTAAAAAACAGGATGTGCATTCATTCGAGATATGGAGATGAGTCAATAAATGTCAATAACAACCACCTATCTTGCATAACCAGTCTACTGACCCGGTTTTGTTCCAGAGCCATGTAGAACAAGCAGGTAACCTACTATACGGCCGACCTGGTGATATAGATTAAAGTGCTGACAAGCATCACTGTCACGGGCCAAGAAATTTGCGGTGCTTGATTACAATTGATCCAGATGTGTTTGGAAACACTTATAAAATCTCAAATCCACATTCAGTTTCAAGATTTTTCAAGATCTGAAACACTTGGCTAAATTCAAATCTTGCTTCGGCATCCCCATTCCTACAATGTGAGGCCCCCCAGTGATGTTTGTTGGTTAACAAAAGCCCCAGTAACTAGTTTGTTATAAGTACCATAAACCAGTCCGTGAAATTGGAGTTATGTGAACCAACTGAACGCTATCGTGGCCGGAGGCCTCACTAATTGTATTCATTCCTCCGTTCCGGATCCGTTCCGACTCCGTGGCTTCCATCGTGGTGTTTTTCATCGAACGGTGAACGGTGAGTTCGCCAGGCCTGGTACGTGGTGGGAGATCGACGCCACGCCTATCCGATGCCTTTCTGGAGTTCCAAAACAAAGGCTCCGGATGGAAACTATCTCTACGTCACGCAGGCGGGGATTTTGGCCCAGATTCTCAGATGGGAACGTTAATATAAAACAAGTTATGGCAGGCCAGAAACCATGCTTTGAGATGGTGGTGAAGATATATGTGACCATTTAATTACTGGTTGGTGGTTTGGAACATGTGGATTATTTTTATTTATTTGTCCCATCATATTGGAAATGTCATCATCCCAACTGACGAACTCATATTTTTCAGAGGGGTAGGTATACCACCAACCAGAATTATATTTGACTAATTAACGTTTTTAATATGAGTAGGATGCGACTTTTGGGGAAATGATATGGGATATTTTAAGTCCAGATGGTATGGGGGTGGTGTCCATTTCAATGTGGTATACCCCAACATTTCCTATTGAACAACAGGGAGTGACGACATTTCCGGGACTACACCATCTCTATGTTTGTCGATTTGTTCATGGGGTATACCGGTATACCTCAAAATTGCGAGTAAATTACTGATTGGTGGTTTGGAACATTTTTCATTTTCCCATTTATTGTGAATGTCATCATCCCAACTGACGAACTCATATTTTTCAGAGGGGTAGGTATACCACCAACCAGTTATTATTAACCATCTTAATCATCATTAACAATCATTAAATCACCAGAAAAATCACCATCATTGATAGGTTGAAACCACCAACCAGTTATGTTCTAAACTGTCTAAGCCATTGGATTTTAAGGGTACCCCCTTGTACCGAAGAAAGATGATTATGTGATGGCATGATGATTATCACCCTCAGGGGGATTCCAAGCAGAATTGATATGTTAATATATATATATATATTATAAATCCCTACATTGATAAATATAATATGATATGTATATATATATGTGCACATATAGTATAAATTAATAATATAATATTATATATATACATAATATGATGAGGTATATGTAATGATTGTAATGGGAATAACCAACAATGTTATGTGTATATATATATACACCTTCAATATTGTTCAATATGAATAGATAAATACATACGAATACTTGCAGAATCATGCTACTTAAGCCCGTTTGCTAGTATGGTTGTTGCTCAGGTCTACATGGAAAAAAAAAAAACATACAACTGAAGACTTCGCCAGGCTTTGTTGTGCAACAAGCTACATACTCATTTAAATGTCATGACGATGTGTCGGTCTATCACCATTTTGTTTGGATCAGTCCAAACTCTTTCCTGGTGTTAAAACGAGACGTTAAAACGAGACTGTATCGCACAAGATGCCGGGACTGGACTCATCTGGGGACCATCCATAGCTATATCCTATCATATCTCCATGAATCAATGGGAATTTCAGGATCTTCAAATGGAGGTACTGTACCATATAAAGCCATATTCGGGGGGGCATATCCCCTTACATAAACTTTATATATGGTAGGTACCTCCAATTTAGGTTGAAATGGCCATTGAATTAATATCACCATGTTTCTTCGTTATAGCCTAGCCACCAGCCCCATTCCCAAAAACATGTGATTTTGGACCTGATGTTCCAGGCTTTTCCATTGATCCAGCCATCAACTTCCGAACTCCGCGGCCTGCTCCGCTGTTCGGTTCAGGCCTGCACACAGCCACCAAAAAAGCCACAGGACGTTGATGAGGTGCTCGCCATTTCCAAGGATCCAGGATGAGGTAATCCCATTGAGTGGAATGGTACCCAATTTGGTGCCAAATTTATGGCTGGTTAGTAATTTCCTAATCCCCAATGTTCAGACACGTATGAATGGGTTTTGTATGAGAATTTACTGTATCCATGTATCCCCAAATTTGACGGTTTATCATCATATTCCCTATTTAAAAAATAAAAATAAAACATTTTTGATTTGGGGGTACGCACCATTTTTGAACACATCCGAGGAAGGCTTGAAGGACTACCCAATTTGATGGACTCCCAGGTTCTATCTTCGTGGTATGTGAACTATCCCCATCATGAGGGATTGAAACAGCGAGCGGCAGTCACCAGCTATCATTGCTTCAATTAGCTTCCGGTAATCAAGCATGGCTTGCTGAAAAATTAGCATTCATAGATTAGTTTCCCACTCAAACCTCATGATTTCATCATTTTTCGGGATGTTCACTTGCCACATTTCACCGGATGATCATCCGAATGCTAAGATCGGCTCCTCTTTTTTGATGGGACTTGTAATGGTAGAAACCTTGTGCGGTTCCCGTGACGTTGGCACATTTTTTCAACCCATGAGATTGATGGATTCATCTTCGGAAGCGATGGAGGACGGAGGTACCGATTCCATAGAAAAAAGGCCTATGTGTTAGGCCTAAATTTCAGGGAATATCCCAAAAAAATATGGCCTGAAATATGGTACAGTATCCCATTTTAGGATCCTGAAATTCCCATTGATCAATGAAACTAAATTGGAATTCAAAGTCAGCTATGTGCAACTTAACATAGCTATTAGCTTTTTTTTAATGGCTTTCCATAAATTGGGAATCCGGAAAACGGCTGGTTTATAATGATTCATCCATGAACATCCCAAAAAGAAACGGATGATTTAGGGGTACCCCCATTTCAGGAAACCTCCATATTATATATATATACATATATTATATATATATATATATCATTTAGAATTTCCCGACCTTTTTTGGTGTCCTTTTCGGTTTTTCTAGAGGTCCTTGGGGGCGTCTACATTTTGGCCTGTGTCACCTGGAGACCCGATCACTTCTCGGAACTCCTTGACGCCGATACCTTGCGCCTGGATAAATCAGTGAGATGCCCACGGGTAGTGTGGCAGTATACTTCATGAGGTGATAATCTGGGGTTGGAATCAGAGGATTTATGTTTATCTTGTGGATAATAATGGTTATTAGTGATGGTTAATGATGGTTAATGATGGTTAATGATGGTTAATGATGTTGGTTAATGGTGATTAATGACTGATTGGTAGTTTGGAACATGGCTTTTATGACTTTCCATATATTGGGAATGTCATCATCCCAACTGACTAATATTTTTGAGAGGGGTTGAAACCACCAACCAGATATAATTATATATATATATATATGATATGATATTATATTATATTATATGATATGATATGATATGATATGATATTTGATATGATATGATATGATATGAGATATGATATGATATGAGATATGATATGATATGAGATATGATATGATATGATATATGATATGATATATGATATGATATGATATATGATATATGATATGATATGATATGATATTATATATACACATGATTATACATAGATAAAGTGATGTCATGTGTTATTATATATTTATACACAGTGTGTATATATATATATACATGATACTTTGCATTATTGATGTGTGCAATGGTCAAGTTGGATGGTACATCCAGTTCTTGGATGGTACATACAATGTATATATATATATACTTATGTACAACATATGTGTAAGATATAAATATATACACATCACGTACTATAGATATATCATTATTGATTGTACAAAAAATGTGAGGGTTGATTTACTGCAGACTCAAAAAGCACCCCAAAAAAAGATGCGGGAAAGTGTGAAACCAGGATGGTAGTCCAATGATATGCTCCCATATTTTTCCAGCTGTCCTATTTGTTGTATCTATGACTGGGGGTTGCTTTATATTGTATGAAATATCCGATTGAGTATCCTATGATTATCAATGATTAGGCCATTTTTTAACATTATGAAACCATGATTAAGCCATGATTAAACCATGATTAAGCCACGATTCACCACTATTCATACAATGTGAGGCCCCCGTTCGATAGCTAAGTTGGTGAACATAACTCCAATATCTATGGTTTATGGTACTTATAACGAACTAGTTACTGGGGCTTTTGTTAACCAACAAACATCACTGGGGGGCCTCACATTGTACCTATGGTCAGTGGAGTCAGACCGACAACACACCATGTTTTGACCACGTGAGGATCTCCGTGCCCTAGGACCATGGACCGTGTGGGCGCCCTATGCAGTTCCGTGGGCGGCGTTTGTGGCTGGTCCTGTGGAGCGACGATCGCAGCTTGGCCAAGGGGCTGAATGCTTGGCGAAAACGAGGTGAGGCCATAGAAATAGTGGATTTTCCCATGAAAAATGGGTGGATCTTTCCATAGTGACGTAAACGTTGACCAGAGGGTAGAAACCATAGGAAACCATAGGAAACCAATAGAAAACCAATAGAAAACCAATAGGAAACCATAGGAAACCATAGGAAACCAATAGAAAACCATAATGATTTCACCAGCATAACATGGGGCATTTGACGATTTCTGATCCTGATCGAAGTTGGGCCAAGCTCATCCTACAGCAGACGTCGGGGCTCTCACCGAGGGGTGATGTAATGGCTTTGCAATGTGAGGCCCCCCAGTGATGTGAACGTTGGTTAACAAAAGCCCTAGTAACTAGTTCGTTATAAGTACCATAAACCATAGTCATTGGAGTTATGTTCACCAACTGAACGCTATCGAATGGGGGCCTCACATTGTGGGATATTGCTGGGTTGGATCAATGGCTTATTTTTTACATATTTTCAGCCATTCTTAGCAATGATGCAATGTGGATCAATGGCTGATCCTCCAACAAATTGACCCAAATGTATTCCCGGTAATCAAACATGGCAATGAACAATCCTTTATTTGTCGATGTTTTTGCTCACTTCAATGCCAACAATGCCCATTGATCGAGCTTTCCAAGCATCAAATCCACCACCCAAGGGACCTTGCTTCGTCCTAGGACTCCAATCGCCTACCTGGTTGCGAGAGTGACAGCAGTGGCTTAGTGGCACAGTTTTTTGCGATGGTGATGCGACGGATCTTGGGGTTCCTTGGGAAGTTCAAGGCACCAAACAATGGTCATTTAACGGTCATAGAAACAAAGCATCTTTAAGCGGCTGGGTGTGATGAAACATGGGGAATTCGCGGATCAGCCAGCCATGCTGGGACCCTGGGACCTAATGATTTCAACTGTTTCAACTGGAGGGCCTGCAACACATGGGGATTGAACAAACTCCTTCGATTCTAGCAAATAGATTTGACAAAGAATTTGATTAAGACATCATGAACATTTCTTAGCAAAGTCAGCAAACTATTGATATGTTGAGCAAGCATTGAGGTTTCAATGAACATGGGTTGTATCGCAGCAACACAGCCTGCGACCCAGCAACAATGGACGGATTTGACGTCGTCAGCAACGGTCAGATTCCAAGAAATCGAACAAATCCCGTTTGGAAAGCTTGCGGTTTGTGCCTTTGGAATGACCTTCCTGTTCTTAGCATCACCCAGATGCGACTTTTGGTGCTGGAATATAAAAACCAGCATTTGCCCGAACAAAATCAACCAGTTATGTAGGTAAATATACCCTCTGGTTATGACTAACATAGCCATGGGAAATGGCCCATTTATAGAGGTTTACCAGGTTTACCTATTAGAAATGGTGATTTTCCATGGCTATGTTAGTCATAACCAGATGGTACCATACATGGAGCATCTGGGTCATGGTAAGCCCGGATTTTCCCCCGATCTTCCCACGGTTGACGTCCACTCGCTCCAGGAATTAGCGTCACCTCCAACAGTGTGGCGGGACTCCATACCGCCGCCAACTTTCAGGGGAAGATCCAGCTGCAGGTTGGGTGGATCCGATTTTGACCTCACCAGACACAATAAATAGATAAATAATGAGAAATAGATGTTGCTTGATACATCTTATACATTGTTATACATTAATATCGAACACATATTGAACATCATATACTGGTTGCTGGTTTTCAAACATGTTGTATTTTCCATAATATATGGGGAATAATCATCATCCCAACTGACTTTTACTCATATGTTTCAAGATAGTTAAAAGCACCACCAACCAGTTAATGATGGTTAATCATGGATAATAATGGTTAATGATGTTGGTTAATTTTAATTAGTGATGTTTTAATGATTAATAGATATCATACAATGTGAGGCCCCGCAGTTATAAGTTGGTTTATAAGCCCCAGTAACTATCGTTATAAGTACCATAAACCATAGTGAAATTGGAGTTATAAACCAACTTAGCTATCTTGGGGGCCTCACATTGTATGAATAGTGGTGAATCATGGCTTAATCATGGTTTAATCATGGTTTCATAATGTTAATAAATATCATATAAACCAACATCATCCAACATCTATTTCTACACTCTATGCGGGCTTTTATCCGAATGAATGATCCACAAACATCCGAGGTCACAGGGCCAAATTTGACCAACAAAACAGCCACTGGTTAAAGCTGGTCAATAGCCCAGTTTTCCACAGCCTATTCAACCCATAAGAAAAAATCCCAACAAAAAAACGGGGAAAAAAAAACAAAAAAAATGCAACCCATAAAGAATCCCGAAAAGTTTGAGCTTTTTCATGTGGCTAAAGGAATCATGTTTACATATGTTTACCATCCCCCAGGAAATCACCATGTTTTGGTTGGTGCTATGGTTACCATTCCCAGTCATGAGTGGTATAGATGACATTGGGTAAAAATATCCATGGCATGGCTGGGATGATGGAATTAAAATATGCTTCATGACCCCCAAATTAAATGCTTCATGGCTGGGATGATATCATGATATTTAATAGGCATTTAATAGTTAATATTTAATAGTATATAAATTTTATAACTAACAATATTTAAGAGGCTGTTTGCTATTGTTTGGTTTACCACATTCCTGGGGATCAAACTGGCCATGACCTGCGCGACAGTTTCTGGGGCTGCAAATCCATAAAAGTTGGGGTGGTGACGATGAACCACATTGGCCAGCCCAATTCTGACCCAAACCGTATGTTCTTTACAGTTGTTACATGTATGCATCATGTTCCCCATAGTTTCCATATGTGTTCATGACAATTTCAGACTTTTTGGGGTTTTTATCAAAGTGCCGGCCATTTGTTTTTGGCTGACCGCAGGAGTGCATGGAAGGGATGGAGGATGGGGGTTGCATGACCAGCCCGAACAGCTTCCAGCATTGGAGCTGCGTCTCGGTATGCACGGTGCACGGTGGAGCAGTGACCATATCCGAAGGCTGGAAAGATCACCACGTAATGACAACACAATGAAGGCATTCTCTGGGAAAACACATTTTATTAAATTTTAATTTCTATACACATACATACATACATATGATATGTATGTATATATATATATATATGTGTATCCAAGCACATTTAATCCAATGTAAACGAAGCGTTCATCTAATAATGAATCTAATTAATCTAATTACATCACCGGTTCGTGGTTTGGAACATTTGGAACATCATATCTTCTCTATCTATCTAATCTAACTGCCTATGATTAATGCATATGTACAGAGCCCAGTGGTATGAACCAAGATCAGCATCCCAACCGAACGGGGAAATTCTGATGTCTTTCAGTAATACTAAAGACATCTAAAGACCTAGCATCCATCATAGCCACTATTGATAAATTATAGACATTATAGAATGTTATATATATATATTGTATGTATATGAAGTTTGGGGTCGAGGATGGACCACGTAAAAAATGGTTTGGATCTATAAGAAATTGTAGATGTAGCTGTCCTCTAGCGAACCAAGACAGATATGGGGTAATCATCACTTGTACCCTCTGGTTCTTTAACATAGCTATTGAACATTGCCCATTTATAGATGGTTTACCTATTAAAAATGATGATGTTTTTCCATGGTTATGGTAGTCATAACCAGAGGATTCTTTTACTATGGTTTCTTGGCGGCGTGCTTTTCATGTCATGACTTCAATAAGGTTTGACACCTTCAAAATCCAAATAAAAAATATATGTTGCATAAAATAGTTCATCATTTTTTGTTGTATTCCTCAAGTCAATCGCAAAGCCGGTAAATGTGTCAATAATAAACAGGTTCGGGAATGTTGGGGATGTGTTCAGATTTGGTTGTAATATGTGGTACTTTGAATATCTTTGAATCAGGCTTGCGAGGTTTGAATCTCCGTTACTGTACTCAACGCATTCAGATTGGATTGACATTTTGGAGGAACCCTGATGGTGAATGGCATAAAATAATGGGAAATCCATGAAGATTCTTCATGCTTTCCATCATAGATGTCCTTTTTCCATTGGTAAAGAATGATAGATGGATTAGATGGTATACCAAACCGGCCCCTCTATTTTTACCAAAAGGACATTATTGCTTTCCATGTTTTCTTGTAGATTTGTCGCCGTTTCAGCATCGACATGTTGCAACATGTCGCAGGTCCACAGTGCAAGTACGACCCCAACCCCGTCGGCAGTGACATGGACTTCAGTTTGGATGAAGAAGCAAGCCCTCAACGTGCCTGTGGCGTTATGGACTGTTATGGGCTGTGGGATGTTGTGGGATATGCCCCCTTCATATGCCCCCCATAGCTGGGTCATTTTAAAGGTGTTGTTGTTGTAGGGATAAACTATGGGATACTATGGGATATGAATGGTTTGAATGTTTCCATTCACCACTTTATGGGGAGATTGTTGGGGATAAATCAACTTGATACGAGTTCTCCATGGACAATTGGTAGATAATGTGAGGAACTAACCATGCTTGCTGCTCCAACTTATGTATAAGATGATATGTGATGGGTATGACAGGGGAACCATTTTACTGCTTGAGGGCCATTCTCTTAAACGGTTTGGATAACACGTATGTTGTATATGTTGAGGGCAGATGACTACTTAGGTCACATTTGATCTCAGGATATCTCAGGTAAAGTAGTACCCCAAAATAACAAAAAATAAGAAGTCACGGCTGTCATGACGGCTGCCATGACATCCATGACATCTCCGATTTGGGCATCATCAAATCATCACTTTCCGCCCAGGAATCTATACGTCATTGCCTCAGATGAAAGTGACCTTGATGGGGGTGGAGCCTTGGACCGACTATGGATGGATAGTTTGGGACCAACTACCCTCTGGTAAACTAACATAGCTATTGAAAATGACCATTTATAGTGGATTTACCCATTAAAAATGGTGATTTTCCAGTTACGTTAGTTTACCAGAGGGTAATCTTTATTAATCTTTGGTATAAATGGAGAATATATATATATGTATTTATGTATATATATATATATGTATATCTGGGTCAATTTCATCACGACCTCACTCTAACGACCTCACTGGATTTTGCAGGTTAGTAATGGGAATCATCCCTTTAAATAGCCTTTTACAATTCAGATGAGTGAATTATTATCATTTACCCATATAACTATAGCCATAACCAATTAGTATGTAACTATAGCAGCTATAGCACTTCTCTTTAAAGCAATACTTTGTTGAGATTGGCCATGGGTCCTTGGGACCGCAAAAAAACCCAGACTCCGTGCCATCCGAGGAAAGCCCAAACGGCGCGGAGATCTTCAACCAGCCGCGGGTGGTCATGTTGCGATCTTCAGTGCCCAGTTTTCGACGAATTCGTTGGGAAACATGGGGAGGGGGACATTGGGAACATTGGGACCTTGGGGAAATGGGATGGTAGAACCAGAAAAGAAAGTGGTACCCTCTGGTAATGTCAAAATAGCTATTGAAAAACACTATTTATAGTGGATTTTCCCATTGAAAATGGTGATTTTCTATAGTTATGTTAGTTTACCAGAGGGTAGCCGGAGAAAAATCCAGAACATGTGTGGTTTCAAACGTCGCTAACCGATGAGAATAAAGAAAAGCGATAAAGGTGATGATCTAAGCAGCGCCCAGCAGCAAACATGGGGGGAATCTACCAGAATCCACAAGATATTACCAATGACAATACAGGATACCCTCAGGTAAACATACAAAAAGCTATTGAACATGGCCATAGAAATAGTGAGTTTTCCCATTAAAAATGGGTGGATCTTTCCATAGCTATGTTAGTTTACCAGAGGGTACAACCAAAATTTTAAAAGCGACAAAAGCAGCCAGTATTTCACGGTCGAATTCCTATAGATTCCTATAGATGATACTTTGTGGTACTGGTAGGTGCCACAAGATGGGCCAACATTTCAACTTCAAGATGAGTTCATCAAGTTCATCTCCCATTTTTTGCAGATCTCTCTCGACTTCCCTCTGGTTCAGCTACCCCAAAGAGACGCCTTCTCTGACAACATTTGTTGGATGTTTTCTTGCGGGTTTTGTCGATCTACAATCCAGATTTCAAATAACAAATAGATTTCAAATATTAAGTAGATTTCAAATATGAAATAGATTTCAAATATATAATATTGTTATATATTCATTATCGATGATGTTTCTTGGGGACACGGTTTGATTCTCCCCAAATGCCATTCTATTTTCAAATTCTCCAATTCCAAGATCCAGTATCCCCGCTACCATCTGGTTATGACTAACAATATGGAAAGATCCACCCATTTTTAAGAACGGTAAACCATCTATTTCGATTAGGGCCATCGAAAAACCATGGCTATGTTAGTCATAACCAGATCTGGTTGGTGGTTTGGAACATGGCTCTTATTTTTTCCATATATTGGGAATGTCATCATCCCAACTGACTTTCATATTTTTCAGAGAGGTTGAAACCACCAACCAGAGATGGTATGTTACTTCCGGGGCTTCCGTCTTGTACCTTTTAAGAAATCAGAAGTCTGTGGGAAGCCCAGTGGCCCTGTGGACGCGAAGGCTTTAAGGGGTGGAACATGAGGGAACATTCTGTTGAACATGGTCCCAGTTCAATGGTTACCCGGCCTGGTAATGACTAACAGTAGCGAACTTGAAAATGACCATTTATAGTGGGTTTTTTAACAATGGGATAGAAATAGTGGGTTTTCCCATGAAAAATTGGTGGATCTTTCCAGTTCGTTATGTGACAGTTTACCAGAGGGTAGTTCAATAGCAACTCCTACATCCTCCAAAAAATACCTCAATGTTTATCATTGTTCATGATATTTATAGGAAAATTGGTTCCTCCTTCCAGTTGTGTTGACCTGCTCGAGGAAACCCTATATAATCATCAAATAGTTTGATTGACTGGGATATTCGAACATTAAAACTAAAACTCATTCAAAATTCAATAACAATATGAATGCAATCTAACAAAAGGCCATTAAAGACTCATTTATATTGGATTTATATTCTTGCATATAATTGGATCCCTTCCCATGGATTTATCGCCATGGTCGCCTAGGTGAAAGAGACGGGTGTGTGGAAGAAGCTCTACATGAAGGACCCTAAAGCATTTGCAGCAGTGGAAAACCTGGTGATCTACAAGTAAAAAATTCATGGTGATTGAACCAGCATTTTTTTTTGTGATTTAGGCATCAAGAACAGAGGTTTAACTGAATATTTATATGATTAGGATATGTATTGAGGGTATAATCATGGAGTTTTAACTCAGCGAATTGGGAGATACAATGGTGCTTTGATGGCGGCACAATTGGGATATCATATTATACATTCAACTTCATATGATTTTGGGGTGTTTCCGAAAATAGGATACCACCCCGAAAGAATGGGAGGTTTGAATATGTTCATCGGAAGAAATGAAGATGCAGCGATTTGTTGCGGTTGCACGCGTTTGGCCCGTTGCTGAGTAAGGCCCGGGGCCCAGGCCCTTGCGGAATGATTCGCTGCAAGCTGATGATGAATTCCTGTGCGGCCTGTGCTACCTCTTCAAATACTACGGAAGTGGAAGGCGGTGTGAGGCAATCCTCAGCTCAGGAATTCCCTCTGGTTATGTCAAAATAGCTATTGAAAATGGCCATTTATAGTTGATTTACCCATTAAAAATGGTGATTTTCAATAGCTATGTTAGTTTACCAGAGGGTATTGGTTTCCTGAGAACGTCTGAGGGTCTTCGGATGTCTTCCAGGCCCAAGGATCCTGGAGTTGCGTCAAGCTCCATTTCTAAGGGGATACATAGCCAACAATACGATACAATTAGTGAGGCCCCCAAACGTGATGTGAACGTTGGTTAACAAAAGCCCCAGTAACTATTTCGTTATTTGCGTACCATAAACCAGTTCGTGACATGGGAGTTATGTGAACCCCAACTGAACGCGATTTCGTGGCCGGGGGCCTCACAATACGATATATGATATCTAGGTGTGTTACAGTTACCGACTTTGTGTCCAGAATCTCAGAAGAGGCGGCTGGTAAATTACGAAATTCATTGCAAGTTTCAATGGGAAAGTTGTGAAAAGTATAATGTCAACCGGTCAACCCTGGATTAATAAACCCCTAGGTTGTTTAATTGGGGGGATACCATTTAAGTTTCAATGAGTGATCAGTAGTTGAAACTTGCAATTTTGAGTAATTTAACCCATTGAAAAATATTGAAAAGTGAAATGGGGATCAGTTTTTTTTTGGGACTGGACCCCTTTTTATATGAGTGATCAGTATGTAATGTTATGATATGTTATGTATTGGCTTATAATTGTGTCTAATCCCCAGGTTGAATGAACCCGAAGCCCAGTGTGTTAATTTCTTAAGCACAGGGGTCCTCACAATGGTAAAACCTTGGATGGTTAGTTTGGTGTTTCAATATTTTGCTACAAATTGGGAGAGATGTCAACCAGCTCTAGAGAAAAGCAGCAGGACATAAAAAGATAATCAGCTGGGGGTGTCCTAATCGTTGCTATGTCAGTGATGAGATCCACGTGTTTTTCCATAGCCGCCAATACAAAAGGGATGCAAAAACGCCGATTTCGCCTTAAATCAGGGTGCAGTTCCATCCCCTCCAAGCGGTTTCCCAGTTTCAAGAGCGTGACCACATCCACGCCTCGGACTTGGACTTGGTTCAATACTTGTTTTTCCCCATCAGGCAGAGAAATCTCTAGAAACGCATAATATAAACGATATTTACATGACTTGTTCATATGCCGTTACCTGCTATTGCATGTTGTCTTACTGAAGTATTCAAGCATTCGGCACCGATGCACACGGAATTCTGGGATTTGTTGATCAAGTCTCCATTGTTGGTGACATCCAAGCTTTGCGAAACAATCGGATGAGCCAGAGTCTGAGTCTACGCGAAGTACCCCACGTTAGCGCCAACGAGTGCTAACTAATTGGTGGTTTCACTGGTGTGTTAACAGTGTTCTATATTGTGCATCCTGTCCATCCAGAAGCCCTTTGGGATGTCCAGGACACGGGCAAGTTCGAGCTTCCCGTTGCAGTAGATGCGCCTACGAAGTCGCCAGATGACATGATGGATGAGGAGTGGAGATTTGGGAAACATGTTTGTCTACACTCAAGTCTACACATTTTGAATCGCTTAGTAGAGTTATAATGAGTTATATATATATAAATATAAATAATCCCTTCCTCCTAATACTAAACCCCCCCCCCCTAATACAAAACACGGCAGGTAGTTTTTAGTATTAGGGGGGTATTTATTATTAGGGAACCAAAATATTGCCAAAAATGGCAGTTCGAAGCTTACCCCTAATTGCTAGAGTAGCCAGGCAGCTTGGAGTGAGGGATTGGGACTAGGCCCCCCTAATACTAAACACCCCGGGGTGAACTAGTTTTTAGTATTAGGGGGGAGAACCCACAAATGGTAGGTTGATTTTAAATTGTTTTTTAAAGGGGATCAATTAAAAGTCAAATTGGCCAAACTGAAATTTTCGGAAATTGGAGATGGATGCCTGTTTTTAGTATTAGGGGGACGTTTAGTATTAGGAGGAAGGGATTACATAGTAGCATTTTTGAATTATATACATTATATAATGTACATATATAATCATTAGAGTATATTATGTGCAAGTATATACACATACATTGATTGTCCATGGTTGATGTATATTGTATTTCTATAGATGAAGCACACCCCATTAGATGAACGGATACAGGGAAGCTTCCGGTTCGTGGGCCGCAGGAGGGATCCACGGTGTTCGATGCCTACACCAAGCAGGCGCTCCGGCCCTGTTCAGCCTACGCTGTGTCATCCATGGCGGGGACTGCGAACTCCCAACTGCATGGGAAGGTTATGGGAAAATATGGGAAACTCGAAATAACTGGGGGTTTAGTTCGCTGGGAAAAAAACTCGATTTTTTAGTGATTTCAAGCCATGTTTGATCTCCACAGCGTGTATTAAGACTACCATTTGTGACCAATATGGCAATGAAGTTTTGAGATCAATGGCACCAATTAGGTTGCCATGTCTTGAGTAATTTTCACACCACTTTTGACTCAATTGACCCATCTACATCCATTTACTAAATCATCCCTGGACTTCCACCATACCCAGTTAAACTTATAGTACATGTTTCACTTGACCCCTGAAGAATGATATAGAATAGATATGAATAGATATGAATAGATATGAATAGATATGAATAGATATGAATAGATATGAATAGATACGTATACCCCAATAGAATCATTGTCTTAAGATTTGCCCAAATTTGCCTTTTCAGTTCGACCCGAAGTATGGTCTCCACGACTGGCTCGCCGGACTCATGGCACTGTAAACTCTGGAATTTTTGCATCCATTTATCGCAGCTGTTGGGAAGGCGTAGATGGTCAGATTCATGTTTTTTTTTGTTTTTTTTCCATATTGCAAGTACCCTCTGGTATAACAGTTTGCTATTGAAGCCATGGCCCAGTCGAAATGTCGTGAGTTTTCCCATGAATAGCATGGGTGGATCTTTCCACTTCGTTATGTGACAGTTTACCAGAGGGGAAAAAAATAGTAGATATAATGAGAATTCGGAATCTTTCGACCAGCCATGAGCAGTTTCGCTGTATCGGCCTTTTTTTTCGTGGGGAAAAACCTCCAGAATCATGGAGAATGCTGGATGCATTTGATCATGCCATGTCGTGACGTCCACAGACGTCACTGGAATGATGGTGAATGTATCCTCTGGTAAACTGTCACACATAACGAACTGGAAAGATCCACCCATTTTTCATGGGAAAACTCACTATTTCGACTGGGCCATGGCTTCAATAGCTATGTTAGTTTACCAGGGGGTATAGGGAATAGGGAAAAAAAACATGAATCATCCCTAAATGCCGGCGAAGTTCGAACGTTCGGAAGTGAATTATTACAATGTGAGGCCCCCGTTTGATAGCCAAGTTGGTTAACAAAAGCCCCAGTAACTAGTTAGTTATAAGTACCATAAACCATAGTGACATTGGACCATCTGGAGTTATGTTCACCAACTTAGCTATCGAACGGGGGCCTCACATTGTATGGATTATTATAATTCAGCCAGATGTTTGTTGACTGGGGATATTTCTCTCCTCCTTCGTTCAATAGTGGTTTTGAGGGGTGCTGTATAGGGTTGATTTTGACCAGAAGCTCACGTTGGAATGTGTATATACACACCTTTCTAAACTCAGGATATACTGGTACCCTCAGTACCGTCTTGAAAAAAAAAAGACGGTTTCTGCAGGGGTATCTAACATTACACCAGTACACCATACATCATCATTGATTACCATCTGGTAATTTTGTAGTTTGCTATGGAAAATCACCATCTAAAATCAATTTATATCACATTTGCTCCCAGGTAAATGAAAATTCAAGTGCCATGTTCGCGTCATGTCAAGTACCAAGCGCGTCATCTTCTCGTGAAACCTTTGGCTTGTTGGCCATCGATCCACCAGGCCATGATTTTGCGGCAACCCAGTCGCATTGACATTGCGCCCTCATGGTGTTTTGGACCGCAAGGCGAGGCTGTTCTGTACAGAGAACCTGGGATGAACCTGGGATAGATATGAAATGGAACATACTAATTGTAGATTACAGTAGATGATAGTGGATTTTTTCATGATTATGATGTTTATTTAAATTCATTATAATAGATAAGATATGCATAGATATACTGTTTGGTAAACTCACATAGCTATTGAAAATGGCCATAGAAATAGTTGATTTACCATTGAACATGGTGATTGTCCATAGTTATGTTAGTTTACAAGAGGGTAGATATAAGATTGCAATAGATTATACTGTAATAGATTATATATATATATAACACATATTAAAACATGTAACATATGACTGCATACATGTGCAGAACTCTTGATATGTTACGGCAACCTCAGTCAAGACCCATTAAGTATGTTTTGAAGATGTTTGAAGTGATACTACGTCTTGGTAAAGGGTTAACAATTGCATTTTTTGAGGGGTCATGTCGCCATTACTTCGGATTGTCACGTTGCGGATCAAAGTGTCCAGAGTGCAACATGGGAAGGAACAAATCCCCTTGCATGTACATATATATATATATAAATAGGATTATCTACCTACTACTGTACTATTATATTTGTATATATATATAAATATATATATTCGTCAACCCAGCAATTTATAACTTTTGGGTTTAGCCAACATGACAACACGGTGTTGACGAGACTTTTTGACATCTCCAAACTGAAACCATACGATGGAGCCTTGGGAAACTTCGACCCCTTGAAGTTTTTGTTTACTCGACATGTAAGATCGTTTTAATACATGAAGAGGGAAACTATCCAATGTATTGCTATGTATATATATATACCCATTGATATGCAATCCACATATATATATATATATGTGTGTTTACATCTTAGATATAGATGCTCCATCTCTACCTATGGATCTTATAGCAGATTCTCTCAATCCAGTCCTATAGCTGATCCCCTTGGCGTTGTGGCGTTGCGCCGATGGCAGGTCCATTGTACTTGGTGGCTTGTGCGGTGAATAGCACCCTCTACGATTCCAGTGATTTTGCGAACTTCACTCCAGGTTTGGGGTTGGATTGGGATGCTGGTGCATTGGATGGTGATGGATGATGTTTTTTATGGTGTTTATCCTCTGGTAAACTAACATAGCTATGAAAAATCACCATTTTTAATGTGTAAATCAACTATTTCTATGGCCATTTTCGATAGCTATGTTAAATTACCAGAGGGTATCGCAGATTCTTGGTTTTCATGGCATGGATTTCCTGCCTAAACTCTTTGAGATGCGTAGGGTCCATGATGATACGTCGCCAACAGCGCTCAATTTGTTGGGATGATACTATGCTCCAGACGTTTGACAACTGGTGAATATGGGGATCTCTTAAGTGTGGAAGTTTGTAGTCTCTGAACACGGAGTATCCCTAACTGCATGTGAACTCCAAACAATTATGTAGTATTATATGATAATCACGCAAAACATGATAATTATTATCATCATCATCATCATCAGCAACATCATCATCAGCAACATCATCATCATCATCATCATCATCGGTATCATCATCATCGGTATCATCATCATCATCATCATCATCAGCAACATCATCATCATCATCATCATAATCATCATCATCATCACCACCATCATCATCATCTCCATCATCATCATCAGCAGCAGCAGCATTATCATCGGTATCATCATCATCATAATCATAGCATAGAAATAATAATAATCATCATCATCATCAGCAGCAACATAATCATCGTCATCAGCAGCAGCGGCATCATAATCATCAGCAACATCATCGGCAGCAGCAGCATCATCATCATCATCATCAGCAGCAACATCATCATCACCACCACCACCACCATCACCATCATCATCATCATCATCATCATCATCATTGTCATCGTCATTGTCATCGTCATTGTCATTGTCATAATTATCAGTGGATTGTCAGGTATCATACATGTATTCACCACCTTCAACCAGCCCTGCATGTGGTGTGGACCAGGTCAGAAGGTGGCGCCGCCTCCCTTCAACGATCGCTGTGTGGCGGTGAGTGGCCGTTGTGGGTCAGCCTGTGACGATGGTGTGGTGGACATGCACAGGCAGGACGGCGCCAAGTTGGCCAATGTTTATTTGAATTTGTTTCAAAGCATTGGGTGATCCCAAAAAAAAAATAAATATGCAAGAATTGCAAGTTTAGTTTAAGTTTAAATATTGATCAAGCATCAAATTTTGATGGTATCCGAGTCTGAGAGGGACCCATTTGATTTTTGACGGTGCACATGGGTCATGTTTGTTCGTCGCAATAATAGAATATCTCGTATCTCATATGGTTTAATAATTGGGATATAGCATCATTTAATTGGGGTGTGTGTATAATATATATATATAGACATGTCTATGGTTATAACTAGTGTTATATAACCCCCGCAACTATGGTGAAATCCTTCTACTTAGTGGAACTACACCAAGTATGAGGTTTCTTAAGTCATGACTTGGATCCACAAGTCACAAGCCATGGAGGTTTCCAAGCCATGAAGGTAGCAAAATTAATCATCGATAGATTCATTTTCCATTGTAAACCATCTATTTTAGGGTACCCATGGGTACCCACATTTCAGGAAACCCCCATCTCCGTTGGGGAAAACAATGCCTTGTTTACCATTCCCAGTCATGGGTGGTAAAAATGGCATGGGCTTACCCACACTATTCATTAATAACTATATATCCCATTCATATACTGTACCATTGATATGTGTTAATCATTAGTCTACCATTCATATAAGGAACCCCCCATATGTTTTTATACCGAACTGGTCATGACTTGGGGCTACCCAGCCATACCTGAGATGCCCATGGTGAGGTGCACAGCGGAGGGCTACATCGAACAATCCGCGTTGGTGGCGAAGATTCTGCCGTAACTTTGGTAGGGCAAGGGGGAAAAAGGCTGGACCCGGTCATGGAACATGTTTTTGTTGTCCCAAAAAATGGTAACATATATGGGAAAGTCATAGTATACTGATGGTATATAATGGATCATGTATATATATATAATTACCATATAATATTCATGATACTAATATGATATGCCACGATATTCCCATCATATATGGAAAATAACTATATTAACATTGTATATGATGGTAATATATGATATATCATGGGAATATCATGAGTATATAACGGGTACTTGTATGTGATGCAATGGATGGGTTTGTCCCAAGAACATGGAAATGGAAAATGTCCCATGTATAGATTATGGTCCTATTTAAATTGACCATTTCCATTTTTGATTACTGGAGGGTAGCCTCAATATTCATCAACATGTCCAAACATCTTGCTACAGTAGGTGTCGAAAAACCTTCATACTCTTCTGCAGATTGATCGAACTGGTGATGCTATGACCTATAGATGATACGTAGGCATAGATGGAAGAGACAGCTGCACCTCGTTACGTGAAACGAAGCTTTGCAATCAGAGTTGCACTGGGGAAAATGAGGTTTTAACGAATGGGATTTGGGCGTACCCGATTTTCAGGCGTGTGACAGCTTATCTAAGAGTTATCTATGGTTATTCTGTTCCAAGGCAGAAGAACGACTCCATCAATGTATGGCTCTTCGTTTTCCTGCTTCTGTTACTTGGTGAGCATCACCGGATGGGATAAATGTTCCGACAAAAAACGTTAGATATTGTTAGATTGTTACTTGGGTAAATTATTTTGTCATATTAGTAAAGGAATGATTCGGAATGATAAAGCACCCACAGTTTAAAGGTTTATAGTAACCACAAAAATTGTGAATTTGGGGATGGTTTACTATTGCTTTACTAGCATTATGTTTATTCACAGAATTGTTTGAAGGGAATAGGTCTTTGGGAAACCTCGATAGCTGTCATTTGGGGTCCATTGTGAGTGATTGAATCACCATTTTTCGAATGAGTCTGTTCTACTAGAAACTTCAAGATGTACTTTTCCAGCTAATGTTGGACGTGTATCACACCCAGTAAGTGCTTGTAGAACAAAATCATGGTCGACTAGACCCGCATTGGGGTCTTGTGACATCACCGGGAGTGACGGAGGCATGATCGACAAACGGGCCCCTCATTCCGAGAAGTCATTTGGTAACTGGGGCTGATAAAATTACAAGTCAATGACTTATGAAAAAAACTCATGATCGATTTTCATAGTTTGAATCATCTGACAAGCCTTGCAGGTTATGAACCCATTCTTAGTGTGTACAGTGTAAAATCCCCACTCAATTCATAGATATCTGCAAGCGACAATTTACATAGATTTTCATATATGGTCTTTCCGTTTAACAGTTTACAGTGTAAAATCCCCACTCAATTCATAGATATCTGCAAGCGACAATTTACATAGATTTTCATATATGGTCTTTCCGTTTAACAGTTTTGACAGAGAGCATATCCAACCAGCATCGGTGTTTGATTTTCTCGGGGCACCGGCCGGGATGAAGCTATGTACATTTTACGTGCATGAGATCTCTCAGAAGCTGGACATTCAATAAAACATCTTAAGTTGGACTAAGATCATGTTATCCTCCTGTAAACATAGATGTGGAGTTTACCCACCATGATTGCAGATCACGGTTTCCCCACTGGTTTTCCACATCTTTCTAGGCGAAGTCCATCGAAGTCGGCCCAGGTTGGGCTTTGCCGTGAAGGTGGCGGTCTTCTGCCCCGGCATTTTTCGCTCCTACCCCCACTTCCGGAGGCACGAGACTGACAGATCCGGGGGACGAAAAAGGTGACCCATGGGATTTTTCACTTGGGATTTCCATTGGAGATCACCAATAGCTGGTTGGTTTCATGGAAAATCCCAAGCGAAAATGCTGAAAATGCATGATTTAGAGGTACCCCCATTTCAAGAAACCTCCGTGATTTATCCACGAATGGTTTCGTTACGCAGGTGATTTTCACCACTGGGATGATCCTCCAAGTTTTTTGGCTCTGGCAAAAGCTCTGCGCAGGGCTCTGAAAATGGGATAACACATGGTGATTAATGATGGTTAATGATGGTTAATCATGGTTAATGATGTTGGTTAATGGTGATTAATGACTGGTTGGTTCTTTGGAACATGGCTGGATTATGACTTTCCCATCATATTGGGAATAATGATCCCAACTGACTTTAACTCCATCATTTTTCAGAGAGGTGGCTCAACCACCAAGCAGTAAACCATTGATCACCGGATTTGGGGGTACTATTGCTGCACGTGAAGGTTGGTGAATATCTCCATATATGAACTCTACTGGTTGGTGGTGGATGATCCGCAATGGGCCAACGATGATCCGCTATGATCCGCTATGATCCGCTATGATCCGCTCATGTTGGCTTCGTGGCTTCAAGCACCAGCAAGTTGCAATTAGAAAACTACGTAACTACGAAGTTATATGATGTTGTATGGGTGTGTTACTGAAAACATCGTACGCTCAATTACGTTGGATTGGCATCATTTTCTCCATTAAGTAAGATGGCTACTCTCGCTCTGGCTAAGTATGATGCCAGATGATGCCAAACATAACTTGCACCCTATGAAAAAACGAACAGAGTTATCCACGTGTTATCAACACTTGTCATATTTAAAAAACAAATACAAATATATATATATATATATTAGTAAACATCACATAAACTTTTAAACTGACAACTGACAATTGTTGATTGAATCATGGGCCATGATAGAAGCAGACTTCGAGTGCTTGCAGCCAGGTATGATCCTTCCCTGACAGAAGACTTGCGTCCGGGCGACCCAAGGGCGACCAAAGGGTGGCCCATGGCCAGGCGATCCTGCCATAGTTTGAACCACCTATAAAAATCGTAAATTTATGGTGGTTGGTTTATTGCTTTACTGTGATTATGTTTATATAGATTGAACCACCCATGGATGGTAAAATTTTGGGGGGTTGTTGCTTGCTTGGCAAATATTCCACACATGGCAGCATGGTTGCTCCGACCTATTGTAGATGAATGATGGTAAATGACTGCCTGATGGATGAAACCTTATTCAAGCAAGGTTAGTGGTAAGATATGATTGATCCAACACCAGGGACGTAAGAGTGAAGGTGAAGACAAAGTGCCCTTTTTTATTATTTTTTCTGAGTATGTTGTTGAATCTTATCTTAGATTCAAATTTCAAAAAGAACCTGCAGACACTTGCCACAGTCATCATAGCTCCATTTTTACTAGTTAAATCCCCATGATGGGGATTTAGTCACAATGCTATACCCCTAGACCCGACTAAAACAAACAAAGCCTGGTGATGTTCATTTTGATTTTTGTCTTCCAGCCGCTTTTTTGGAATGATCAATCCAGTTTGGTTGTTTAGCCAATCACCAAATCATAGGCCCAGAAAAGTCCGACATCATTACTTTTGTTAGATCCCTCAAATCATCCCCAACCTTGAATACTGTAGGTAGTTAAATTGTGGCGCCCCCATTCGATAGCTAAGTTGGTGAACATAACTCCAATGTCACTATGGTTTATGGTACTTATAACGAACTAGTTACTAAGACTTATAAACCAGCAAACATAACTGGGGGGCCCCACATTGTAGTTAAATTGTGTTGAATCCTTTAGTCTTGTGCGCTATAAATGGAAAATAAGATAAAAGAACCATGATCAGCAAAGCATGTGGACCAAACATTGACCATGAAATCAATGTCAATCTGGGCATGACAACTATCACCCAAAACCTTTCAGTTGTTTCTCAGACTTATTTTTATTGTTCCCACTTCCCATTGTAGAAACATGTCTAGAAATGAGTAGTTCCACAAACGTTCCATAAATGTTCCATAAATCAATGGGAATTTCAGGATCCTAAAATGAAGGTACTGTACCATATAAGGCCATATTTTGTGGGGATATCCCCTTAAATAGCCCTTATATAGGCCTTATATATGATAGGTACCTTCATTTTAGGATCCTGAAATTCCCATTGAATAATTTTTGGGGCTTGAGCCTATTTTCAGACAGACTGAAACCCCCTTTTTTCGAGGTTTCATTGTGGTGTGCGTCACCAGTAGCAATGACAATCGAGCTCTAGCGCTGCGAAGTTTGATAGGCGCCCCCCGGGGGCGGCCTTTGGCCTGGACGGTGGTGCCCAAAAAAGGAGCCCTGGGTAAGTTGGTGAGTTATTAAATATTATCTGGTTGGTGGTTTGGAACTCAGTGATTAATGATGGTTAATGATGGTTAATCATGGGTAATAATGGGATAACACATGGTGATTAATGATGGTTAATGATGGTTAATCATGGGTAATGATGGTTAATGATGTTGGTAAATGGTGATTAATGACTGGTTGGTGGTTTGGAACATTTTTTATGTTTCCCATATATTGGGAATGTCATCATCCCAACTGGCTCATATTTTTCAGAGGGGTTGAAACCACCAACCAGTTCTTAAGTCCAGTAACTATATGGTTTAAATGGATGTTTATGGTAGATATTAATCGAAGTTAATGGATGTTAATTGGGGGTTATAAATTAACTTTTATTAAGGGGTAGCACCTTGTAGCTTGCTGGGAAATACCGAAGTAAATGGAGGCATCATCGTAGCACAAAGACCCCTTTTGTTCTTTTCAACATGCTGCGTGTCAAAACATGGTTGGTTTTAAACCCCATAGATACTTTAATACACAATTTAAATCACCATTTAAATCAGCATTTGAAAATCACCATGTTTAATTGTACAAAACATGGAACACCCCATAGAATTTCATGGTCATCCATCCAACAAAAAAAACGAATGACCATCCATTTCTGTGGGGATTCCCCTGGGGTGGCACCACATCAATCCCATTAGTACCCGGCCTGGTAAACATACGAAAAGCTATTGAAGCAATGGCCATTTATAGTGAGTTTTCCCATTAAACATGGTGATTTTCCATAGTTTTTTGTATGTTTAGCAGGGGGTAACTTGATGGGACATGCGACATGTGTTTTTTTCACAGAGATTTCCCATTTGTAACTGGGATCGGGATGACCAGTGACTTTCATGATGAGGGGAACACGGAAAACACATGAGTAAAATTCACGAATTTGGGTCGGGTTACATATTGTAATATATGTGTTATGTGTTGGGTCTCTAACACAACCCCTCCTTTTGATATTCGTCATGTATGGTCGGTTATGAGGTATGGTTTTGTGGCTTGTACCCAACTGAAAATAGGTACCCCACATTGCCACCGTTTGGAATGCATAGGGTTGGTGGTTATATACTGATTGGTGGTTTGGAACATTTTTTATTTTTCCATATATTGGGAAGAATAATCCCAACTGACTTTCATATTTTTCAGAGGGGTGGCTCAACCACCAACCAGTATAAGTTACCCTCTGGTAAATTAACATAGACCCTGAAAATCACCAATTTTTAGTGGAAACTAATCTTCCAACCCCTATCTACCAGGGTCTATGTTAATTTACTGGAGGGTAAATACCTGGTATCGGTATATCAACATGTATCGGTTGCTAGTTCAAATTTCAAAAAAAGTCTTGGGTCGTTTCCCCAATATCATCTGGTTATGGCATTCACAGTTTGCCATGGAAAGATCCACCCATTTTTAAGAACGGCAAACCATCTATAAATGGGTGATTTAATGGTGATTTATGGGGATTTATAGTCAAGGTCATCCGGTAGGCAGAGTTTGTCCCAAGCAAAACAGATAGCAGATGGGGTACCAATTTGGTTATGAGTCAAAAAAAAACCTTTCCTTCATAGTGCCAAATCTGCCTACTGGAAAGTGGGAAATCATGAACCCCCCTTTTTGAATTTCTGCTTACTGTAAATCTGGCTTGGAAGATGGCAAAAACGGAAAAAAATGCTCTGGTTTATCATTTTTCCCCCTGATTTGCTGGAAACCAATCAGCCGCGCCTTTTTCTCCACATCCTCCCCATTTATGTGAAATTCAGCAATTTTTGGTTCTCAAACCGAAAAAAAGAGAAGACATGCAGGGAAACAAGAGTCTTGAAACGCAATATAGAATTTTCTTAGCTATTTCCAGGCCCCCACCAGCAAGCCAGCAGACCAACATTCTACTTCCTACAGGCCTTGAATTTCAGCACCTTTTCATGTTCAAACGAGTAAATAAGCGAAAACATGCCGTAAGTAGAAAAAAGGTGTTTGGAAACTCAATATCAAAGTTTCTTACCCATTTCCACGCCGTTACCAGCTAGAAGACAAAGATTCCACTTCCCTCAGTCAGTCTTTGAAATTCAGCACCTTCAAATGGGAAAACGCGAAGATAAAATTGCGTTTTGAAACTTACATAATATAGGGGTTTCGGAGCTGTTTCCAAGCCCCCACCAGTAAGCAGAATCACCATTCTGCTTCCTACAGCCCTTGCAATTCGGCACCTTTTCAATTTTAAATAGGTAAATACGAGAATAAGTAGGGTAAAACGCGTTTTGAAAATGTATTGAGAGGCTATTTGCCCCAGAAAAATCAACAGACTACTTCCTACAGTCCTTGAATTTCAGCACCTTTTCAGTTTCAAATTGGTAGAAAGAAGGAAACATGCCGTAAGAGGAAAAAAAGGTGTCTCGAAACTCAATATAGAGGTTTCTTACCCATTTCCACGCCCTTACCAGCAAGAAGACAAAGATTCCATTTCCCTCAGTTCTTGAAATTCAGCACCTTCAAATGGGAAAACGCCGAGGAAATATATGTTTGGAAACTCAATATAGAAGTTTTAGAGCTATTTCCAGGCCCCAACCAGTAAGCAGAATCACCATTCTGCGTACTACAGCCCTTAAAATTCGGCACCTTTGCATTTTCAAATGGGACAATACGAGGAGAAGTAGACGATAAAACGCATTTTGAATATTAACTTAGATGGTTCTTAGCTATTTGCAGGCCCCAAGATATCAGCAGAATCACCATTCGACTTCCTACTTTCCTTGAATTTCAGTGCCCCTGTGGTTTTCAAATGGGGAAATAAGAGAAAAACCTTCCGTACGTAGAAAAAAAGGTGCCTAGAAACTCAATCTAGAAGTTTCTTAGCCATTTCCACGCCCTTACCAGCAAGAAGACAAAGATTCCATTTCCCTCAGTTCTTGAAATTCAGCACCTTCAAATGGGAAAACGCCGAGGAAATATATGTTTGGAAACTCAATATAGAAGTTTTTGAGCTATTTCCAGGCCCCAACCAGTAAGCAGAATCACCATTCTGCTTACTACAGCCCTTGAAATTCGGCACCTTTGCATTTTCAAATGGGACAATACGAGGAGAAGTAGGCGATAAAACGCATTTTGAATATTAACTTAGATGGTTCTTAGCTATTGGCAGGCCCCAAGATATCAGTAGAATCACCATTCTACTTCCTACAGTCCTTGAATTTCAGTGCCCCTGTGGTTTCCAAATGGGAAAATAAGAGAAAAACCTTCCGTACGTAGAAAAAAAAGGTGCCTAGAAACTCAATCTAGAAGTTTCTTAGCCATTTCCACGCCCTTACCAGCAAGAAGACAAAGATTCCATTTCCCTCAGTTCTTGAAATTCAGCACCTTCAAATGGGAAAACGCAGAAGACATATATGTTTGGAAACTCAATATAGAAGTTTTTGAGCTATTTCCAGGCCCCAACCAATAAGCAGAATCACCATTCTGCTTACTACAGCCCTTGAAAATCGGCACCTTTGCATTTTCAAATGGGACAATACGAGGAGAAGTAGGCGATAAAACGCATTTTGAATATTAATTTAGATGGTTCTTAGCTATTTGCAGGCCCCAAGATATCAGTAGAATCACCATTCTACTTCCTACAGTCCTTGAATTCCAGTGCCCCTGTGGTTTCCAAATGGGAAAATAAGAGAAAACTTGCCGTACGTAGAAAAAGAAGTGTCTGGAAACTCAATTTAGAGGTTTCTTAGCTATTTCCAGGCCCCCACCATTTTGAAATGTCGTTCTTTTTCGTTTTTAAGCTATTTCCAGGCCCCAACCAGTAAGCAGAATCACCATTCTGCTTACTACAGCCCTTGAAATTCGGCACCTTTGCATTTTCAAATGGGACAATACGAGGAGAAGTAGGCGATAAAACGCATTTTGAATATTAACTTAGATGGTTCTTAGCTATTGGCAGGCCCCAAGATATCAGTAGAATCACCATTCTACTTCCTACAGTCCTTGAATTTCAGCACCTTCCCAGTTTCAAATTGGTAGAAAGAAGGAAACATGCCGTAAGAGGAAAAAAAGGTGCCTGGAAACTCAATATAAAGATTTCTTAGCCATTTCCAGGCCCTTGCCAGCAAGAAGACAAACATTCCACCTCCCTCAGTTCTTGAAATTCAGCACCTTCAAATGGGAAAACGCAGAAGACATATATGTTTGGAAACTCAATATAGAAGTTTTTGAGCTATTTCCAGGCCCCAACCAATAAGCAGAATCACCATTCTGCTTACTACAGCCCTTGAAAATCGGCACCTTTGCATTTTCAAATGGGACAATACGAGGAGAAGTAGGCGATAAAACATAAAACGCATTTTGAATATTAATTTAGATGGTTCTTAGCTATTTGCAGGCCCCAAGATATCAGTAGAATCACCATTCTACTTCCTACAGTCCTTGAATTTCAGCACCCCTGTGGGTTCCAAATGGGAAAATAAGAGAAAAATTGCCGTACGTAGAAAAAAAAGTGTCTGGAAACTCAATTTAGAGGTTTCTTAGCTATTTCCAGGCCCCCACCAGTAAGCAGAATCACAATTCTGCTTCCTACAGCTTTTGAAATTTTGCTCCTTTTCGTTTTCAAATGGGAAAATAAGAGAAAACATGCTGCAAGTAAGGAAAGCGCGGTTTGAGACTATACACATTTTGTTCCATATATATATACATATATCTATATATATATACATATATATATATATACACACTGTAATATGTATGTGTATATATATATATATACAATGCGTATGTATGTTTATATTTACGTATATATTTACATATATATAATATATATATATATATTTATATGAATGTGTGTGTGTGTGCGCCTTGGCCTTTCAATTTTTTTTACTCAAAACTAGACACTGCTGGATGTGTTTTTTATTGTGATCTTGGGCAATTGAGGCCATCAGGAACGCGAATGCAGTAAGCAGAATTAAGTAGATGGAAAATTATCCACCGGTTATCACGACATTATTTTCTGCTTACTGGGGGGGTCAATTGGCTCAAGTTCAGCACTCCGACCCATAAGCCTCTGAGTCAAAACCCCGGATATCACCCAAATTTAGCCAATTTCCATATGCAGTAAGCAGGAAAGTCTCTGCCTACCGGGCGTCTTTGACTATAAATGGAGGTTTTAATGAAAAAGCATCTATAAATGGACCATCTATACCATGGCTATGTTAGTCATAACCAGATGGTAGTTGTTCCTTGCCCAAGCGATAGACGTTGGCAACTTTTAGCATGGGATCAACCATTAAGTTTGCAGGTTGCCAACTAGCAATTCAGTACAGCAAAACCCTATGGTTCGCCCGGAAGTTCGCAACAGTGTTGAAATCCTACTCTTTATCCGGTCTAGTACATGTGCAGCGCCAATATTCTTGTGTTTCTTAGACCATAAGACCCTATCTAAAACCTAAAGCCCTAACCTAAAATGCATTAAAACGCGAAAACAAAAATACAACGTTCACAAAAATCCACAACCCTAAGCCCAGAAAGACCGCATATGCCTGTGTGTTTCCTTCAATCTTTCCAACCATGTTGCGACAGCACAAAGCGTACTTCAAGTACTCGATGTTAGAGTCTGAGCAAACCATGGGGATTGAGCGTAACAATACATCGCAAAGATACACAAGTAACACTATCCAGTGGTTAGGAGGGAGCTAAGGAGCTATGGGTAATTATTCATATTCCCTATTAAATGGGGAGCTAAGGAGCTACCAAGAGTTTCCCAACCACATACTAGTGTAGCAATTTATGTACTGTAGCAATTTATCGGATTAAATCCCATAAAATTTCAATTGAATCCCATAAAATCCAAGATTCATGGGAAATTGTATCGATGAATGCTACATTTCATTATTGGTTCCGTGTTTGCCAGTTGTATCCCTATCTTTGTACCTCAGTGCATCATCATCGTCATTTATTATCATCACCATGTGGATTATCAATGATTGTCAATGATTATCAATGATTATCAATGATTGTCAATGATTGTCAATGATTATCAATGTTTGTCAATGATTGTCAATGATTATCAATGATTGTCATCATCACCATCCATTTGGTATAACTTTGGCCAAAAAAAAGCGACAAGTATATCAATTACAGTAGCACCATTCAGCCATAGTCATACCCCCACTATCCCGACATTTGTTGATTTCTCCTTTTCCCACAGACCCAAATCACCACTTTTGTTGGTTCAGTCTCGCAGCAAAAAGCGCCCGGCTATCATAGCTATCATCATTTCCGGGTCAACCACTGTTTGTTGGTTTCTTAAATCCCACATCTTCATCCACTGTGGAAAAACTCTCTCCTTTTGTGAATCCTCACTGAAATGCCATGTTTCTGAATGGATGTAAGTTTAGTTGGTTGAATTCCCAATCTGTTTTTTTTCCATCTTTTCCACTGACATTCATGCCATGTTTCTGGGTGTTGAAATGAAGTGAAATGGATAATTTTCAGGAATTAACAATGATTAACATGAACTGGTTGGTGGTTTGGAACATGGCTTTTGTTTTTCCATATATTGGGAATGTCATCATCCCAACTGACGCCACTCATATTTTTCAGAGGGGTAGGCTCAACCACCAGATGAAGTGTCCGTTTTGATGCAGTGAAATTCCCAGCATTTCTGGAGAGTTCATCTCCTTCGCTGGTCGAATCAGGTGCTGTGGGAGCGCTTCCTGCAGGCTGCAGCTGTCGCTACCACGTGGCGTATCTCGATGAAGGCAGGGTGCCGCTGGCGGGTGAAGCAATCGATGTGCCATGTTCATGTTTATAATAGTGGTTAATAGTGACTAATAGTGAGTATAATAGTGATTGTAATAGTGGTTAATAGTGGTGAATAGTGATTAATACCTGATTAATGTGGGTAAAACAATGCCATAAACCTTCCCTCAGTCATCACCATAAGTATATAGGTGGTATGGTGGTATGGTTACCATTCCCAGTCATGGGTTACCTGCATTAATGCGGCGAAGGGGAACGTGTTTTCCACCTGGAGAGGCGGATGAGGAAGACTTCAGGATGTGGTACTAATATATATTGGTAATAGTTTAATTGGTATGTTTATAATGAACGGAGAGAATGGTACAATTAATTGTGTTTATAATAGACATGTTTATGTGCCATAGTAATGATTGTTGGTTGGATGAACCAATAAACATGATGGTTCAATACATATTTTAATAGGAACTATAGTCAGGTCATGTCAGATCAGTAATGGAAACTTCCCAGTTCTAAGTTTTGATTGTCCAAAAATCCATGATGTTTGGATTCTCATGAAATGGGATGAGCGGTTTGATGAGCATGGATTCTCCCTATGAAAATACAATGTGAGGCCCCCCAGTGATGTGAACGTTGGTTAACAAAAGCCCCAGTAACTAGTTCGTTATTTGCGTACCATAAACCATAGTGACATGGGAGTTATGTTCACCAACTGAACGCGATTTCGTGGCCGGGGGCCTCACATTGTATGCACCACAAGCCATACACCATAAGGCATTCTCATGATTTAACCATAGGGATTCCACATGATTCGACCCTCCAAAAACACAGGATTATTTGGGGATTTAAGCCTCACTGAAAGGGGGTTCTTTTAACACTTGGAAAAATCATTGATATATGATGGTTGATGGTTTAATAAGAGTTATACTTCCTAATAACTGAGTCATGATCCATGAACTGGGAGTTATGTTTTCAACCAACCAGAATAAAGGGATGAGAGAAGGATTTGAACACTGCGCAAATGTGACAAGTTGCGAACAAAAACCATCAAAAATAATGAATGATTTAATCTGATCTGGTTATCATAGCATAGGATGGAGTATGACATCTACAGAGAAAATATATATCATGTCCCAGGGTTTAAAAAAAAAAATATGATGATACTTTATAGATCTTCATGGTGATACTTTATGATACTTTTTTACCTTTTTTTTATGATGTTGTTTTATTGTTTTACCTTTTTTTTCAATAGAATATGTGCAAAAACAATATCTCAGATCTATGCCCAGATCTATGGGGTTTTCATCGTCGTTTGATGATCTACCCATACAATGATATAAAATGCAACAGATCCAGTTCAACATCCTCCAACTGTGCATGTGTTTTCAACTGGAATAATGATTAAATGGTCCATTTCATGGTAGAAAATCATGATCGTCCTGCAAGAAGACTTATGCACTTATGCATGATGATCTATACTAAACCTCATTTGTTTGATTCAAAGAAAAAAGCACTCCTCCAGTGTCCGAAACGTCAATTTTTGGGTGAAACGTCACCCTCCAATGTTTTTGGAGAACAGGCACCTAGGGCTCTCGCCCTGGTGTTGTGCTGGGCTTTTCAACGCTGCAGGACACCGGCCGGAACACAAGGCGCTATGGATGAAGTTTTGTCATATCCTGGCAGCAATTCCTTCAGGCAGCGGCTTGGGGTTGGGGCTTGGAATAGACCGATGGTAAGTGGTGGTAATCAGAAATGATGCCATTTAAGCCATTGATATGTGGGATAACCATGGATAACTCCCATGTATGACATAATAAGGACATAATAGGCAAACAATAGGGAAATCATATGGAAATCATAGGCAAATAGGGAAATCATAGGGACATAGTTTCTGGAAATCATAGGGAAATTCCCGGGAAATCCCCATGACGACTGGGGACTTCCGCGAACCCGCGAAGCGTAGCGGGTACTATCCAGTTACGCCAGTTACCGTGGGATCCAAAGTGATCCCACAGTGGTCAACACCCAATTTTTTCGATTTCGGATCCTTAAACATTTTAATATCATTAATTAAAATTAATATCATTAATCCATTGGATTTTTTTTTAATATCATGAGTTATTTTTAAATTGGTTTCATGATATTTGGCTGGAACTCATGACCAGCCATGGGAATTGAACCACTATCATAAATGGCTTCCTGATCGGTTCGGTTCCGCGGGTTCATTTCGGTTCCTTGTGCATCCTGTAAAATGGAGGTACACCCAAGTCATCCAAAATTAGACAACTTTCGTTTTGAAACCTATGGTTTTGGTATGTTTTGGTGATCCCCTATTTTAAGAAATACCCATTTGATGATGAATTTGAGGTGGGGAACCCATAGCATAGCCATGGCTCAGAACGATTTACCTTTGAACTCCGATAGACCAGCTAGTTCAACCGCCTTGAGGATACAGTACTCACATTCCCCCCTCGTTTTCCCATTCAAAAATCCCAATTCTTGGGATTCAAAGCCTGAGTTTGGAAGGGTTTTGGACCCCAAAGATTTACGACTCACATGTGAAACGTCGCTGGAATCTGCCTTATTGAATTCAGCCAGGAAGTTTCCAGACCTATGAAGAGAACGTGAGGCAGTTCTTCCATGTTTGGGTGGCGCCTTGGCCCAAGGGGGCCCTAGCTGAGATGGGGAGAAAGCTGGGTTTTATGGATGAACTTCCTAAGCCTGGAGGATCAACAATGGAGGTTTCCAATTCATGAGGGTACCTCCAGTTCTCATCCATTTGTAGATGGATTTTCCATGAAATAAACCATCCAGGACCATCCATTCTGGAATACCCCCATGACTATGGAAATCCCCCAATACACGCTGCTGCCAGCATGTGCAGCCGGGGAGTCAAACTTTGATCTGGTAAGGCCTTGTCCAAGGAGTCCTTTGCCTTGTAGGTCATGGGATATCCATGGTAACATGTTGGGAAGTTTGTAGAATCTATGGATTATAGATGATCATGGACCCATGGAATGTGGAAGACCTGGATTCACCCAGGGGGGCTTTGGGGATACCTTCGGGAATGTGTGGGTTTAGTCCAGGGGTTTGAAGTCCCCAGGTCAAAACTAGTCAATTGCTCCCTACACTTCTTTGTTGTAAATTGTTGTTGTTGCTGCTGCTGGTGTTGGTGTTGTTGTTGTTGTTGTTCTCATTTTTAAAACCCAGACTGGTCTATTGTACATTATTGTACTCCCTGTATCTCCCTGTGTTTATCTGAGGCGTTTGTTTTTGTCAGAACCCAAAGACGGATTCTATCCGTGTGTCTCCAGAATTGTAGCCAATGGAACTAGTTGGGTAATGTTTAGTACTAGGAGCTCCAGTTTATTTGCCAAAATCTGTTGGTCAAAATTGTTGTTTGGTGACATGCAATTCTTGTTGCTCTTCAGTTGATAATTTCAACATCTTGGTTCCTCAGTTCCCTCTTCTTGTCATGTGTTTGTTTTGCGTTTCAAGTTTACAGCAGCCCCGAAAAGGGTGCAGAAGAGTAATGAACAGATATGCAAAGTGATTTGCATCACTTCACTGTTTTGATCTATGTTGTTACAGGAGTTGGTTTCACTTTTCTATCTCTTTCTGGAGCTCTTTTTTGAATTCCACAGGAGTTTCGCCTGGTTCGCCTTCCCGAGGAAGAGACCAACAAACTTAAAGCCTCCGAGCTCAAGGCTCGGGCCGTGGTGATGAGGAATATGAACCATCAATGGCTGGTGGGAATATCCTTGGGAACATCATGGCTGGTTGGTGGTTTCAAATATGTATATGAGATGTGTATAATATGTGTATAGTGTTGTTTTTTGTTCCAACCATACAATAGCGACGATTGCTTGGGATGACTTTGGCATATTTTTGGGGATGGGTTAAAACCACCAAAATGAGAAATGATGAGTGGTTGATGGTTGAGTCGTTATCAAAAAGAAAGTCATGCTACCATCTGGTTATGACTAACATAGCCATGGTATAGATGGTCCATTTATAGATGGTTTACCGAAATTAAAAACTGTGATTTTCCATGGCTATGTTAAATTACCAGATGATATTAAAGAAAGTCATGCTACTTGGTTTATTGGTGATTCTGATTACCCATTATATAACCCATTATGTTGCAGAAAAAAATCTCAACCAACCAGTACAAAGAGATGACAGAGAGTTTTTAGCACTGCTCATTCGACGTGGATTTTGGGAATTACGCCGAGAGCGATATGTACTCATGCTTCGCATTGAGAAAAAAAACAACCAAGCAAGCGTCAAAAAGGGGGATTTGAGGATATATAAACAATAAGTATTTGACCAGCAAAAAATCAGGATATCATTATGATCCATTATGATCCTATATCGATACCTAAGCCTGAAAAAAATCATACTCCATTGAAGCCTAGGAGCCTAAGTCGACAATGGTCGAACTTCATGAAGTTCGAGTTTGTGCAGTGGAACCAAATTATGAACTTGCCCATAGGATCCATGGTGCTGGTATATATGCTAACATGACTGGGGTATATTGATGGTAAATGTTACCATATATATTTATATAGCAGCACCATGGATCCTATGGGTTATGAACTTGATTGATGAATTGTTTTCGGATTTTCAATGTTTATCTTAAAAGACGATAGTGAACATGATCCCCAAAACCAGGGAATATATGTGTTTTGTTCAGTTTGTTGGTCACCATTTCCAGCATCAAATGACCACCTGGTTGGTGGTTTGGAACATGAATTTTGTGTTCCCCAATAGTTGGGATGATGATCCAATCTGACTCCATCATTTTTCAGAGGGGTAGGTCAACCACCAACCAGATGGATTTTCCAAAATCAATCAACATTCAACCAACCATTCTGGAATAGCCCCAATGACTATTGAAACCACCAACCAGCCATGAAAAAAGCGGCAAAAATCCCTCCGTCCAGGAGAACTTGTATGGAGACAGGTCGCAAAAGACGGTCGACTTCCTTAGTGGGAAGGCGGGTATGGAAATGTTGGAGTTCCCTGAGCCAGTTGGAGTTACAAGGTTCCCAACCATATGATATGATATAAGATGATATGATATAATATGATATAATATGATATAAGATGATATGATATGATATGATATAAGATGATATGATATATGATATAATACGATTTAAGATGATATGATATGATATAATATGATATGATATAAGATGATATGATATAATATGATATAATATGATATGATATGATATGATATGATATAAGATGATATGATATAATATGATATAAGATGTTTTGATATAAGATGATATGATATGATATGATATAATATGATATAAGATAATATGATATATAATATGATATGATATATATATAATATGATATGATAGATACAAGATGATATGATATGATATGATATAAGATGATATGATATAATATGATATGATATAATATGTTATACGATGATATGATGTGATACAATATGATATGATATGATATAATATGATATTATGTGATACAATATGATATATATATATACTATGATATGATATGATAAAAGATGATATGATATAATATGATATGATATATTATGTTATACGATGATATGATATGATACAATATGATATGATATGGTATAATATGATTTAAGATGATATGATATGATATAATATGATATAATATGATATGATGTGATACAATATGATATAAGATGATATGATATTATATAAAAGGATATAAGATGATATGATATGATATGATATAAGATGATATAAAATGATATTATATGATATATGATGATATGAATTTGTGCTGTTTTTTTTTCGGGCAGCGCGCAAGCATCGCAGTCACAGATGACCCAGTCGAGAAGTTCATCCTGTGAACCAACATGCGCCATGGGTCATGAATAACGCGACTATTGACATACTCTCTGGTTATTTAACATAGCCATGGTATAGATGGCCCATTTATAGATGATTTTCCATGGCTATGTTAGTCATAACCAGATGGTATATTGACGCTAAACATGGATGGTTTAGATATGTGTAAATTGTTTTGTGAGAAAGCAATAGCCTATGTTTTTTTTGTAAGTCGATTTGTAGCCTATGTTTGAGCCGCCAGATGATGCCCTGGCCGTTGCTGTGGCTGATGGACCTGTGTAGTTTGTTTGCCGCGTTTATCCATCGTTGGAAAGACCCGATCAATCGTTCATTTGATATCTAACCACCAACGAAAACCTCGCTTGTTCCCATTTCCCATGATTTGTTGTTTTGTTGTTTTTTTTTTACTGACATAGACATGTTCTTCAAATCCATCATATAATATCATCTAAGTATCTTACATATACTGCAGTACATGTTTTTTAAAGACATTTTAAGAGACATGATTTTAAGACACGTGAATACAATTGAATACATATACACAACATATTTACAGTATAATTAGTATAATACACTACATATATATATACACATGTATATACCAATATATACATATATATATATATACACATGTATATACCAATATATAGTGTATATATATACATTATACATATAAATACACAATCCAAGTATCGCAAATCTTGGCTGCACTGCAGACCACCTTGAAGAAGCTGAAGATCTCCTTCGGTTGGCAGGTGCTAGTCCTGGAAAACCTGGAAAATGCCGCTCGGACCAGCACGTTTCGCGCTGCGATTTGTTTTTTCGCGAAACTGTTTGGAGGGATCATCTTCTGTCCTTAATTTGAAGCGAAATGTGGTGATTGGGGTGAGTGAACTAGCATAAATAATTTTGATGATGGTATATTATGGGATAATCTGTAAGTATTCTTGGTGTATTCTGGGATAATCTAATAGTCTAAGTGGTTATTGACTGGAGTTAGTCAAACCACCATTTATACCCTCTGGTAAACTAACATAGCTATTGAAAATGGCCATTTTTAGTGGATTTTCCCATGAAACATTGTGATTTTCCTTAGTTATGTTAGTCTACCAGAGGGTAAATGATTTGACATGGGATAATCGTGGGGGACGTAATGGACGTAATCGCCAGGGTCATTTACCACTGGGATGGTCCTCCAAGAAATCGAAGTGTTAGCTGTTGGAGGATAGTTCTCCGACTTTTTTGGGTGGATAGGTACCCTCTGGTAAACTAACATAGCTATGGAAAATCACAATTTTCAATGGGAAAATCCACTATAAATGTCATTTTCAATAGCTATGTTAAATTACCGGAGGGTAAACTTTGAGGATTGTTGGAGAATGATATGGGCATACTTGCGGATATTTGCCATAGTATAATCTAATAATACACCTGTATACAGCGTAGAGAGTTCTACCCTTTGGTAAACGTTTACATAACTATGGAAAATCACCATTTTATAGCTGGGTAAATCAACTATTTCATACTATTTCTATGGCCATTTTCCAGTTCGCTATGTTTGTTTACCAGTGTTTGTCATCGACTCATTTGATCCAACTCATCCTTGATGTTCGCAGCATTCAACTAGCGCTGCAAAGGTCCACCCGGGAAAACTATAGGAACCCCCAAAAAGATAGAGTTGTCAAATCCCACTGTAGTCGTAAAAACACATTTCGATTTTTTGCGGGGTTACTATATGCATGCTTGAAGTCTAAGACACTACCAATACTCCGTGCATTTCGCCACACTGCGGTGGTGAAAGTCACGAAGAGCACGGCGAAATGCTTAGGGGGGGCGAAAGAGTCGCAGAGACATGTTGATTCTTTGCTTTGTTAGTTTTTGGAGGGAAAACACACCAGGGCTTACTACCAAATATGAGGGTAGAAACCATGTTTCCAGTAAATATTTCCTGGAAATTCAATTTGACTTGGGTAAGCGACATGGCGACGTCACTCACCAAGTGGTCACGTACCAACGTTACCAGCCGGAGATTGTTTGAATCTTAAGCCAAACTGATGATTGACTATTTAATTCGTATTTTATCTGGTTGGTGGTTTGGAAATGTTTGGAACATGGCTTTTATGACTTTCCATCATATTGCGAATGTCATCATCCCAACTGACGAACTCCATCCTTTTTCAGAGGGGTTGGTTGAAACCACCAACCAGTTATCATATTCGATGATTGATTCACCATGTTGAGTGATTTACATCAGAATTCTTGCTGGCAAATATACAGCAACCGACAAATAGATACAAAAGGTCAACACCGGGAAAATCTTCAGAGGAAACGACATCTATCATATATCTATATGTATATATATATATATGTACTATATTATGTATGTATGTATATATGATATATATATATATATTATATATATATATATCATATTTTATATAACATATTATATACATATATACATTATATTATATTATATATTGTATTATATATTATTATATTATATTATATTATATTATATTATATTAAATTAAATTATATTATATTATTTTATTTTATATAACATCCTGGAACAAATTTGTCGGCATTTGTTTGTTGGGATTGTTTTGTTGTCTTACAATCGATCCATGGCAGCACTGTTTTGGATGTTTTGGTTGAGGCCATTGAACACTTGCACGAGGAGTTGCGAGTGCCAGGACGGCAGCGATGCTTCAGCCCATCAATTTTCACCTATCATTTTTTTCAGAGGGGTAGGCTCAACCACCAACCAGTCATTGTCCAAATGGGGAAACTATGGCTGTTCCACATCTTTCTGTACAATGTGAGGCCCCCGTTAGATAGCTAAGTTGGTGAACATAACTCCAATTTCACTCTGGTTTATGGTACTTATAACGAACTAGTTACTGGGGCTTATAAACCAACTTATAACTGGGGGGCCTCACATTGTAGTTTTGAGGAGCTTCAGTGCTTTATTTCTGCATTTGCAGGGGCCCTAAAGTTTATGGTTTACCGTCTGGTTATTTAACATAGCCATGGTATAGATGGCCCATTTGTAGATGGTTTACCTATTAAAAATGGGTGGATCTTTCCATGACTATGTTAGCCATAAAAAGATGGTAACGAGTGAATGGGGCCTTGACCATCTGATTTGGGGCCACCTTGACCACTGTTTAGATGAGTTTATATTGGTAAACATGGCCAATTCTGTGGTTGGAGTTGTGGCATGTGCCGAAGGCGGCCTGCAGACTTTCGACTGAAAGTAGTTTGCAGATTCCCAACTGGTGGCATGTTTTCCATAAACGGGTGCACCCCCAAATGGATGGTTTACAATGGAAAATCCCCATTAAAATGGATGATTTGGAGGTATCCCTGTTTCAGGAAACCTGTACATATATATATATATTTAACATAGCTATTGAAAATGGCCATTTATAGTTGATTTACCCAGCTATAAAATGGTGATTTTCCATAGTTATGTAAATGTTTACCAGAGGGTAAATATATAGTTTGATTCTATGGCAATTGAAAACTCTCACCTATATTCATTGATGACTTTCGCAGCAAAATCATGGGATTTCCCACGGGTCAAGCTGGAGACGACTCGGTTGTCTGTCATCCGCCAGAAGCTCTGAAAAAGAAGTGGTACTTAGATGACATCACTGACTGGTTGCCCACGGACACCAACAGCCACTGGGATTGATTGAACGTTTACCCTCTGGTAAACTAACAGTTCGCGAACTGGAAAAATGATCATCTTCAAGTTCGGTAAATCAACTATTTCTATGTGCCATATATACAATAGATTTGTAACAAATTACCAGAGGGTATCACAGCCACTGGGATTTAGAACGTTAAAAACTGGTTGCTGGTGTATTTTTTCTCAATGTATCTGTTTCAATCTTCAAGCATATATAGTGGATTTGGGAAGGTGACCCTTTTCGATTGATTTGGGAAGATGTTCCGCTTTTTCAAGCACCAATCACTTGGCAATTCAGAAGGACAGGGACGCGGAGCACTGTAAAAAACGAGTTGATGAGCTGACGACGGGGACTGCTTTTATACCAAATTTATATGTGTGGATCCGACCTCGACCGGCGCGGCAGCACTGGAGGTATTTTGGAGGTAAGATAAACGGCTGTCAGGGTGGCTGTCAGGATCATGTTTTTGTTGATGGTTCACCCTTTTTTTCCCATCTGAATCTGGTAATCAAACGTGGTTGGCAATGGAAAATGCGAAAATGCCCTATGAACATCTATACACGGAGGTTTAAAGCTGGGAAAATCATCGAACTAAATGTGGAATTGTCCAGCCCGCCATGTTTGAGGACACCAGAGCGTACTAATGAAGTCAGTTGTTACTCTCGTAATCGCTTGGTGGTAACTCGGTCAAGAACGAAGTTTGGCACTTGAAGATCAATGAACTACCAGGTTAGGCACCCAAACGATAGCCAAGTTGACTTGTAACTAGCCGAAGTCTATGGTTTATGGGCGATATAACATGATAGATACATGATATATATATATATAACGATAGTATTCATGGGGTTTTAAACCAACTTGTATAGGAATTTTGCCTCACCTTGTATGTGGTGCCTGAATTTATGAGTCCTCCGCAAAGGCTCCAAAAGGGTACATTGTCAGACTGTATCATAGCTGGTCAAATACTATAGTTGATTCACGTGTGTTACAAATTACCATATCATATATATTCATATATTATATAATATTATATCACATTATCTTATATTATATTCTAGTATATCATATTATATTATGTTATATTATATATACAGTTGCTGAAATTCTACAATCCCATTTGTTGAATTAAACATGTTAAAATCCTGTGTCTCATCACTCACATCATTTTCTTGTTGGTTCAGTCCCCAGTTCCATTTACTCAAATCCAAAACTTGGTGTAGATACATCCTATTTTTTTGGCCAGCTAAGTCCGGAGTTTTGGTCCAGTCCTCATGTTTGCTATTTGAATCCCCAGTCTTGCCCGCTCATTTTCTGTTTTTGGTTCTTCCATGTCATGCTTTTGTTGGTTTAATCACTCACTATTTCTATATTTGATATTTGGTGATGTACCAAAGGATGTACCAAATCAAATCTATTTCACAGCTCATCTTTGTTTTTGGTTTCAATATTTCTTGCTTTTACTCTCATGCTTTCATGACTTTTCGTGTTCCTAAATGGAGGTTTCCTGAAATAGGCCTATCCCCGGCCCCACATCATCCATTTCTGGTTGGTGATTTGGAACATGGTTTTTATTTTTCCATATATTGGGAATGTCATCATCCCATTTGACTTTCAAATTTTTCAGAGGGGGAGGTATACCACCAACCTGATAGGGATTTCCCATTCAATCATCCATTTTCGATTGGGATTTTTCATGATAAACCAGCCCTTTTTGGGTACCCCCTTTTTTCTTGGTTGAATCCGCCATATTTTTCATAGGGATTTGCCATGAAATGAACCAACCAGTGATAGAACTGGATGATGGGAAAATTTACAGGAACCCCCTATATTTGATGGTTAAAACCATGGTTTCCGGTTCCGATTTTCCCTTAAACCAATCCATTGAACCAGCTATTGGGGATTCCGCAACCAGCACCGTCCAAACCACTGGAGCTTAGGCTTGGCCCTACGCTTGCACTACTTGGCGCGCGCCTCGCCGCCGGAGGACGAGCGAACCCTGCGGCTTGGTGAGTTGGTGTGTGGAATAAAAAAGGGAAATGGGAAGAATATCTTTATTGGATGTTGTTATGGGGAAACTATATCATATATACATATATATATAATTATATATATATTCATATATCAAAAATTATGAGGTTATATTCAATATTGCATGTTAAAGTTAACATTGGATATAGGAAGAATTATGTGATATATCAAAGGATAAACAACTACTTTAAGAATAAGAATCTTTTCCAATAATAGTTTTCTCATAATATTTGATATATTGGATATTATGCCAAACTATATCATATATCAAATATTATGAGTTTATATTCAATATTGAGTGTTAAACTTAACGTGGATATTGTTATGGGAATCATATGCATCGGATAAACCGCCAAAGCCATGGGAATAATACATGCGAATTGTATTTCGGATAGCATATTGGGAATTATATATATATAATATATGGATTATCTATGGAATATCCCAATAAATATTATAAATACTTGTATCCCAATTTTCATATGTATATATATATATAATGTTTTAATGGCATAGTTGGGTATTGTGGGATAAATGATATCATGGGATATCTTGCTATTCATGGGAAGAATATGCATGGGATACTAAGATAGTATACCCTCTGGTAAACTAACATAGCTGCTGAAATTAACAATTTTTAGTGGGTAAATCCACTATAAATGGCAATGTTCAATAGCTACGTTAGTTTACCAGAGGGTATTGGGATAAAAGTAATGTATATTTCTTGGGATAATACAATTCCTTGGATACTGATGGATATACTATTGACACAAGTATTTATAAATTTTATCTTCTATAATAGTAATTACACGTGTATGGATAGGATAGTGTATATATATATATGATTAATGTCCGTCCCATGGCTATAGTATATATTGGATATTTAAATTTAAATAATTATCGAAAATAAATGGATTTAATGGAAACAAATCCTGGGGAAACCATTGGTTCATGTGCATATGTTATCAGTTAATGAGGTATCTATATATTATATACAAATGGATGATATAGTATTCATATGTAATATAACATAATTATAAGTATATATAGTAGATTATAATATACTATTGTAATGACCAGTGTATAACCGTGTATACACACATAATATATCCATATATCATAATAGTATAATGGAAACATATGTATAATATACATACACATATACATAATATGATGGGATATCAATGGCATATGCGTTCACCATCAGTTCATATCTCATGATATCTATGAATCGGATATACAGAACGATAATTGTATATAATCTAGTAATACTACACATATGGTGATACATAGAACCAGCAACACTAAGGACTTACCCTCTGGTAAACGAACATAGCTGTTGAAAATCACCATTTTTAGTGGGTGAATCCACTATAAATGGCAATGTTCAATAGCTATGTTAGTTTACCAGAGGGTAAGTGACTTTACCGTCAATGTTTAGGTGTTTTTACATTTTAACTCAAAGATCTGGGAAACATTTTAACTTGCGCAAAGATCCGGGGAAATGATGGATGAATGATGAATGATTGGACCATGGAGCTCCTGCGTGATCTGGGTGCAACAAAACTAGTACATCTAAAGATTTTGGTGATGAAATAACCATAGATGTACTAGTGGTACATGATAACTAGGTCAATCTTGCATGGGTACTAACTAATCCTAACTAGTCTTTTGGTATCAATGGGATTATCTACGTTCACCAGCTAAGATTTTTTTGTGCAGGGTGTCTAAGATTGGCCATGTAGTGAGATGGATTTCTAAACCAACTTGTAACGAGGGGCCACCTTGTTTCTCTTGTTTGACACTTGTTTTAACATGTTTTAACATGTCTTAACCAGCAAAAAGGATGGGGATATAATTAGTTAATTAGTTGATATGTTTTGTGTGATATGATGTGATTCATGCCTGATGATTTACGAATGAACCATGGTGATTTTACCAACAAAAAAGGGTGGTTTTCTGGGAGCAACTCCAGAGATGTGGCCACAAAAAAAGCACTGAAAAAGTACATCCTCCACAAGCTGGTGCCCAAGATATTTTTGTTGGTTTATAGATTCGAGGAAATCTACCCTTTTTCTAGGGTAACTATAGTATTATAGTTAACTCAAGAAATTTCCAGAAAGTCCAAATCCACATTTCGCTTGGATCCGTCTCGCCATTCGTCGCCGTAGTTATGTTTTCGATGTTTAAGCACTAAGGAAGACACAGCATGTGGCGCCCGGTACCTGGTACTACGAGGCATTTGCGGATGGGGCTGCCCCTGGTGGTTTTTAATGCTTGGGATTGAGACACTTCCACTGGTACGTATTTTTGGGCTGGTTGGTAGTTTGGAACATGGTTTTTATTTTTCCATATATTGGGAACAATAATCCCAACTGACTTTCATATTTTTCCAAAGGGGTAGGTATACCACCGGCCTGATAGGGATTTTCCATTATAAATCATCCATTTTCGATTGGGATTTTTCCTGATAAACCAGCCGTTGGGGTACCCCCATGACTTGGTTGTCTTCCTTCCGCGGACAAATGGCAGTTTACACAGTTTACACGATATGACTTACATATACTGTTACAGTATACGTATATTCTCATCAAGACACATTTGATGAAATTTCCTTCTGTATGTGTATATACGGCCATATACATACACATAATCATTATATATGTATACATATATATATATATGTATATATATATGTATATGTATATATATATGTATATGTATGTATATATATATGTATATATATATATGTATATGTATATGTATATACCTAGTTCAATTCTACAGTGTGTGTATGTATGTATGTAATGTAATGTAATGTAATGTAATGTAATGTAATGTAAGGTAAGGTAAGGTAAGGTAAGTTAAGTATGTATGTATGTATGTATGTATGTATGTATGTAATGTATGTATGTAATGTATGTATGTAATGTATGTAATGTATGTATGTAATGTATGTATGTAATGTATGTATGTATGTATGTATGTATGTATGTATGTATGTATGTATGTATGTATGTATGTATGTATGTATGTATGTAGTATGTATGTATGTATGTATGTATGTATGTATGTATGTATGTATGTATGTATGTATGTATGTATGTATGTATGTATGTATGTATGTATGTATGTATGTATGTATGTATGTATGTATGTATGTATGTATGTATGTATGGTATGTATGGTATGTATGGTATGTATGGTATGTATGGTATGTATGGTATGTATGGTATGCATGGTATGTATGGTATGTATGGTATGTATGTATATATGTATGTATGTATGTACGTACGTACGTACGTATGTATGTATGAATGTATGTATGTATGTATGAATGTATGTATGTATGTATGTATGTATGTATGGTATGTATATATGTATATATGTTATATATATATATATTATATTCATTTATTTTTTAATTTACACATCAATAAACATATGTATACCGATAGCAGCGTGCACGGCCAGGTGCCCCAGGGTAGTGGCAACGAGCTGTGGCTTTCAGCACGGCAACGCGCCGTGGAGATGTTGCATGGCCACTGGGCGACATCAATTCACAACATACAGGCTGGTTGGTGGTTTCAAACATTAATGATGATTAATGGTGATTAATGATGGTTAATGATGGTTAATGATGGTTAATGGTGAAAATGCTGGTTGGTGGTTTCAAACATGTTTTATTTTCCATCATATATGGGATGTCATCCTTCCCATTGACGAACTGCATCATTTTTCAAGATGGTTATTGCACCACCAACCAGCAGGGATGGGTCAAAACACTGTACCCTCTGGTAATTTAGCATGGCTATTAAAAATGGCCATTTATAGTGAGTTTTCCCATTAAGAATGGTGATTTTCCAGTTCGTTATGTAAACGTTTACCAGAGGGTACCCCTTCTGTGAACATCAACATAGTTTGTACTTCTGGATGTTCCTCCCCAACAAATCAATGGGAATTCCAGGATCCTAAAATGGAGGTACGTAAACGTACCATATTTCAGGCCATATTTTCGGGTATATCCCCTGAGATTTAGGCCTAAGAAATAGGCCTTACATATGGTAGGTACCTCCATTGAACAAACTGTATTAATGTACTGATCCATAAGCTTTTCTGAGAAAATCACCTATCAATGAATGGATAAAATATATCGTGGCATCGGTAAAAATCACCTACAATTAGTGAGGCCCCCAAACGTGATGTGAACGTTGGTTAACAAAAGCCCCAGTAACTATAGTTATAAGTGCCATAAACCAGAGTGAAATTGGAGTTATGTTCACCAACTTTGCTATCGAACGGGGGCCTCACATTGTATCAATTGATATAGGATATGTGTAGAGTATTTGGGTTTCTGGATGGGTGTAACTCACCCGGGATTTTTGTTGGACCTATAAGTTGGGATGTAAGACCGTGAAAATGACTGTAGTTATAGAATCTATATCACTCATCGAAAAATCACTCGAACATATAACTTATAGTACTATAGTTGTAAATTAAGGTTAGTTAGAACCTATAAATCCATAAACTCTGGTCATAATAGGGTTATATGACTATCACTTATATAACCATGGATGCCCTCCAGCTGTAGCTCGGTGCCTTAGGTATTGAGGAGACGGACCAGTTCAAGGTCCAAATTCCGCTGCGCACCAGTCGCGGCACTGCAGGAGCAGCCGTGGTTTTGGAATTTGGAAATCCACTAGAAATGGAGGTTTTCGTGGGAAAATCGTCAATGGAGGATTTTCAGTTGCCGTGGAAGATCTAAGCTCTTGATCCAAGCAACCAAGAAGATGATTTTGGGGGTTGTTATCTTTGATGAATGATGAATCATGGGATTTGTAAGGACACAGCCGTATATCTTGGTGGTTTCAATCACTGCAAAGGGTTCGTCATTGATCCCGTGAATTCAATGTTGTTTGAAATCACCAGCCAGTTTTGTGGTTGGTTACTGGGTGTTCCAGTGACTGACCTGTGAGTGCCCATTCGACCAGTGAGCAAAAAAAAGTGGCCATTTTTATCAATAACTATAGTATTACCCTCTGATAAACGTTTACGTATCGAATTGGAAAGATCCACCAAATTTTTGTCATGCGTAAATCCACGAACTTTCGACTGGGCCATGGCTTCCATGTCGCTTTAACTGTATGTCTGTTTACCAGGCCGGGTAACTTTAGCCCATCTCAAAACCAGATTCTGGGCGATGAGCCTCCAAAGACATCACGGATTCAAGGTGCTCCCCAAAAGTGCCAGTTCTGGGATGTTCTGGGTCTGTCTTCTTTCCAGACACTGTTGATGAATGATTATACCGTTGTTGTTGAATACTATGCCTAATAACATATTGGAGATTATCAGCATGATTGGAATCTGAATGCAAACCAGACCATAAATTTGTAAAGTTTGGAGATTGTTCAATAAATGTTGAGACTGCTCAAATTCCAAAAGGATGTGTGTCCGAATATGCGGTACCCCTCAATGCGTCCCAAGGTTTAAAGCCTTATTTTAACCATAAAGCAATTGCCATATGTATCCATATGTGCCATTCCGTCAAAACATGGCCGGTGTTCCCATATTGGGGAATGGTCATCAATCCATATTGGTTTTACTATATATATACTGGTTGGTGGTTTCAAACATGTTTTTTTTATTTTAACCATTTCATATATGGGATGTCATCCTTCCCATTGACTTTCATATTTTTCAAGATGGTTAAAACCACCAACCACTATATATAAGGATTTACATAGCCAAGATGTTGTGATTCCCATGGCATGGGATGACCTGTTCGACCATATTTTTCAATGTTTACGCTCACCCCACAAACATCCCCATTGCATGGTCCCAAAGCACTATGGTGATGTGTAAATCCCCTACTGAACCAGGGTTTCTGGGAGTGATTCATATTACAAGTATGTGTAAACCCCAGTTATAAATAGATTAGAATCCCATGAAAACTATAGATATATCACCTATCAACCATAGTGAATTTGGACTTATGTTCACCAACTTAAAGATTGCGAACTGGGGCATCACCCCGTAGGAGGTTTATTCATATTAATGTGGGTGAGGCAATAATAAACCATCTCCAATTTCACCATAGGTGGTTTAAGCCATTCCCAAATGGGTGGTTTATGGCATGATTTTTCCCACATTACCCTCTGGTAAACATACAAAAAACTATGGAAAATCACCATTTGGAACAGGTAAATCCACTATTTCTTTGGCCATTTTCAATAGCTTTTTGTATGTTTACCAGAGGGTAGGGGGATTCTTGACGAAAAAAACGCCGCCGGAAAGGATGTCTCAACTTCGCGGCCAACTATTTCTTTCAGCCGCGCGGCAGCACCAATCCGGACTTGAGGTTACCATTCGATGTCCTCATAATACCAAATATGAATAGGTATATATATATATATAATAGTATATATAATAGTATATATATATATTATTATATTATATATTATATATATAATTATTATATATATATTATCATATTATATATACATGTAATGGGATATGAATCGAATGTTGGATAGTATAATTTCATAGAATTGGATATGAATGGATATTATGATATGACTATTCAACTAATGATTGTGTTTTTCCAACGTAGCGTTGGGAAACTCGATGAACTCTTCATGAAGAATCGGCTGGGGCGGTGTTTGATGACTCCGGTATCCCCAGATGACCATTGCATTCACTGATTAGCCTCTGGTAAACATACAAAAAACTATGGACAATCACCATTTTATAGCTGGGTAAATCAACTATTTCTATGACCATTTTCAATGGCTATGTTTGTTTACCAGAGGGTACACCTTTATTTTTCCATTCACTATCAAAATTCCATTCACTGCTTAGTCCCAAGAAGCACCATTCAAATCACTATGAATATTCCATTCATACCATATATTTCCAATGAATTGGGATATTAATAGTGATATATTTCCATCATACCATATATTTCCATATTAATATTCCATGGGATTAATATTTCCCATTTTTTCCCAATGAAATCCCATCCCAAAGATCGAAAGACCATCGAAACTCGGACACCTGCCTGCCGACTGCGGCCAAGTCTTGAGGTGTGTCTAAAGATGGGACCCCAGAATTTCTGGCGATGTTGATACGTAGAATGGGTCATAAATATTAAACCATATCTGGTTGGTGGTTTCGAACATTTGGTTGATTTTTCCAGATATTGGGAATGTCATCATCCCAACTGACGCCACTCATATTTTTCAGAGGGGTAGGTCAACCACCAACCAGATAAATATTGAGGGGAATATCCTGTATTTATAATAATTCAGATATTGTTCGGCGAGAAGAACAAGTACTTTCAGTGGCAATTAGGTCTTGAACCACTGGCATCGAAACTCGAAACGTACCCTATCTTTCTGACAAACCCATACTAGAAGGCTGGTTTGATTTAGTGATTCATAGCATGAGAAATAAGCCTGCTCAGTAAGTCCCTTGTGAAGTATACCATTTATAAACTGCTGATAACATTTTAGAACTCATATCTATAGAAAGGTAGCCCCCTTAAATAGATGGAACAATAATTTCCGAATCAATCCATACGATAGTGATCCATTATATGTATATATATGTCAGATTTGGGTAGTTCCTTCAAATTTATGTAAGTACAAAATCATATGACTGTTTAGCAATATAATATACATATTATATGTATATATATTGTTTTGACATAGTTTTAAATTTTGCAAGTTATATCATGTTTCCCTACTTATGATCCCAATTGATGCGTTTTTTTTTTCACCATGGTTAGACCATGGTTATAGCCAGTAAACCCCACCTTCCCTGCCTTCTTTTTCCCAGGTACTCGGGGCGACTGGAGAACCTCTACGGCGATTCCCGGGTGCCCCTTCTGAGCAACTCATGTTTTTCCGCCTCTGGCAGTGACTAACATGTGGAACAAGCCGAAAAATATGTCAATCTCGGTTTCTTGATAAATCTTCGAATCCTATCCATTTACCATCATTTACCCTGGGGTAAACGAATAATTATTAATTAACATGGATATGGAAACCAATTAATTCATGAGTTTTCCTGGGACATGTCGAAATGATGGGATTTCCAGATCTACCCTAAAGGGATCCCTTTGGTAATTACTCAAATCGTGAGTGAATCATCATTGATGGGCCATGGCTTCCAGAGGGTAAGCATGAAAAAGCTAGGGACTTAACTGCCAAACAAGGGGAAAAACTCATTCAATCTCAGCATTTAAGCAAAAAAATCAAATGATTATGATCCAAATTTGGCATTTGTCCATATGTTTATAAGACAAAAACATGTTTGGACATGTGAATTAATTGAATCTAACATGGAAGAGCTCTGGTGCCTTTGATGCCTGGGTTTTGGTAAACTCTTTTTTTAATCAAACTCCCCGATGCTCCTTATTTCCAGCAGGAGATCATCCATCTTTATCCATCATCTGAAGACAATGACACACTGGATGGGCTCCAAAAAAGAAACGAAGACATCGAGAATTCCCTTGTGCTCTTGAGCCAGGATAACATCATCTCAATACCCATGACGGATCCATGGTGCTGGTATATATGCTAACATGACTGGGGTATATTGATGGGATCCATGGAGCACCATATGTAGCAGCACCATGGATCCGTCATGGGATGTTTTTATAGAACCAGAGGGTATCAGAGGTTTCCTATAGTCCTTGGAAACCGAAGCCGGGGTTTACTCCTTGGACCAGGATACTTCACCTGCCTTGTTGAGCATTTGTGATGCGCGACATCAGTTCCAGACAGTGTCATAGCGGCACATTTGTCGTTCCGGGTTGTGAATGGAGCCTGAAGCGATCCTCAAAACGATAGGATAGGATTTCAGGAACAAAATGTGGGTTTCAGTCATAGATTCAATCATGTTCAATCAACAGAATAGGATTTCACTGCTTACAAAATGGATATGGCCCAATCTTAAGCAGCCTGCTAGCATTTTATAGCAGCATGAACAGATACGAGATGATCTGAGATGAAGTCGCATCCGTTCCTATATCCATGCAGAGTAGCGTATAGATTGGTTTTTCTACGCACCAAAATTAGGAAAATTGATGGGTCAAATATGGTGAAATGATGTGAAATGTCAATATACTAAATTTAAAGATATTAATCCAAACATGATATTGAACGATATTGACAGCATATCATGAAAGGATGAAAGGTTTGTGGCACCCGTGGCACCTTGTCACCCTTGGGTCGCGAGGATTTTTTCCACACCACGGTGCCATACTTCTTCGACTCGTACGGAGACCTCAATCCCAATGTGGGCTTTGCCCAGTGCCCCAAGTATTTTCCACACGTGCAGGCGCAGGGCTCAAAGGGCTCAAAGGGTTGGCGGCCCCCAAACCTCCAAAAAACAGAGAAAAGATGTGGAAAAGCCATGTGTCGATCATCTTCCGAATGGGATTTCCCATATGAAACCCATGGGGTAAATACCACATCTATGTATATAAATGTTTACCCTAGGGGCCTAGGATCTTTTTTTTGGGCGGTTGCTGGTTGAAACTGGAGCATGTTAGGCGAATGTGTCGGCAGCTTACTGGTCTGAAGTTGTCCCAAGCAGTTGTTCAATGGGTTAGTGGAGATTTAACATGCATCCCATGGTTGATCATAGTTTTTGCGGAATAAGAACCAGTAACCATGGGTCTACCATGGTTTCAAAAATCACGTCTTTTTCAGACACACCTTGGTGGAACATGACGTTTTTAATGACCAGTTTTGATGGTTGGTTTGATGGTTGGAACCATCTGAGTGATGGAATTTACATGAATTTACCCTCTGGTAAGCATACACAAAACTATGGAAAATCACCATGTTTCATGGGAAAACTCACTATAAATGGTCATGTTTAATAGCTATGTTAGATTTCTATGGTGATTTTCCATAGCTTTTTTGTATGTTTACCAGAGGGTATACTCCTTTCATCCATCGCAGTTCCCTGCACGGAGTTGACCATAGAGACTTGGGCAGGACCGGGCCGATTATTTAGATGCTCGGCAGATGGGCAGAGGATCTCCAAAGTGGTGCTGCTTTAAAGGTTTTCCTTACAGGAAATGCACATACCCTCTGGATCCCTCTGGCAATTTAACAGTTTGCTGTGGAACATCAGCATTTTTCAATGGGAATTTCAGGATCTTAAAATAGAGGTACTGTACCATATAAGGCCATATTTTGTGGGGATATTCCCTTATATAGGCCTTGCATAGGCCTTATATATGGTAGGTACCTCCAATTTAGGTTCCTGAAATGGCCATTGAATTTTTGATAGGTCAATTGTTCTAAATGGTCTATAATAGTCTATATAAATTAGTTTTTTTTTTCCCTCTGGTATCTTAAGTTAGCGCAGGATAAATACGGAAAACCCACAATTTCCACCATCATGTCCTAGGACAACTAATTAATTATTGGTTTCCATATCCATTTCATTCGTTTACCCCAGGGTAAATGGATAAGATTCGAAGATTTATCAAGAAACCGACCCTGAAATGGGAATGGGCGATACAACGGCTTACATTTAGGACTACCCTCCTGCATAGATTTGGCAAACCATTTGTAGTTAATTTTCCAACGGAAACCATATGAAACCATGGCTTTTCCACCTCTATGTTAGATATGTTAACGTTTATCCCAGGGTAGTTTATAAACATGTATAAACCTAATTTAATTAGTAATAACTGGTTGGTGGTTTGGAACATGGCTTTTGTTTTCCATATATTGGGAATGTCATCATCCCAACTGACGAACTCATATTTTTCAGAGGGGTAGGTCAACCACCAACCAGAATAACTGTTTATGCGAATTAGTAATTTCGGTTATAGTTATAATTTTACATTAGGTTTAGTGAACCATAACTGTTCATGCTAATTAGGAACAGTTTACTAGTTCATGCATTAGCCGGTTATATAATATGATATTAATGGATTACAATGGAATATAATGGAATATAATGGAATATAATGGAATATAATGGAATATAATGGAATAATTGTGTATGCTATGGCACCACTTCATGACACCGGCACCTCAAGGATAACAATGACGCCCAGTTCTTCCGGCTCAACTGCATGATCCACAACTGCTGCGGCGGCGCACCTTGCCGTGGATGCCGTGGCAGGTGCTGATTGAACCATCTGAAATCGTGTGAAATTGTACAATGTGTGGCCCCCCAGTTATAAGTTGGTTTATAAGCCCCAGTAACTATAGTTATAAGTACCATAAACCATAGTTATTGGAGTTATAAACCAACTTAGCTAACTTAGCTATCTTGGGGGCCTCACATTGTAGTATCATGGGGATATACCCTCTGGTAAACGTTTACATAACGAACTGGAAAGATCCACCCATTTTTTCATGGGAAAACTCACTATTTCTATCGTCATTTTCCATAGCTATGTTAGTCATTACCAGAGGGCAACATGATACAACCAATGAAGTGAAATTTCATGGGTTTTCGCGAACCGAAAGATCTGGTTGAAATTGCAGTTTGTCGATGGCCGTGGCATTTTTACCCAAAATCCACGACTAGGAAATCTATAGATCCAAGGATTTTACCCTCTGGTAATGACTAACAAAGCTATGGATAATGACCATAGAAATAGTGGATTTACCTAATTAGTGAATTTCCCATGGAAAATAGCCATTTATAGTGGATTTTCCCATTGAACATGGTGATTTCCCATAGTTTTTTTACCAGAGGGTAACCGTCTAAAATGATCTGAAAAAATGGTGATATCATGGGGATATGACCGAAAACCATGGTGAATGTGAGACCACCAATCGCTGTTTGGCTTGTCCCTTTCCTTTGGTGGACTTCCATCCATACCGTAGTTACTTTCCAGGAGGTATTTCCGGTGCTTCCGCTCTCACAGCTCTTGTTGGGTGCAACATTTCTCACAGCAATGTTGCGGGCCTAATAATACATCTACATGTATGCAATGCTAATACCAATGCCAGTACTCATTTAAATGCTGTAGTTATAGAAACAGTACTAGTACTAATTTAATACTAATGACTATACTGTACTATACTGTACTTTACTATCTCTACTCTACTCTACTTACGATACTAAATTATACTACCTATATCTACCTATACCGTGTTCTTTCAACATGTGGAATGTATTGGTTCAATCTATTATACGTACTGTACATTATATATAAACATAATCTTATCAACGTACTTACAGGTTGATAACTCAACATAGTTATGGACAATAACCATGTTTTGGTTTAGTGAATCATTGGAACTAAGGTGAATATCCATGTCTTATAGGTGAAAACAACCATGTTTTATTTACAGGTTACAATTTGACAATAACCATGTTTTATAGGAAAACACCAAATGTTCCATTGGGAACCGGTGTGTTTTTCCATCGAGGTGAGTGGACATGGCACCAACAGCACATGGAAGCTGCATCGTAGTCCAGACAGCACCTGGGAAAAAGTGGGAACCGTCTGGGTAATCCACAGCCCAGAAATACCATGATCTCCCATCAATAAAAACATTGGTTAAACCATGATATTCATTGGTTAAGCTCCTATTAGTGTGCTTCAAACATTCTATACTAGGTCAATCTTACATGGATACTAGCTAATCCTAACTAGTCTTTTGGTACTAATGGGAATATCTACGTTCACCAGCAAAGAATTTGTCATTTTTTGCAGGGTATCTAAGATTGGCAATGTATTAGTGGAGATTTTCATGGGATATGAATGGATATGATACCGGGTACTGTATATTTCGACATCATGGAGATTTACTGGGACACAACTTTTTGGATAGTTTATGGGATTTACAGCTAGCTATCAATAGTGGGACAATTGTAGATCTTCCTGTAAAAGTGGATGTACATCAATACATTAGTATGAGTCAATATACCAGTTACAATGAATAAGGATTTCCATTATGCGATGGATGACCGACCACATATACAATATTTTGACCACGGCACGTATGAAGAAAATTTACCGGTTTCATTCGTTTACCCTCGGTCTAGATTAAGAGATGTTTCACAGCCAGAACACATGTCGATCATCATCCGGCTGGACAACCCTGGTTGTTGTCGACATTATGTTTTCTTAATTTAGGGTAATCCTGCGTCCAGTTTATTGTTTCATTGATTGACTTTGGTGTGGCTTGGTTGCATCAGATGTCGATGAAATTTGACGGAACATACACACATGCTCAGAACATGGTTGCGGATTTTCACTCAATTCAACTATTCTTGCCCCAGAGCAAAAAACATCGGAAAGCAATTGGTGTCCTGATAGTTTTTCTTTTACCACTAGTGAACCATTACGTCACATTGACAACATGTGTTTTCCCCATTTAGTTCGATGATTTTCCACTGGAGGCTACAACTCCTTGAGTGGTTTCAAAATGTTTCAAATTTTATGTCTAATTAATCAGTATTAGTAAGAGTAAGACCATCAACATCCATAATCATCCACTAGATATTTAGAAACTATGAAACATATCTATTAAACATCCATAATCATCCACTAACATCAACCATCAACATTGAGACCATCAACATCCATTAATATTACCCTCTTGTTATTTGTTACATAGCCATGGTATAGATGGCCCTAATCGAAATAGATGGTTTACCTGGGTGTACCGTTCTTGAAAATGGGTGGATCTTTCCATGGCGAACTGTTAGTCATAACCAGATGGTAAATGTGAGGCCCCCCAGTGATGTTAGTTGGTTAACGAAGGCCCCAGTAACTAGTTCGTTATTTGCGTACCATAAACCATCAACATCCATTAATATTACCCTCTGGTAAATTAACATAGACCCTGGCAGTCATCGGCGTTGGAAGGTTAGTTTCCGTTAAAACTAGGCTATTTTCAGGGTCAACAAGTTAATTTACCAGAGGGTAAATCACCATTTTCAATGGGTAAATCCACTATAAATCACCATTTTCAATAGCTATGTAGCAGTCATTACCAGAGGGTAAATGTTAAACATCCATAATCATCCACTAACATCAACCATCAACATTGAGACCATCAACATCCATTAATATTACTGATTGGTGGTTTGGAACATTTTTTATTTTTCCATATATTGGGAATAATAAGCCCAACTGACTAATATTTTTCAGATGGGTTGAAACCACCAACCAGATTAAATGTTAAACCATTAAACCTATTAGATATTTGAAACCACGATCCCACGATCCCACGATCACTAACTTGAGATCATCCCCTCGACACCGGTAACCTTTGTGGCTTTTTCTTGGGACATTTTTCAAAAAGGACATGAAATGGGAAAAATATGGAAAATATGATGATGAATTATTGAAAAGTTTTTGAGGCCCAATTGATTGATTTGTTTTTGCATAATTGGAAAAATGGTGATAAAATTGAATTTTGGGTAATCTACCAACGAGTTAGACCCATTTGCACCACTGGAAAAGTCACTGCAAACAGTCACACAACTTTGAACGATCACTTTCTGTGGGTGAAATCCGAAAAATTGTTGTCGTCGATACCTTTCCTTCGTACATTATCTGCCTTTTCCGGGAGGAAACCTTCATAAATGGGTAATTCAAGGTACCGTGGTACCTTCGGTAACCAAACATTTCCATTGCATCTGATAAACATGGAGGGTAAGTGTAGCTGTTGGTGCTACTTGTAGTAGTCGTAGTATTGGTGGTAGTAGAAGTAGTAGTAGTAGTAGTAGTCGTCGTCGTCTGTCTATGCTCTTGCGGCGTTGCCAAGCCGTGTGCTTTGGCGTCACCGTGACGGCGCCGCCGCAATAACAAGGCCAGAAGTGACTGATGCCGATGTCCAGGCCGGGCGTGTCTCAGAGTGCATTGAAATATCACTCGATGGATGTTTGGTATTGAAATTGTTTCGGTCGTTTGGCGCTTTGAGGGCCCGTGGCGCATTGGAGATTGGATCGTTGTTTGGAGCCAAGTTCGGGGGGTGGGAGCTTGGTTGCTGGAGCACCAGCTTGCGATATCGATTTTCAGCGGCGCTTATTTTGGCTTCCCTCCCTGAGTCGATTAACAAGAAAGAAGTCAGGGGCAAGTCAGTAGAGGAGAGGCTCGAATGACAGGTGCAAATTGTTTTGTGCTTGCGGTGGTGGTTGTTATTGTTCGTGTTAAGGTGTTAAAGCTGCATTCGCTTCTCAAACGCACTAGGCCGTCTTCAACGACCTAATAATTTGACAGGAGATCCAAGCGCTTCTGCGCGCGCGACCTCTAGTGCTGGAGGCCAGGGCTGCTGTTCTGCTTGCGGCGTGTCCCTTGGCAACTTGATGCGTTCCCCAGGTTGCGGCGCCGCAAGATGGGTGACTCGTCGGGATTAATTTTGGAGTCACCCATCGAGCGTAGAAATTGCGGCCCAGCTGCGACCAATTCACAGTGTTTGGTGTGCATCATGTTGGCTGACATTTATCACTAAACAGCACCATTGAATTCCGACAACGCAATTTATATTTACGATGATGAACCGTTGTTAGTATATTAAACATTGCCAGTGGTGTTGAGCCATTGTGAATAGGATGAATCATCATTCCTGACCATCACTATTAGGCTTCCAGCACTACAACAACCATATCTAAAACCATCAGGATCCAACGAAGATGCGGTAGTATGGAGGTGCTTGGTTGAACATGTGGATAGCATGGTGGTTAATGTTGGTTAATAATTAATTAGATAGTTGGTTGTAGATTTGATGCGTTGAAAAGTTGCTCGCATACACAAATTATTCAGCCAGGAGCGAATGAAACGGCGCCCCGTTTTTAGATCATTACGCGAAAATGAAAGTTTATCCCAAACAAAAATCCCTTGGCAGGGCGTTCAAGGGGTGGTGCATGGAAAGTTGCGTGTTTTAAGAGATTGTGAAGATCGATGAAGGTGGTTGAAAAGGACGAACATGCTCGCGTCGTGTAGATCTTATATTACGCGCGCTTTAGTCACTTAGTCACTAGTCGCTTCACTCAACGTTTTGTTCTCTTTGATGCCATGATTTTGCAACAGGGCGTTGCTTTGATGGCTTGGATGCATGTCACTTATTTGGGATTTTGCTGTTTGGGCAGACATTTGCTTGGAGTGGAGTGAATCTTGTACAGACTGGAAGGTAGATTCCCCTTCAGGACCACATTGCAGTGAACACTGTCATTGATGTGCTGCTGCCTGAGAGCCTTCCAAGGATCACTTGAACCATCTCTATGCCACCATAGAAACATCAATTGAACCACCATCGAAACATTAACCTCTTGAATTTCTCGTGTCTCAGATATCTCAATGTATCTCGGTGCTATTTCTCCTGTGTTGGCTGAGCATTTCTTGCTTTTCAGATTCTCCGTCTTAGGTCTGATTGGAATTGGAGGACACTGGATCTTGGTTTTATCCAACGCAGTGAATAGGGAAGCGCAGTTTGGCCGTTCTCCTTGGCTCGTTTGGATCGTTGATAATGTGATGATAACATGACAGCGCTGAGAGACAGCTCTGAGACAACTCGTTTTATTTTGCCAGCCTGTCTTGACTGGCAATGTGAGACAAATATGAAAGAAAAACATGGCCTGATTGGAAAAAATGTCCAACGGGAAAACGACAAGAGGCAAAGGAGGATGAGTTGGAATCGACAAGATGCATGAGGAAGAAAGGTGAGTAAGGATGTATGAGCCGTTGAACTGGTGAAAATGTGGAAGAAAAGATGAGCAAGGAACATGTCACAAAGAAACATGAGCATGAACATGTGAAGGAAAGGTGAGCAAGGACCAACCACTTCGAGCATATCCAGCACTAGCAAAAAAGTTGCCAGCAAGAAAGCCTGCATCTTCCTGCAACCCTCCAGAGCACTACTTTCTGGGTCTTCTGCGACCAAGCAGCTATGTCAGAGCATTTCTGTGGACAACTCTGTCTTTCATTGTTTTCCACGACAAACGACTAGAAGCATGTCCAAGTATATAAAGTGAAATCGAACGGCTCTTCAATGGAAGACCGTCGCGTCTTTGTATGGCAATTCTGCACAGCACCACCGCCTGAATCCACAAGCAATGCCTTTTCATTGCGTTCAGAAACACGATACATACTTTCCAGCAAATTCGGACACCTCGGTCTGCCAACCGGAGAAACAACAAGGATGCCCATGTCCGGCGGAGGTTCATAAACAAAGAAAAAGGCAGTGCACAACGGCCATTCCCTTTTTTGCAGCTGCTGGAGCAATATGTTTTGCACATCTGACCTACGCTTAACCCGTATCCACAGGGCAAACCACTCCTCTGTACTAATTTACAATCAACTCTTCCTTTCCATGGAAAGGCAAGACACGTTCCAGCCGAAGCCACAAAAGAAATAGCGAGGGAAAGCAATCATCAGGTTTGCAATCCGGCACAGCAAGTCGGCCTGTATCCACAAGCTATGCTTCTGCATCTGCGTTTAGTCGGCACACCTACTCTTCCACAGCTGCTTCGGGCCAAGCTGTCCTTCAGGACAATAGCCATCATAAGCATACGCAGCTCATGCTGCAACCATCTGAGCCATTTGAGATGCGAAGCTGTTATTGCTTCTCCGCTGTTCCCGGCAAAACCCTCTCAATCCACAAGTCGGCCTGGACGCGCTGCTGCAGGACAAAACGATCCTTTAGTGCAAACTTGCACCGGTCGGTCCTACAAGAGGACAGCTATAAGCATGCCCAGCTGAAAGCAAAACGGACATGAACGGCAAGACGGAAGAGGTTCCCAATCCGTGCTTTTTCTATCTCGGGTTGCAGCTACGAAGCCGAAAGTCGTTTTTATACCATTTCCCTCGAAGGGTGCCCGATCAATTGCTGGATTAAAATGGAATAGGTACCAACCACGCTCATGTTTCTTCTAGGGTGGTGCCCCCATATACCTTTGGTATAAAGCCACCAATATTATTCCTGATGATCAATCTTTTTTAAGGTTTTGCGATTGAAAGTGGGCCTTTGGAATTTGACTTTAAGTACTTGGTGATTTTGAATTTGGGCCACTATTCCCCACTTAATTGATATTAACTTGTCTTGCAACCATCCAAAAAAACATTGCCAAACAAAGGACTTGCTGCGAACCCACAATGCCAAATATATGTTCACAAGCTGTACGCATGTGTTTGGTTCATAGCTGTTTTCAATTGTTATGCTATATGTTGATTCTATGAAATTTTATATCTGTCTATATATAATCGAAGAGGCATGCCATTTTGTGTTCCGGCCAATATTGAGCCAAGTGGAGTTCAACAAACAAAGGTTAAATCCAATCCCTTCCTCAATCCTTAACCAGCTATTGAGTGCCACATTCCAGCTACTCGGGTTTCTTAAATAACGGTATGTTACAAACGGTATCCCACCTGCGAAAACCCCAGCCGAGCGTCAGGATCTTCTCCACGGTGCTGGTGGCCACCCGCCACCGGCGGACTATGTGGTGATGGTTGTTCTGGTGGATATTATGGTAATTGGGTTAATGGGGGAATAATGTCACAATTACTATATTGAATAGTTCGGGTAAAAAAATCAATATATAAATTATCCCGTTTTTTGTTTTTATCAAAAGGGGTTTTATATTTTTTTGGTGTGAACATCTGTTGTAATATAATATAGCCCTTCCCTTCGTAATATTTGGTGGAACATCATTGATACAGGAATCAACCAATTCTAACTAATAAATTACCTTTCCCCATTTCACATTTGGAGCTCATAAAGATCCAGGAATCAATTTCCAGAAGCCCCTTATCAACTGCATTTCCTTTTTTTCAGGTACTAAATTTCCCAATTTTTCTACGTATATCTTTCACACGCAATGTCCAATTATGAATTTTGCCGAACTCAGGGTGCAGAAGTCTGTGCCTTGACTTCGGCAAAGAAACATATTTTTTGACGATATCCTAGGTGCTTGGTGGGGTATTGCCTAAGTCAAGGTGCAGGTTTCTGCACCTAGACTTGGGCAGTACGGAGGTTGTACCCTGGTATTTAGGATTTTTTTTTGGCCGATGTCAGGGTACCAATATTTGCATGTGGACATAGGAAACAGCCTTACTATTATATTCTACCATGATTTTTCCCGCAATGGATTCGGGGTCCTTCATTGAGATTTAGGCATTTTTTGTTTGCCGATCTTTTGGCTCGGGGGACCCCAAATCCATCGCCACCGCAAATCTGTCGCATAACAATATTTTACTTTATATGTTTATTTTATTTAAGTACACAACCAAAACTAGACGACAGATGGCCCGAGAGCGCAGAGGAGCAGAGTCTTCTGTTGTTAGTATGGAGACACTATATATTACAAGACAATATATTAAAGATGTATTATATGCAGACGAGAAGAGTAGTATCAAGACAATATCTCACAAACACAAGATAATAGTTTGCATCGTATTTTTCGTATAGTTTTTCGCAGAACTTTTTACAGACAGACGCTTTTGCACACAGAGACTTTTACACACAGACGCTTTTACACACAGACACTTTTACACACAAACTCTATTACACACAGAAGCTTTGACACACAGACGCTTTTACACACAGACGCTTTTACACACAGACGCTTTTACACACAAACTCTTTTACACACAGAAGCTTTGACACACAGACGCTTTTACACACAGATGCTTTTACACATAGACGCTTACATACACTTTCACACACAGAGGCTTTTACACACAGAAGCTTTCACACACAGAAGCTTTTTTACACACAAACATTTTCACACACACAGAGACCGGACCCGTGAAATCGCAATTTTACCTCGTTTTTTGGCGATCGAACCTCATTTCGCGCGAAAGGGTTTGCCGGACCCTTTGCAAATCGCCATTAATTTTACCTCGCTTTTTGGCCATCGAACCTCATTTCGCGCGGAAGGGTGTGCCGGACCGTTTGCAAATCGCAAGTTTACCTCAGTTTTTGGCGATCGAACCTCGTTTCGTGCGAAATGGTTGCGTTTCATGCCATCTCGTTGGCACTGCCCCGTGCCTTCAAGAGAGAAATAGAAAAGAAGGAGAGAGCAAGAGGGCAAGAGGGCAAGAGAGCAAGAGGGCAAGAGAGAATGTGAAGATGCGAGGATGTGAAGATGTGAAGATGAGAAGATGTGAAGATGAGAAGATGTGAGGATGTGATGATGTGAAGATGTGAAGATGAAAAGATGTGAGGATGTGATGATGTGAAGATGTGATGATGTGAAGATGAGAAGATGTGAGGATGTGAGGATGTGATGATGTGAAGATGTGATGATGTGAGGATGTAAGGATGTGAAGATGAGAGGATGTGAGGATGTGAGGATAAGAAGATGTGAAGATGTGAACATGTTTGACAGACCCCCACTATTAGAAGAACCCTTCGCTCAGACGCTCTCGGGAAAAACATATCTGAACTACGATCGAATGGTGATCGTTTGTTCCGGTTGGTACTTCCACGAGTAGAAGGGTAAATGGATGGAAAGGCTAATTATCAATCCCCTTCTTGGCATGACTGCCGAATGACGGATAAGAATTAACAATATTGAAATTTCCAAAGGACACTAAGCCAATACAAGTTTTGATCCTTTGGGATAAATTTCACTAGTATGTATATAATCAGTATATACCAAGGCTACCTACATTGATAAATAAGATAGATAAAGAAATAAATTTTGGAAAACATATATCACACAATCAGAGGTAAAACTAAATCACCAAGGACCTTAGAATCAAATTCCAAAAACCCCTTATCGGCTGCAAAACCTTAGAAGTTGATCATAGCTGATCGGTTTTCATTAAATATCAACATGGAAGATTTCTGGACCGGGGGTACAATCATCTATGTCATTTTCGGACATAGCATGACGGGCGTTGTGGCTGAATCATTGCTCTCAGGGGAAATATGTAAGCCAGCCACAATTTCACAGGCTATTAAATTAACATCAGTTAACCATGAAGATTTGTTGGGTTTCTTCGAAGTTTCTGAGAAACAGTTCAATGTCTTTTCAACTCTAATCAATTGCACCCATGGTCATGTCAAATGAGGGTACAAAATTGTCCAAAGCGATGTGAGAAAATTCTCCGCGATATTCCATGGATTGACGATGAGCCGACCGCCAAGGAGAGTGTCATCACAGTCTAGCACATTTAGTATGGGGTTATGGAAGGAATAGAGGCCAGGGTTTGATCAGGGTGCTCACTTTAGGCGTTGCGTTTTTTTGCTGAACATATTTGTGCAAAAGTGGTTCTTGTGAAATCTTGACATGTGTTTCGACTGCGCAAGCTCGCGCAAAGTTTGCGTCTGAGTTCTGATCTGCCTCTTGTCCACGGCATTTTTCTTGAAAGATTCTGCGTAAAACGTCTCTTGCGAAATGTTGCCACATGTTTCGACTGCGCAGGCTCTCACAAAATGTGTGTGTGTACCATCTGAACAGATGTAAAACTTCTTTTGCTGTCGGTTTTCATTTGTATTTCATTAGCAAATCGGCAGGGGGCGGTGAATCTCATTCCATCCACTGCCCAACGAAGATGGTGGTTTGAGATTGTGATATCGGGACTGATCATCCCGACGTACCTGCATATGTTCACTTCACTGCTGTGGCGAGGGGCTAAGCCGAGAACCCCAACAACGGCATTTGGATTTTTGGATTCATTTTCGTTTTTACATTTGGTCTACGTGGTATTTCGTTATCATGGCAAAGGGCTAAGCCGAGAACCCTGACATCACAATCCCTACTGGCCTTTTGGTTTTCGAGATCTACTTGATGGTTGTTCTGGTCATGAATGTCTTTTTGGAGTACATCCCCTTTTCCGAATGTTCTTCTTTTGATTGTTGTTTTCATGACTAGTTTGCATGTTTCAGGACTCAGTTCCTGATGGATCTCTGAAAAGATCCAGTTTTGTCTAGTCTGTGTTTGTGTTCGCTTTCTGGGCTTAGTCTGGGGTTTGTCCTTTTTTGTTTTAAATTCTGCTTGCAGCGGCTCTTGCGACATGTTGATGTGCATTTCGACAGTGCAGGCTCGCGCGAAGTTTTTCTCTTTCAGTTCTGGGAAAAGGTATTGTTCTTATAAATTTGCGCATGAAGCGGCTCTTGGGACATAATGCACTGCAGTTTCACTGGTCAGGTTCGTGCATTTTTTCCCGCGTTTCTGGTGAACGGAATATTTCGTGTGAATTTTACATAATGTGGTTCTTGTGACATGTTGGTGTGCATCATGCTTGATATCATGATCTTGTCCCTCGCTCTTGACATCCTAATCTTCAACATCATGAACCTCCAGATCATCTTCTGCAACATCGACATTATCATGTCTTGCATCTTCAATTTTTTGTTTATTTGATTTATCATTGTCATCACCATAATCATAATCATCATCATTCCCTCTTTGCATTATGGTTCTCGAGCTTATCATTTCCATTTTTTCCTCTGATTACTCGGCGCATTGTCGAAATTGCTCGAGGTTAGATCTCGAGACCTTCAAGTGAATTGCGGCCGGCCGGGAAGTTTACGGTTTTTAATTTTAAAAAATCGTCGCGCGTCTGCTTGGTTTGTTATTATTGTTTTACAGCATGAGCCAAGGTTGTAACATATGTTCTTGCTTCTCCGATGTACACGATTGTTGCTCTTTGGATAACGCAAGTGATGAAATTGTAATGAGATTCATAGAATCAAAATCCTTGTAGATAGACATGACATCAAGCAGAAAGTATTCCAAAACATGAACAACTATCCAAAAAGAAAATTTGCGGACATATTGATTTTTTCTTTTCATCTTTTATTCGTTTCCCGTCTCGTACCTTGTGCACGACGTGAGGATCTCAGCGCAGTATGTTTCCCAAAGTTTTGTTTTTTTGCCTGCCTTTTTCGATTTAAGGACATGCTTCTTGCCCGAGGATCCGTCTTTTGCATGCTCAAGGTTTGGGCCATGAGTTTGTCATTCCACATTGAAAGCAATTGCTTGCGTCAGGTGAATAAACAGATCAAGAAGTATCAAGCGCGATATGAAATCTCTGAACGAGCGGCCATAATCAAGGCGTGATTGTTTAGTTTTTTCTTTTTTAATGACCATTCAATTCAATCCTGTGAGGCCTTTCACTACTATCTTGTTCGACGTGATTATCATGCCATCCGCATCTGTCGGTTGAAGCTGACGCCAGCTGCTTGTTCTTTTTTTGGATGTCGGAATTTCAAATATTTAGCGAACTTTAAAATCAAGATCGGCACAGGCGGCGTCACGACTAATGCTTCATGGCTCAGGCCGGGAAAGATACAGTTTCTTCTGGTTTTGAATGGAAGTGTTATCTTGTCATACATTGATTTTCATTGTCATGACGCGTGTTTTTCGCCGTTGTTTTTTTGAAGAAGGGCATCGAGCTCAGATCGCGTAGTTTTAGCCTCAACAATCAGTGCGTGAATGTCATTGAAGATGCACCGCCCAGGTCTCAAAAGAAGCCACAGGGCCTGCGCGAGCCCACAGGAGCTGGGGAAGGGGGGCGGTAGGTGGATAGGTAAATAGAGACATAGATGGCTAAATGGATAGATAGATTTATGATTTATGGATAGTTAAATAGATAGATAGATAGATAGATAGATAAACCGATAGAAACATAGGTAGCTAGATAACAAGATGTATAGTTAGAAACAAAGGGGTCACCTCACACCTAAACCCTAAGGTCCGGTCAGATTTCCAGGTTATATCCTTATATCTAACCGTTAGATCGATCTAGTGAGATAACCGCATAGCAGGGTAGAAGAGTATATAATCGATGAGCAAATAATACTCAATCTCAAATACCGGTATATTTGATTTGATAATTTGCTAATGGCAGTGTTGCAAATATACATCAAGACATAGTTCTATCGATCGTGAAAGCATCTCGCAAGCAGTTCCCCAGCAGGTTTGGGTCCCGACCGGGCTTTGCCGAACAGGAACGGGAGAAGCTAGCAGTAACGGTAGTAAAAAAAATCACAATAGTAGTTGTCTGAGTAGTAGTAATAGCAGTAGTAGTAGTAGTAGTAAGTAGTAGTAAGTAGTAGTAGTAGTAGTAGTAGTAGTAGTAGTAGTAGTAGTAGTAGTAGTAGTAGTAATAGTTGTTGTAGTAGTAGTAGTTGTTGTAGTAGTAGTAGTAGTTGTTGTTGTAGTAGTAGTAGCAGTAGTAGTAGTAGTAGTGATAATCATAGTAAAAAGACTAATGACTGGTTGTAGTACTAAACGATAGCAGTAGTAGTACCAGTAGCTGTCGGAATATTAGCCGTAGGTAGTATTGACAAGAAGAATACAAAATGATGGCCTTTCGTAAGCGGTTCCCCAGCAGGTTTGGGTCCCGACCAGGCTTTGCCGAACAGGAACGGGCAAAGAGGCTAAGAGCAGCAGCACCACCGAATCGTAGAAAATCCAATGAAATCCTACTAAACCCCATTTGTAATCCCATGATTTTCTTTTTTTTCCACCAGAACTCCAATCTTCGGATTCTTCGGTCGTGGCATCACCTCCCAGTCCTAAGGCCTTGTCTGGGAGCTGGCTAAACAGCGTGTGCGCGATCGAACGACCCATCGCAAACACAAGGCCAGGCTTTTCTCGGGTAGGGAAAATGCTGTGAAGATCATCGGATTTTCATGAAAAAAGTAGTTTATAGTAGTTCCGGGATATTCATATATTATAGTAGTTTATAGTGGTTTTGGGAAGTATCTAGTATGAAAATGTATGAATTTCATCTACTATTTTCAAGGAAATGATATGACATAATTGTGGGAACATGAATTTCAGGGGGATGTGTAAAAATGATGGTTCAACTTTGAAGTTGGCAGGACTCATAGAATAGATATTGATTCAACCTTTTCGATACGGAATGTTATTGTAAGTGTGAAATTCAATGAGTACCTACATGGAAAATCACCATTTATAGCGATTTTTCCCATTAAAACTGGTGATTTTCCATAGTTATGTTAGTTTACCAAAGGGTACTATCTCTAGATGGGGTGTTTTATGGTGATTCTTCCGCAACTAATATGAGGACGCTGAAGAACTGGAGGAATTGGCAAGAGAAATCATAGGAACTCGTAGGAACGTATAGGAATTAACCAATTAAAATGGGAAGTCAATAGGGGGTATAGCCACTACTGAGTTTTATCATGGGATAGTTGTTGGGTTTCCTGTGGGCTATATAGCAAACCCAATATAGCATAGATTTAGGGAGACATGTTTTTCAGACAAACCCATATTTCCTTTTTTTTGCTTGAAACTATGCTTTCCTGTAACCCTTGGATGGATATATACATTGAGATAATTGTCAATTTTTGAAGCTCGCAAACAAAGGCCAACAAGCGTGGGTTCAACAAACCACCATGGGCAACGAAGTTTTACTAACAACGGTAAACCTCCTGTAAGGATGTGTCATTATGGATTAGTGATCTTGAGTGTTTATGCAACGCGTCAACTCATGTCTGTTGTTTGTTTGAGGGTTGCTTTGAAATCCTTGTTGCATACGAGTTTTGGTTCAACAATGGCGGTGATTTCGCAGCAACAAAAAATCACATCAATGTTCATTACATTGAGCCCCATGCCGCTGACGGCACTATTGTGGCGCCACAACGCGCTTGAAGCGCGCATCAGCCACTTAGAAGACCAGAATATGCGCATGCAGCGCACCCTGGGAAGGGTCGTGGAAACCATCTGCAGCTGGGACGAACAGTTAGTTTCCGCATTCGGGTTGCTCCCACTGGCTACTTTGTCGAGTTCATCTTCAAGGCCGAGCTGATGGAGATCTCGGACGTTGAGGCGATGCAGATCTCTGGAAGACCCTTGGGTGTGGCTGGACTGAGAACGTCCATGTGGCTTTCAGTTTTGGACGTTCCACATCTTTTACCTAGCCAAAATGCTAGCAGTGAATTATGGAATAGAGTCTTGCCATGCACAAACCTCTGATGGTACCAATTTTAACATATTTTAACCATGTGTTGTACCGACAGAATTATCTCAACCCAAATACCCTCTGCTGAGACCACTAATGGAAGAAATTTTCACTTTAGGCACTTAACGAACTTATAAGTATCTGATAAGTTGCTATAGTATCTTGCTTATACCTTGTTTAAATTGTTTTTTTAAACTTATTTTGAGTTAAGTTGCACTATTTTTTATATTTGAGTTTATTACATAATAATGAAGATATAATCAAATATATTCGAATATTAGTGAAAAATATCTGAACATATTTGAAAATATCTGAAAATATCTGAAAATATCTGAAAATTCAGAAAATTCGGAAAATTCAAAAAAATCAGAAAATTCAGAAAATTCTAAAAATTCAGACAATTCAGACAATTCAGAAAATTCAGAAAAATCATAAAATTCAGAAAATACAGAAAATTCAGAAAATTCAGAAAAAGAAAATTCAAAAAAAATCAGAAAATACAGAAAATTCAGAAAATTCAAAAATTTCAGAAAATACAGAAAATAAGTGAAAAGAAGTGAACATATGTAAAAATAAGTGAAAAGAAGTTCTATGATAAGCTCAAATAAGTACTAATGTTTCCATTAAGTGCCTAAAGTGAAAATATCTTCCATTAGTGGTCTCTGTGGTGAAAACATACAAAAAACTATTAAAAATGGTCATTTAGATTTACCCATTAAAATTGTTGATTTTCCATAGTTATGTTAGTTTACCAGAGGGTAGTAGCGATGAACATTCCAGTTGCCAACACTTAAGATGATTAAGTAAATCAAGATGAGATGTCGTCATTGTTTTTGCCAACAGATAATGGTAACCATGAGTTTCAATGTTGAGACTTCACAAACCTTACCCCTTGGATCCCTGTGTTAAATGTATTGCAGTGCAAGTCATATTTGCCTTTCCTCACCTGATGTTTGAATTTCCCTATGTCGGATCTATGGGAAATGGATTGGGGAAATCACCAGCAAGTTTCAGTGTGAAATATATCTGGCTAAATTTCATCACGAACCTTGCTCTCCCGAACCCTGGAATCATGGTTTATTTGAGCGAAATCATCCCCAAATGGCTGAACCATTCAGGTTAGTGAAATATGATAATTTACCCAGATATGTGATAATTTACCATAATTTACCCAGATAGTATGCGAATGTATGCGATCAGTAACTTATAGGTTCTCCTCCATCCCATGACTAATCATAAGTTTCTCTTAAAAAAGACGGCATTTAGGGGTATCAACACACCCATATCACTAATGGGTACTAATGGTATATGTAAGATATGTACTATGTGGATAAGTTATGCTCACTGCAAGGCGGAATGGTGAATAAGGGGGATCATTCGCAACGGCCTTACTTTGCAATTTAGTGAAATCCTATATTGTATCCATATGTAATATATCCTAAAATAATTATTATGTGTTACTTTACAAAACTATCATATTATGAAATACACTGTAAATGATTTCTTAAATACCGTTTGGCGGTACCATACCCACACCCCATGGATTTCTGCTCCCGCGAAAAGGACTACATTGAGACGCGCACCTTCCCCGAGAATTGCGCGGCGGAAGACACTGCTGGCAGCCTCAAGCAGAAGCTTTTTCTTCGTCAATGGCAATGGTCTGTACGTACTGGTGAAAAGCACCATTATATGGTTATAAGTGATATACAATGGATATACTTGTCATGAAGTACCTATCAACTATATATGATTGTGCACACATTATATCGATTAATTTTAGGTTATTATGCCAAAAAATCGTGGCAATCATGAGGAAGAGCAACATTTATGGCAATTAAACCATGGGGCGGGAAAATCATGATACAGCATGGGTGTAAAACGCAGTAGCTGACAGACCAAATCTTATTGAGTATTAATAATGGGAACTAGCAATGCCCAGTTACAGTAAGTTCTGGTAGTTGATGGTTTGTTTGGGGCTATACAACTATAATACAACTATACATGATCATGGTTATCTTCATTGATAGTGACTAGGGGTTTGGTTCATGCTAATCGAGTATTACTGAGTATGGGAACCAGTTCAAAAATGGCTCAGCTCTGGCGGAATTGTTGGTGAATTGATTGAACTTGAGCCATTTAGATGACTTCGATTGACTTTGATATGACTTTGATGGAGGAATGTTTCAAATTCCGATCATTTTATCCTAATTCGGATTGACCTTGGCTTGACAGGCTGGTTAGTTTCTAGCTATGCAGGATCATGCAGGGATGTTTTTTGAATCTAAAATCCACATTCGAAATCAGTCCATTGAAATCAGTCCACTGGACCACCTTTGCATGCTGACAAGCACGGCCAGTCACACACCATATGTTCTTTCTCATTTGCGCCAGTATTCGCGAAAAAAACTTACCCTGTTTACAGGCGCTAAAGCTGAATGTTACGTACGTGTACGTGTTGATTTCATATAGCTCCAGTGTTGCACCAACATGTTGACAACTCGGTGAATCCAGCATGGTTCCTGTTCAATCCTATCGCGGTGTCAACCGGGTGTGAGATCCGATATGTGAAACCGCCGAGGATGATCAGGGGGAAACACTCGCATTTCATTAGCTCCTTGGTGATGAAGCTTACGCCAGCTTGGTGATGGAGCATGGGTAATAACCATGGCGCCTCGTTGTAGAACCTTGGTTTACCCATGGATCATCCACAGTTTACCCTCTGGTAATTTAACATAGCTATTGAAAATGGCAATTTATAGTTGATTTTCCCATGAAAAAATGATGATTTTCCATAGCTATGTTAGTTTACCAGAGGGTATAAGTGATGTTGGATTCATTTGGATTCATGGTGGTATGGTCAGTGTTTTTTGAGCCGCTAATGGGATGCACATCGTCACATCATCCAGTGATCAAGTGGCTTCCGGGAAATCAAGGGGGAGAAGTTTTTTCAAAGATCCTGGCGTTGTTTGATGTTTCAGGGCAGTTGTACGACCTGACTTCTTGGGGCTTATAACAGGCTTATAACATCCAAGTCAATCATGAATTGCGGATCCTGATGAATGAATCAATCATTGATCCATATCAATCCATATCAATCCATAATTTATGAGGTATTTTCATGGCATGTGCCCATATGGGGCCATATATGGGGCCGATAGGTCTTTGATCCCGCCAGAATGTGTCGTAAAAAAAGTTGGACGATCCATGGCAAAAACCTGCAAGGGAATCCAATGGAATCCATGGATCGTTGTTGACCCAAGTCCTCCAAGTCCTGAGACAGCTCGGGACTTGTGGGGAGGTGGTTGTTTTGAGGAACACTGATGATGACATGATATGAATATATGATATGTGAATACAGGATGTTTGGTTTATTCATGTAATCTCCAGGTATCCAAATGGTGCCAATATATCCTAGCTATCTGACTCTTGCAGAGTAGAAGCACAAACATAACTATGCGGGATTATGTGGTCACAAGATAAACTATCCTGCCCCCAAAATACATAGAACTGGATTTCCACGGCATCCCTCCTGTTTGAATTGCTCGGCAGCTCCATGAGTTGGCTCTTAGTCATTTTCGTTGAAGCCATCGATAACTGTTTGGTCCCTGGCACACCCAGGTAGACGTTTGTCCTACGGTGGCTTGGCTTCTGGAACTTGGATGCCGAGTTTTGGGAGTGACGCCGTGGCATGGATGGAATGTTCTTACACCTGAAACCCATAAATCTTTGGCTAATCTGAAATAATCAGAACATCACCATTAACCATTAACCAACATCATTAACCATTATTATCCATGATTAACCATCATTAATCACCATTCACCAACCAGATATCGTTATTAAAATTACCATCTGGTTATGACTAACATAACCATGGTATAGATGGCCTAGTCATAGATGGTTTACCGTTCTTAAAAATGGTGATTTTCCATGGCTATGTTAAATAACCATATGGTATATTTTCTTGTGAACCATTGCTATATGAATGTCAAATTGAGAGGCACCGAAAACAACGGCAAGAATGAAAGACTCAAAATGTTTTATGTAAGTTCAATGTCATAGAAAAATCATAGATTTTGTTGAAATCATATCATGTATGTATATAGAAATTAGAATATGTGTATATAGTAATTATATGTAATTATAATTATATATAGTGTGTATATATATATAGTATATATATATATATGTAGTGTGTGTGTATATATATATAGTGTGTGTATACATATATACACATATATATACTATATATACAATACAATTTATATAATATATATATATATATATACTTTCCATTCCCAGATGTTCCCAAAGAGTTCCCCACGGAGATCCCCGGAGACTCCAGGCGTAGCAAAGACGCCAGCAGAGCATTTGGTGTCGGTGCAGAAGAGTATCCAGGAGGGTGGGAAGTGGATTTCCATGGGATTTCCATGGGATTTCTATGGGAAATGATATGATGTTTACTTGGCTTTGAGTTTGCAGGGGAATGGCTCCTATGATGCTTGTTGTATTGAGGCTTAAATGGCCGGGAATTAATTCGAAGGGGGGGGTGGTTGATACGAGACCTACTTGACTGACAAGGTAATCGCCATTGAGTATGAAAGAGGGGGTTGGCTGATCTGATGCATGCTTTGACGGACTTGTTGAGAATCAAGTGGAGCGGGGCCAGCTCACGTGTTCTGATATGATCTCTACTTTGACAGAATGGGCAGGTGAAGTATCGTTGAAAATCAAGTGTAGTGTATCGAGGGCAGACAAGTGAAATGTCACCCTTTGAAAAGATCAGTGCTCTGACGGAATTTGAGTTGCTCTTCATCATCGGATAGGACCACTATCCAAGCAAAGTTGTAGAATTGGGAAGATTCGCCCAGCAAATTGATCAAGAATTCCGGAACATATGGGTCATCCGAAACTTTCCGGGCAAACTATAACTACAATGCTTCCTCAGCCAGGCTGACAATAAAGATCGTGCAATCTGGTTTTGGAAGTGGGACTATCCGATATATAATGTCGTGTTTGTTTCAGGTTGGTGAGGTATAAACATTCAGTTTGGCATTGTTTTTAGATGGAAATGGGTCAAAAATAACGTGTTACCCTTTTGAACTCCCAAAATCGATCTTTGTAGGGCTCAAAACGATTGAATTGCTTCCCTTGGCTGATTTCAATCACCCACACTCTTCACATATGTTTCTAAGTTTTGGATAGTTGTTGGATTTTCCTAACTGAAGTGGCAAGAAGCTATCCAATAACATTTAAAAACATTTCATAACATCCAATAACATCCAAGGGCGCATCCAAGAAGCGTCAATAACCAAAATTAATGATTGATGGTATTTTTAATCATATTCAACCATGAAATCCATATTTTCCCATTTTTTCCCATTGGGGTAAGCGTTTCAATGGTTCCATTTGAATCCAAGGATCTTCCAAGGTCCAACCTGGATCGGCCTCACAGGCGCACTTCGTTCTCTCTCTGCAGAGTTTTTTCCGTTGCGCCACAGGTGGGACGGTGGGACGGTGGTCGGGGGGTTCTGTCGTGGTCGTTCGGAAGCTGGAAAGGTCTAAAAGTGGAAGCTGGATGATGGTGGTTTAATGGTGGTTTAATGGGATTTAACCAACAAAAATGGTGATTTTAATGGGATTTACTCTGGTAATTTGTTACATAACTATTGAACATGGCCCATTTCGTTCGTTGATTTACCGAACTTAGACATGGTGATGTTCCAGTTCGCAAACTGTAAACGTTTACCAGAGGGTAAATGTGGTTGGTCACTTCAATACTGCGAGGATTATTCGGAAGAGAATGGAAGATGTTGGATAGATCATGGTCCTATTGAACATAGGCATTACAAATTAACCCTTGCAATTGGGCTTGAAAGTATATCTCTTACTTGAGGATCTCTGCCATTATCAAAAGGTCATGCACAAATGGCTTCCATTGCCATTTTCAAATGGGGCACAAATGGGACGATGTGGACGATGTCAGCTGTGACTAGGATGAAATTTGATGAGATACCCATTTATAGTGGATTTACCCATTAATAGCATGGTGATTTTCCATTGTTTTTTTGTATGTTTACCAGAGGGTAGATAGCCATGAAAGAACATGAAGCCAGTCATGGCACCTCTCGAGGCTTCACCTCGCTATGGGCCACTTTTTTGGCCTTCGGTTTCTTCGTGGCGTCGTTGTTCATCTTGCTGACCAAGACGGACCTCAAATGGCAGGTGCCAGGGATGGTGTCACGTGTGTGCCATGGAATGAGTTGGGAATGAGTTGGGATGGTGATCTTAACCTCTGGTAAACTGTCCCAAAAAACCTATAGAAATCATAATTGTTAATGATTAGGGAAAACTCACTATTTCTATGGCCATGTTCAATAGTTATGTTAGTTTACCAGAGGGTAACATATCCCAACTAATACTGTATCCTATTCCCACATCTCATTCCTCCGAGGTGGTCGAATGGGGCTGGGTGAAGGAGGATTACTACAATGCCGTCATGCAACCAGCTAGGAGAGAAAGCCAGCGACTGAGGGCGGGGGGAGGGATGGCTAGCTTTGTTTCAAGCCATTTGGGGATGAGCTCTGGTCACCCTCCGGTCATCAGCTCCATGGCTTGACGATTCCTCCATTGAATAAACATGAGTTTCCCAGCAATAAACCTCCATTTCGATCAGGACATTTACAGGCATGTTTGATTTCCAGCCATGGTAGATCATGGTAATTCCATGAATAAGCATAATATACAGTACAGTAAACAGAATTAGCTAAGAATTATCAACCATTCTCAAGCATTTTGCATGGATGATTGGATTTTGCGGTGCTCTCAACGTATCCCGCTTTTTTCGGTGGAAGCGACTTGGATGCAATCAGCTGATAGTTGAATCATCATAATCATCCCCAATTGGGGTTCATGATGGGGCCATGGTATACCGGTATACCACTATATTTGGGTTGATTTACCCTCTGGTAAACATACAAAAAGCTATTGAAGCCATGGCCCAGTCGAAATAGTTGATGTTCCCATTAAACATAGTGATTTTCCATAATTTTGTGTATGTTTACCAGAGGATAAATGGACCCCAGTCATGGAGGGTTACTAGGTGACTAGTTTACTGCACTGGGTCTTCCCAAATGAGTCAGAAGGGTACCATTTTTTAAAAACATCCAGGGTACCCTCTGGTAAACTGTCAAAAAAAAGCCTGTAGAAAATCACCATGTTTAATGGGAAAATCCACTATTTCGACATGGTTTCAATAGCAAACTGTTTGTTTACCAGACAGTTATATCTATGCATATCTATAATAAGTGTATAACATTTCCATAGGTGATTTACCGACAAAAAAGATGGTGATTTTCCATCGTTTTTTGTTGATCTACCCGGGTCATGGGTCCGCCTCGAGAGGAACTGGAGCGAAGAAGTGGCTCAGATTTTGAACCGATCGATGTTCGAAGCTTCGTTTGGAGATCCAGAAGAAAGGGGGGTAACCCACCAAGTCATGGGGACCCCAAAAACCTGGATGGTTTATCATGAAAAATCAATCTATAAATGGATGATTTATAATGGAAAATCCCAATCGAAAATGGATAATTGAGTGGAAAATCCCAATCTAAAACGGATGATTGAGGGGTACTCCCATGAATTGGAAACCTCCATATGGGTCTGTTTGAAGATGGGGTATAGCTTCTAAATGTCTATAGACTGGCGAAGATGATGACTCACCAATTGGATTTAGAGCTACCACATTTGCGGACAAACCCATCTTTCAGGGGATCTGCAATGCTTCAATGATGATCGAAATTAGATTAGTACAAGTATAGAATAGTTCGAATAGAAATTAACATGTATGAACAGTTCGATATGATCAGTGGTGATCATGGAAAAATATGGTTAATGTGATGTGGTACGGAGCCGGAGAGTTTGATGTAACAAAAAAACGATGAGCAATGGCTGCTATCCTCGCTGGACTGTTTGAGTCCGACTCCAATAAATGTGGGCTTCGGAAGGGGCGAAAGCCGATCTGGATGAATTTGATTATGACCTCGCAGTGATACTGAAATAATGGGGAATCATCCAGATTGATTGGTGAATTACTGCAATTCAGCCAGATGAAGATGGGATACAGTAATATACTATAATATACTCCAAAAATAAGATGTGTTTTTTTGGAGAGATCGAAACATATAGAATTTATGCCATAGAAATTGAATGGATTTGCGGGTAGCCCATGGTAAACCCAGGTATAGATGAGGTCTTTTTTGATGGATTTCCCAAGCACCATCCACGTGTGGCACCTAGGAATGTGACCAAGACCTTTTAGAAAGCACCTTGGAGAGTGAAACCTGCCGTTGTGTTAGGGGAGTATGGGCCAAAATGGGCAAAATAGTAACGTAATCATCAGATGAGGACAGCAGCACGATATGTAATTACTACTGTTTTGAAGTTTTTGAAGTTTAGAATATCTGCTTTTGTTCTGCATTTCTTTGCTTTCTTGGAAAATGCTGGATGCCAAGTGATTTTTCTTGGATTTTCTTGGAACAGGAGAGGAGGAGCGTCAAGCAGAGGTCAACAAAGTTTCAGGTGGCTTCCCCTGAAGATGACTTAGTGCAGATATCAATTCACCAACGGAGAACTGAAATTTCTGTAGACTGGAAGATTGTCTAATATTGGTGGCTTAGAAATTGCCAATTTTGTTTCGATTTGGCTGAAATCATATTGATGTTAATTGTTCTTTGGATAGCTTTGAGATATACACTGTTCATTGATGTTGACATTGGATACGTTTCGTGGTGTTATCCATAGGCCAAATCGAGAGTTTATCGGATTCTTGTCAGATCGAGACGTCTAAGAATGGACTTTTTTGGCGGTTTGGGGTTTGGCAACTCCGCGCCAAAACCCAGGCTTTATTCTCATTACTCTGCAAATCGCTGCCACTTGCCATGGATCTGGGTGGATCTGGGTGCTTCTGGGCGGAGGGTGAATTTTCCAAGGACTGCTGGACTGCTTCACCAAACATCATGAATACCAATGATCCGTATCCAGATTTTGGTGCGGAAGGGGTACCCAAGTCTGATCCAGATTTTCGGGAATGTATACCCATTATCATGATTTACAATGATTCCCATTTTTTCTGATGGATGACCATAGATAGGATGGATGAACGTAACCCATATGGAGCTTTCCTGAAATAGGGCGATCCGAACCTCCAAATCATCCATTTATAGATCATCCATTGCTGGTACCAGGAAAACCAGGAAAACCCCAGAAATTGGTGGTATAAACCCTTCCCAAATGGGTGTTGCATTATTGTTTTAATTACCCACATTATACATTATATATATATACATATCTATACATATACATACATACATATATATATATATACATACCTATCTATACATATACATATATATATATACAATTTTTGACCATGACACATACGGATGGCATCTCCTAAATCTATCTTATCCAGCTTGGATTGCCAGAGGTTATACATATTATTATATATATGTATTATTATTATTACTATTATTATTATATATCATTATATATGATTATATATATTGTCTTGTATTATATTATATTTTATTTTATTTTATTATGTGATAATATATTTATGTTATATATATATATATCCATTATATTGGGAGTCCCGTGGCTGAGCCCTGAGGTTTGGGTAGCTACACTCGTCTTGGTCCTGTTCATCATTTCCATTATCACCGAGACCTGTAAATTTGTGCAGCGGATCTGTGGCGCGGCGCGCTTTTTTTTTGAAGCGTTTGGAGCGTTGAACGTGTCATCCAACAACTCTCATTGTATGGATTGCATACACAATATATATATATATATATATATGGTAACTCACCCAAAAAATAGAAATAATATAAAATCCAAATCAATAGTGATGAACTACTTGTGTTAATCTTTTTGGGGTTACTACCTACATATCTCTCAAACAAAACATATTTGCGTGGGTCGTCGGATTCAGGTCTTGGATTTGGCTCCATTTGGCCCGCCTCTTGGATGGTTTATTTCATGGAAAATCCCAATCTAAAGTGGATGATTTAGGGGTACCTCCATGAATTGGAACCCCCCATATATTCGAATATATTATAGGGAATTAATATGAATTAATAAGTTTATATGGGTAATTTTTGCACATATGATAGGGAAATCACACGCCCAAAAATATATGACTGAGCAACAAGGTTTGTTTCGCCTTGGCAGGCCATGCTAGGAATTGCCGTGAAACCAGTAGAATGATGTACCCTCTGGTAACAGTTTGCTATTGCAAATAACCATAGAAAATTCGTTGATTTACCCATTAATAGCATGGTGATTTTCCATAGTTATGTTAGTTTAGTAGAATGATGTACACCATAGATGTCCTTTTCCCCTTGCTTGGTTATTCATAGAGGGGTTCAAAGAAACCCCTTTAACAACAGGTTTGTTTGATGATAGATGGTATACCAAACCGGCCCCTCTATTTTTACCAAAAGGACATTATTGATGTACACTGGGAAGGTATGTTTAAAACTCCTGGTGGTTAGAGGTGATACTACCAACTATGGAGTTTTTTGCACACTAAAAAAAAGAACTGAGAAATCCTATTGACAACCAAAGGGATGACAGAGAATGAGGGTTTCAACAAGTACAAACGGAGATTCAACATGGATATAAATATGGAGTTAACAAACATGGAGGTTTTACCAACCACGAAACTTGCTACCTCATGATAAAAAACTCAACATGGGGATGTGGTTTTGTTTGAAACAATGGTGGGTTTTACCCCGAATCTATGGACAATAATGGGAACATGTTGCGTTCTGAAGCATGAGATTTCGAGGCACCTTCTGCTTTTGTTGGGGGATGGGAAGCTTCTCCCCAATTCACAGCACCAGAAAACCTGGTCTTCAGTCTTTTTCATCTGTTCATTTTTGATTTTTCGGGCTCAAAAAACAGGCTGTTCAGTAGGCTGTTAGGCTGTTGGATAGATCTTCCTTGGTCAATTTGGTGGTTTCAAACCAAGCACCGATCCTTGTGCCAAGCTTGGCACGTCGGAGTCATATCCAAAACAAATTCAGCTGTGATGCTGGGTAGATCTACTGGAATTTTAGGCGTGAATCCTGGTGAATCTATAGGTTACCCTCTGGTAAACATACAAAAAGCTATTGAAAATGACCATTTATAGTGAGTTTTCCCATTAAAATGGTGATTTTCCATAGTTATCTTAGTTTACCAGAGGGTATAATATAATATGATGGTGGTGCCTTTCAGTTAAAAGTTGGTTTATGAACCAAATCAACTAGAGGACACTATAGACATCTATAGACTATAGATCTAAGGTAAATCATAACTAGCTCCCTGTTCTCCCTCACTAGAATGATGATTAGTACGGGGTAACTATCCCAATAAAGTCTTATTTCAGCTTTGTAAATTATTACAATTTACCCAGATAGATGTATCTACCATAAATCCTAGTTGACCTACTTACAAACCCACTTAGCGAGTGGGGCAATACGTATGGGACCATTGGATAAGGACCAATGACCCGTGCAAAACCAGGGTAAGAGGGTTTTGATCGATGTATAGACAAGTGGGGATATCACGGATTCGATGTAAGCACAACATTTGGATATATATATATATATATACATATATTATTACCATTAATTATATATAATTATATATAATTAGATATTATTAGATATAATTAGATATAATTAGATATAATTAGATATAATTAGACATAATTAGATATAATTAGATATAATTAGATATAATTAGATATAATAAGATATAATTAGATATAATTAGATATAATTAGATATAATTAGATATAATTAGATCAGAAAGGACTGTTGTGGCCGCCCAAATCTCACACTTAATATGTATAAAGAATACTTCTTGTGAGATTTGGGTGTCACAACATTCCCTTCCGATAACTTGTGTTCTTGTGAGATTTGGGTGTCACAACATTCCCTTCCGATAACTTGTGTGTTGATATCTGTTCAAGCCCCAAGGATTAATCTGGATTAATCTGGGACCAAAAAAAACAAAAAAAAAACCAAAAAAAAACAATGTTTTCAGGACTACTTGGATCAGGGCTATCTTTAGACTAGTCTCCAAAACATTGGTTTTTTTGTTTTTTTTGTTTTTTTTGGTTTTTTTGGTTTTTTTGGTCCCAGATTAATCCAGATTAATCCAGATTAATCCAAGCTAATCTACGATCATCAGATCTATTTAACATTTAAGTACTAACATGTGGTTGGCTAATTTTCTATATTCTCTGGTCATCTGCCTTTATTGGCTTTTAGCGTCGCTCTCTCTGTGTCTGGACTCCTGAAGCTATGGCATGTGGTTGGCTAATTTTCTATATTCTCTGGTCATCTGCCTTTATTGGCTTTTAGCGCCGCTCTCTCTGTGTCTGGACTACGCAAGTTAATCTAAGATCATCAGATCTATTTAACTACTAATTTCCAACATGTGGTTAGCTAATTTTCTATATTCCCTGCTCATCCATCAAATATAGGCCATGTCGTTTGAATCCACAAGTAAGCATTAGCACATGGAAGTTTCCTCAAGTAAGGATCCATCAAATATATACCATATTGTTTGAATCCACAAGTAAAGATTGGCACATAGAAGTTTCGTCAATTAAGGATCCATCAAGTGACCCTCCAAACAAAGCCTGAGTACTTTATGCCAGGCGCAGGTTCATGTAAAGATCATATCATTGTCTTTTTACCATTTTGGGACCAAGCATCCATAACATTTGAAACATGCTTCTTTGTTGCAGGCAAAAACCTGGGGATACTTGAAACAGTTTTTGATTTTCCATATACATTTTTCCAGTAGTAGCTAGCACTTCAATCTCTATATGTTCACTGACAGTTTCCTCCAACGATTCTTACTTGAGATTTACATGTGATGCTCTTGGACCTGTACAAATGCTTACTTGTGAATACAAAGAAGTTTATTGTTTTGTTTAAAACCTCTTGACTTGAGATTTACATGTGATGTTCTTGGACCTGTACAGGTGTTTACTTGTGAACACAAACAGAAACTTGTATTGTCCTGCCTAAAACATCCTTACTTGAGATTTACATGTGATGTTCTTGGATTTTTGTGGTATATTAGAGCATCTTTACTTGAGATTTACATGTGTAGGGGATGATCCTGGGCCTGTACAGATGTTTCCTTGTGAGCCAAAAGAATCTTTTATGGTTCCTTGAAACCTCTTTACTTGAGATTTACATATGATGATCTTGGATCTTTAGAGATGCTTACTTACTTGTGAACAGAAATAACCTTTTATGATTCTTCAAAT